AGATACACACAAACATTTCTAGTAAACGTGAAGAAATATAAGCTAGAATTCCGAAGATTGAAACTCGAGTGACGAAAACTGTACACTGATTTTCAAACATTACGAAGATCATAATTGAGTTCGTTGCTGTTTGTCAGGGAATGTCTGCATTTGTGATCAGCAGTTTTTTGATCGAATTTAGTAAGTTAATATCTATAGACTTTAGGAAAACGTGATTGCGACAGATAATCCGGTCGCCTATGAGCGACGTTCTGTATAGGAGCTTCCTTAAGTATCATGGATACGGACAATAATTTTTTGCCTCCCTCCTACGTAACCCGTTTACCTACAGCTAGGTCGCTACCTACGGCTACACCTTACTTTCGGAAGTGGCACCTTTAATCTATCTATAGCCCATTCCCAGGGAGGCAGGACATATTGTTGTGATGAGTAATGATTATTGCTTGAGCTAGCGGGGGGGAGGTTCGATTCTCGGGCTGGGGGAAGCGGTTTCAGAAGTGCAAACTCCGTCAGAAGTCCCAGCACGAGATTCGAACCCTCGACCTCCAGATCTATCCCACTAACTCAAACCGACGCCTTTAACCACTACACCATACTGTCCGAAGGCTGCTAAAGTTGGAACTTATATTTGAATTGCTTAACATCTCCTAAAAAATATGAATTAATTTTGTGCGTAAAATAGCTACTCGTAAGCCCATGAAGCGCCATTGTTCTAAAAGCATTATTTGAAAGGAACGTAAATTAAAAAAATTAAAGGAAAAAGAAAAAATTGTAAATATGGAAAATCGAAATATTGTCATTAGTTTCTAACTTAAAAGATGATATATATGACACTAGGTACGATATTCCGCCATCTTGGATTTCTCGCTCTGGGCTCTTTATACTCGCCTGCTAAGCGAGCGGGGGACAGGAGAGCAAACGCCCCCGAGCTGGTATCTTGGCTACCAAAAATTGACGTAACCGTCGTAGGTATTTCCGATGAGTAGAAGCGTTCAGGAGGCCGTTGTTTCAATTTGTTCTAAATTTTCAAGGATTCTACACGCCTAGAATATTGTGAGTGTTAGTGCCTCATTGGCAAGCGTTTCACGGGCCAGCTGTGCACGTACTAGTAACCTGTAATATGGCTTCCCTGAAATAATGTAGGGGCTAGTGCCAGTCGCCAATAATAATGGTAAATTCAAAGAAACATTCTAACTTAGGAGGCTTTGATTGAGCTATCAGTGATCATATTCAATAAATATATAAGAAATTAACCAGCTCGCAGAAATTGCAAAAATCTTCATAATATACAGTAAAGAATTCCCTGCCCTCGTAGAGCCTACCATGCAGGTGCGAGAGTCAGAATAAAATCCACGGAATTTGTTCCTTAAATTTAACTATAAAATCTCTTCGGCTTGGCAGGGTCGGCTGCATGACTTTCATATAAGATTGAATTCGAATCAGAATAAATTTCAAAAACATGCTCGCCAAGTTTAAGGCAAGTAATATACGTCACTAATTTCTAGACGAGAAATATATAGTAACAAAATAATAAGGACATTGTACAGAATAAACAGCAATGACTGATATCTTTCATCGCAGCTTTCATCAACTGCGCGCAATTCCCTGCTCTCAACTACGTAAATGAAGCCATGGATAATAATGAGCATTGCATTTATAGTAATTATAATGATACTTAACACTCCTACATCACTTAACTTAAATAATCAACGTTCGATCGCTGCATAATGCAAATAACGTCATGCAATAATTCGATATAATACAATAATAATAACGGAGTCGGAAATATGCAACAAATCCTAAATGGTCCTCGGTACAAAATATTTTAGGAATGATGAATGATTCATAGATTAAGTGCATCGTCAAAATCATGTCCTACGATTCATACACACATGAAACATGAAATAATGCACTTGCTAAGACAGCAATGACAAAATCTTTGTTAAATAAAGATTTCTTTTAAAATTTCGAGACAGTGAGCCCGAACTGAGTGAAAATAACGTAAGGATGAAATCATTATTACCCTCTTCTCGCGCGATCGTGATAAAACTTGGAGGCCTTGAAGTTACACTGCTGGCATTCAGCTAAACAAATGAGCGCATTACAATATTGTGTGGGGGATAATTTTGCGCTCGAATTTAATTGGTTTTACTCCATTTCAGCAGAGAGTATATTGACGGAAAGGGATTGAAATTATAAAGTGATGCAACAGGATTTATTATGGTATAAGAGGCTAATAACGTTGGCATACGCATTTAGGATTTAAATGAGACAAATGGAAATAAAAGAATAGGAGCGATAAAAATGGTTGGCTAAGATGAACAGTTATCTTATTTGGCGGAATGCAATATTAAGCCCTCGAGACCTGCTTGATGATGGCGGCCACGGGACGAACTAGGAGACAGCAGCACGTGGTGATGACGAGGTGTCAGGAGCACGTGAATACGTGTTACAGGAACACGCTTCGAATAATAATAATAATAATAAAAATAAACGCCAAGACGGTATCTTTATTTATGCATCGGCAATAGCCAGCAACGGTATCGACTTAGACTCGAACAATTGCGTATCTCGTAAATTTTCAGTTTAACGTTTAACGTAAATTTTAGTTTAACGTAGATCGGTGGATGCTTAGCAAAACGAAAAATGGACTGATTTTTGGTTACGGCGATCATGCCTTAAGTTCACAGCTCTTCGGCTTCCTCGGATATTTACTTTACTTGTGTTATTGAAATAAGCCTTGTCGTCAGTTGATTGGCAGAATCAACTAAGCTCGTAACGTTCAACGTGGACGTGTGTGTTGAACAATCCCGATTGCAGTGCAAAGAGAGCGCCCGCAGCCCAGAAGTTTCCCTTCATCTCTAAATATGTAATTTTCCCTGTTCTAAATATTTTCATTATTCCACAAAGTGTTTCAAATCGCCGCTTTTCTAAATAATGGACTTCTCCTAATGTGGACATATTTTTCTGAAAATAACTCAAATATGCAAAACATTTTTAATCAATTTATAAACAGTTTTAAAAGAACACTTCTATTATCCAAGCGAATTTGTCTACTTATGATTTATTGAAGAAAGAGAGCGATAGGTAACATCAACCATTGAACGGTTTATAAGAGCTGCCTGCTACAGTCATAATTTAATGAGGTGGCCATAATTTAAGAGCCAACACATTAAACAAAATAGCAAGTAGAAAAAATTGAGTCGAAAGATATGCGAGTCAAGTTACGTGCATTGGAATAGGAGTGTAAGTAGATATAGTGGAAGTTTGAGCCATCCCACCTTGGAATTAAATCTTTTGAAATGTTTCTACACTCTGGTTCGGTCAAGCCTAAATTTTTACGGCAACCTATACCACCGTAGATGATCAGTGTTATTTTTAATAATTTAGTTTATACAACTGATTTTGCACTATGTATGTAATATTGAAATTGTGCAATATATTGCGGGATCGTAAGCAGTACGTCTCGGTCTGTTGTAGATCGAAAGGTCGGCCGGAAGAATGTGCGAATAAAGACCATTAACTAAATTATGCATGCATTCCCAGCTAGAATTTCAAGATGACAACAATTGAAGTGATTGCGTTGGGCGTTAACGGCTACAGTCGTAAGCAGAAAAAGAAAAAAAGGCTTCACAGGAAGGTATAAAATTTTACGAGCGGTTTTAATACAAGGTGCCTTTTTCAAAAGAAATTAGTAAAAGAACTGAATAATTTAACACAGCGATTTCCGTAATTTGAATTAAGTTTTCAGCAAATAAGTTAGCTAATTTTAGATGTATACCTTCGAAATCGACACTTTATTATTGAAAATGAAAATAACTCGTTTAATTCATACTATTTCATTTCAACATCATGAGCATTGATAAACATCGGCCACGAAGATATTTGAAATTTTACTTAACGTCAACCTACATAAATTCGGACAATAAAGGTGCTTGTACACGGGGACAGTGCAGGCGGCAAGTAGATCTGGCAAATGTCGGCTGCTTGATGACTTTCCGGTAAGTAAGCCTGTACATGAGGAAGGGTCGCCTGCCGAAGACCACCACAGCCCTGGATGTAATGGACCATCATGATTCCTGCCTTCCGGAACGTAGCCTTCAACACTTCTGGATAATCATATCTAGCCGTGCGTCGAACCAGCCCTCGGTCGAACGGCCACTTGTCGAAGGACGATAAATTTTGGAACAGAACTATGCAATCTGAAACCTAACCTCAGATGCGGTGAACGTAAAATTACGTAATTTAACGATGTCTGGAAGTCATATTCGATCCGCGGCCTGGTGGTGCACGGCAGGTTTTATGCAAGGCCGGAGGAGGACAATGCCGAGTGGTTCACGGCTGATTGGTGGATGTCCAGAAATATCCAAGGCGTTCGATCCAGGGCTTATTGGTGCACAAAATTGGTGGTACGGCTGCGCTCCCCACGAGGGCAGTATTAGGTGCCGATATCTTCTCGAGTTCTCGTAATCTCGTTCGTGCCCACCAGTGCGGCGTTAGAAGCGTCGAAAGAGGTCTGTCAAAATACATAGATAGTGGCATCACCTTCAACAACTCGTGTCTGCATGTTGTTTTATACTCTTTATCTAGCCTTTAAAAACGTAATGTTGAGAACAACTAAACCCTGACTAATAAGATCTTCTTTCAGTTTCAAAATACTCGTTTCTCTCTTCATTATGTTGGAGTTACCAGCATGGCGAACATTCCACATTAATTCATATTTTTGGAATATGCCAACGAACAATTAAATATCGTCAGGACTCCACTTTGTTGGGTTCTTCTTAGAACCATTATCGTTCAAACAAGCCATGATTCAGTTGACCCAATATGCGTCACAAGTGCGGCACAGACCGTTTGCAAGATCACAATAGCTGCATCAGCGCTATACTGGCCGCTTAGTGAAGAAAACAGCACATCGTTGTCCCTCTCGGCCGCGTCTCGAGCACATGCCTCTGAAGCGGCTGAACCCCTATACACGAGGCCAATAGCGTGGACAGTTCAATGCCCGTCTGTCCCCGTGTACAGGCACCTTAACGCCGCACTGACAGTATAGAAATGTGTACCCACGTACGGCCCGGAGAGTTCTGCTGATTTAATTATCCAACAAAGGTTATTGAGGGGGAGTTGAAGAGAGGGAACGAACACAATACGGCTCGGACGGACGAAAAACGTTAATTTCTACTGAATTACGATGCAACGTGCCCATTTGTCCCTCAAAAAGAATATCATTGATGGCCTTCTTCGCAAACAACTGCTGCTGTGGATCCATCCTTCGGAGCTCGACTGCCCAAGCTGCAGCAATTTTGTCATAGTCGTCTTGTGTTTGTTGATGGCGTTCGGAAGCAAATTTTGTAAGTTCACCAGTAGAATCTAGAGCTGCGCGTTTGCTGTTGTTTCGAGGAATTTCATCATCTTCCTGAAAGGAAGTAGAAACGAAATGTATACAGCATGATCATAAATAAGGTACAATGATAATGGCGAGTTGTCAAAGATTTGGGTCTGGTTCCTGAATTATACAAAAAAATACCTAAAAAATATTTCCCAAGTTGCAATGAACACGTTTTCGGCTGCAGGTGAAAATAAACGAATGGAAATAAATTTCATCAGCTTTCAATCAGACGAATTTGTGATTTTTTAGAGCGCTTCACAGCCAAAATATAGCAATATATAAACCTTACAATTCATCACATCATTTCGGTCGACAAGAAAAATTTAGCAGTGTAATGGTGATGACAATTACAATTGAAAACAGTGAATTCAAGTTAATGAATGTAGGTTTAAATGGGCGCGTTTCAGATCCTGACAAAAATTACACTGAATTTAGCAAGCGTAATACAATTCTAAGACCGGAACAAGCACATCTGCAGAATATTAGACAATTATTTTGATCAGACTTCCCAAGTAAGGCAGAGTTCAGGCGAATGAAAATATCATTAAACCTACCCTGAATAAGAAGAGCACGATTTTCAACTACCACATTCATATTAACACCGCACACATAACTCCGTCACTAAATTAATCGAATTAAAATAATAATTTCTACCATACCTATTAATAATGCCTAAAATAATGTGATGAATAGACTTGCAAACAATTTTTATACAATAAACAACGTACTGCGTGGTCTCTGTCTTCAGTTGAATCAGTCCAATCCTCGTTGCTGTAAACATCTTCTACGTCAATTTTGATGGAGGAAGTAGTGATCGTTTCTTCTTGTGGTATAAGGAATCTCATTTCTTCAAAATACCACAGCCGGTGTTTCTCATCTTTGGTATCGTAACCAAATTTTTGTGCTCCGCGAATCCGTTTTAGTTCTTTCCGGAAGTTCGTTCGCAAAGAATTAATTTTCTTTACTACGTTTTCTTTCTCAGCACTCGGGTATTTTTCGCGGTACTTTCTTACAAGTACGTCGTATTGCTCCTTCTTTTTTGCACGGTTATTATAATCTATACACTTAACATCCCAGAGAGCCGGAAGACTACGGTACAGCGAGATAAATTCAATAATAAAATCTCTTTCTTCTTTTTTGTCACCCGCGAAAACGAGAGGTCCCGAGAAGTCTTCCGACATTCTACCTCAAACGACAGTTGGAGACCGACTGACAGAAGATTGCGCAATACTGTATCGCCAAAGACGCCAATAGACGACACAATGATATACTGTTTGCAAGATATAATTTGAATATTTGGAACGTGTAAAAATGTATTACATAAAACTGATAGTATTGAACTTGTCACGTATGAGCAATTAGATTGCGCAAACCGAATATTGCGCAATATTAATCGAGATCGTCCACAGTTCACAACATGAGAACATAAGCGGATAAGCCGTTTACTTGGAAATTGTTTTCGTGTATGGTGAAGGCGTCAATTACGTCTTGTAAAATAAAATGCTGTTACTTATTATAAGACTCAATCAAGCAGTCATTTCAAGTTAAATCTTGTCATGAGACATGAGCTTAAACCAGTTTTTCATTAGTCATTACCACTGTCACATACCAGGGCAGGAGCAGGAGGCAGGACGGCTCATTCGTGGGCAAATCAATGCTGCTGTGAGTTGAAAAATATAGCAAAACACTCACCGTTAGTTGTATTTAACTGTGAATTTTCCTGATACTTAAGGAGTAAAGGTATTTTTTTATTTAAGTTTCACGACTCGGAAAGCAAGGTCAACAAAAAGTCTTATATGCCACTATTCAACTTAACTAATAACTATCACTTGCGTCGCCACTGCACATATTATAATTATATCACTGGCACTGGCCAGTGCCCCAGTGGCCAGACTACTGCACTGCCTAGTACTGGGTGCAGGTGGTGGACTTGTGCTCCTAGTCCTAGGTAACCATACTAGGTAGTTATTTATGCATGCTGAATGCCTGAATCATGAATGCTGGTGTTTGCTGTATTGAAAATTAATTAAAGCTGAATTTAAGGCTTGTATTGGAAGCCACCTGAACTCCACAGCATTACAGGCTTACAGCAAGCTTGCTCAAGTTTGCTGCTGATGCCAAGACGCATGAGGTGAGGGCTGGTTATCTTATGTCTGGCTGACACGACGCCATAGGGATGCGTGCGTGCACTGGGTGCACAGGCTGTGTTGGGCTGGCGCTGGCCCGGACGGTGCTGGACGGCTGGACCACCTTGCAAGTTGCACCTTCACAACAGTGCACATGTCATGATGTCATCAATGAGCTTTAACTACTACCAGCAAATTCTTTGCTATTTGACGTATTTGTTCAATGTTAAATGAAGTACCATACGTAATGAACAATCCAAAATTCTAATAGTTCAAAACTTCAATGATCAATCCAAATTTATCATCCAAGATATTAAGTCATTTAACCCTTTACGCCCTGAATTTCTGGGATGAAAATTGTAAAATTCACTTTTTCGGTTTTAAGTCTCACTTCAAAGCTGACATTCTGACCTATCCAACGGTACCAAAATCGTCTGTACGTTGATTTATGCCTTGATGACAGTTTGTGAAAGGGTTAGGGGTGATTTCTTTCACTTTTTTGGAAAAATTCCCACGAACAAAAAAGTCTTAGATTTATCTTTTACATATGTGTACCAAGTTTCAAAGTTATCTGTCAGTAATTAACCGAAATAGAATTTCCATAAGAAATTGGACATTGCCATTGGAAATTGGAAATTTTATTTCGGTTACTTACCAACAGATAACTTTGAAACTTGGTACACATATGTAAAAAATAAATCTAAGACTTTTTTTATTCCTGTGAATTTTTCGAAAAAAATGACAGAAAACGTGAAATTGTTGGAAAACCAATGTTTTTTTCTGTGACGAATTCTTCACACCAGGGACTAGCTACCTTTTCCAACAATTTCACGTTTTCTGTCATTTTTTAGAAAAATTCACACGAATAAAAAAAGTCTTAGATTTATTTTTTACATATGTGTACCAAGTTTCAAAGTTATCTGTCAGTAAATAACCGGAATATAATTTCCAATTTCCAATGGCAATGTCCAATTTCTTATGGAAATTCTATTTCGGTTATTTACTAACAGATAACTTTGAAACTTGGTACACATATGTAAAAGATAAATCTAAGACTTTATTGTTCGTATGAATTTTTAGAAAAAAGTGAAAGAAAACATGAAATTCTTAGAAAACTGCCAAAAAGGGGGTACTGTAGAAATCTATCTCCTCCTATGATTTTCAAGCTACAACATCGAGACGCATATCATTCGATGCGTAAGGACCATATCTATCGATTGGTACCTGATGTTTTTCAAAATTCTAATTTTTGTGGGTAGGGTGGGCATTTTTAGAAAAAAAAGGATTTCTCACCCAACCCTTCAAAATTCCCCCCCCCCTTTTTCAAAAAAATTTCAAAAACTTAAAAAAAATGAAAAAAAAGCTTCAACCAATCTCTAGATCTTTTATTTGCAAATCGAACGGTTTATTACTCATTGCTGTAGCTTAAAAACTCTGGGAGGAAATAGGCTTGCAGTGACAATAAGTGTGAATGTTCAGTAGAGCGCGACAAAGTCCCGAGCACCTCGAAATAGGCATTCAAGGTGACATGGATGCAAGACTAGACATTACTGGAGCCGAAATTCAGTCAAGGATAGTGGGAACGACTGCATGAGCACCATCCCACACGACAGCAGCCGGGTAACTAAAGATCAGCGTCTTCAGGTTGCATATTTATGTGCCCAACCAGTAATTTTCGCCTATATTAAATGTGAAAGAACTCCCCCACCCCTAACACTTTCACGAACTGTCGTCAAGGCATAAATCAACGTACAGCAATAATTTTGGTACCATTGGATAGGTCAGAATGTCAGCTTCAAAGTGAGACTTGAAACCAAAAAAGTGAATTTTACGATTTTTGTCCCAGAAATTCAGGGCGTAAAGGGTTAAGTGAACTTGGACCTTGTTGAAGATCCATTTTCTTGTCTTCTGATTCAGCATAAAATGTACCGGTATAGTGTATACTTATAATGATATATACCTGCAATAAGTGTAACCTATTCACTTATAAGTATAACCACTTCTCAAAAGAGGGGTATTTAGTATTAAGGGGACCGGCTACCCTAAAAATCGGAAATTTTGGCTTTACCGTTTTCTTGACTCATTATGTAGCTGCTGAAAAGGCGCGTCTATAACGCAGTTTACCGCATGTCTGTGCGTGCTATAATTTTTGCGTAAGAAAATTTTAAAAATATATATATGAACATTTTTTAACAATATGTACAAAGATTTATTTGAATTAAATCTGTAAATATAGATCATTACTCTCGTTAATTACAAAGTGTTTGCACTCGTTTGAAAGCTACAANATGTAGCGGTAGCGCTGTAGCGGCAAAACCTCGTATCGCTACTTAAATATGTAGCGGGCGCTACCGCTACCGCTACATTGCCTTAAATGTAGAGCCGCTACCGCTACTGAAAATGTAGCATGTAGCGCGCTACTGCCCACCTCTGGTAATATAAAAGAACATGGTCTTATGACATTTTGAATCGATCAATGCTTCTTTATGGACCGCCGCACAACATACTAGCACCTCCCCCCCCCCAAAAAAAAGATAGCTGCATACTAAATGAATAAAAAGGGCAAGTCAGCATCATGTTGGCAGCTAGCTAGATTTGTTTGGTAGACTGAATTTTGAATTTGAAAACAAACTGCATGGATAAAGTGCGTTTCAAGTCCGTAGGAGCCAAAATTTCAGCCTGTAAAATATAAAAAATTGCATTCCTGCATTGATCTCAATGCAGTTAACATTGATAAACTTCAAAGTATCTCTCGTGCAAGAAATTTTTACTAGACAACTTTTAATTTGGATATAAACGTTACTTGAAAACTGAGCGATCTAACTTGGAGTTCTCAGTTTTGGGTTTCCCATCTCGTGCATGGTTTCCACCTTGGGTGGAAAGCTGTTTTACTAGTGAGCTTCTATTCCTAGAATACCACACTGTCTCAGAGTGTGGCTTACCATCTTGTTAACTCAAACACAATTGATCCAGATGACTAGGCAAGTTGGCTTGCCTTGGAGGCATGCACACCTGATGTCTTTGACTTAGTCAGTGATTGATCAACTAAATTGTGATCAGGTTACCAAAGCACTTAATTTTTATATTTGTAATAATAGTAATGGTTTATTATCTTTTATTGTGCATAAATAGTGCTCTTAGCCCCTTTTATTTTCATTATGATGGAGAACTGTTCACGAGGATATTTTAGTTTTGTTGTACACCCCCTAAAGATGGCGTTTTTTGTGTCCAGTTGTGGTTATGTGGAGTCCAAAAGTTTCATGTCAAATTCAAAGAGCCAGATTTGGGTCAATAAGACCCAATCAATGGGGTCTTTGGGGTGATTTCACAAGCCCAGCTAACCTGCAAGGCACTTGGTTAAGGGGAGCATCTGGGTCCAAAATCAACAATTTTGGCTTTTCCGGTTTTTCATCACATCTTAAAGCTGACATTCTGACCTATCCAACAGTACCAAAATCATCTCCGTATGTTGATTTATGCATTCACGACAGATCGCAAAAGGGCAAGGGTTGGTGGAGTTCTTTAACATTCAACATAGGGAGTAAATGCCTCAGTGCACCTTAAATAGCTAGTCTTCACACTCTCCGATCCAGTAACCCTGCAACAGTCGTAAGGGATTGTTCTTGCTCTGTCGCTCCCACCATCCTTGACAGAGATTTAGCTCCAGTATCGTCTGGTCTTGCATACTTGCAACCGTTGTAATGGGTTGTCGTTATTGGTTAAGCGAGGGAAGGTATTCAAGGTTCTTTGAAATCTAAAAAATGTTAAATAAAAGATGGCCTCCCAACTCCCCTTATAGCCATCCCTGTCCCAGGTGTTTTTCTCTTTTTTGTTCAACTTTATTTAATTCTGATGCAAAACTTCATTATAAAGGGACTTAAAATTTAAACCTAAGAGAGAGTTTCACTAACCTATATAACCTATTTGATAAGAGTTTTAGCTAAGAAAACTGAATTTGTAACCTGTGAGACCGAGAAACCAGCTACTGAACCTATCTGTGACAATCCGGTGCCCTCTGTAGAAGATGGGCCTGGTGAAGTTGTTGACCTTGCTGTGGTTGCCATTAACCTGTGGAGGCTTAAACCTGCGTCTCTGATTAAAATTCCTGTTCGTATTGACAGGAAAGAACTGTCAGCACTAGTTGATTCTGGTGCAACTGCAAGTCTCAGAAGGATTAGTGTAGTTGAAGTTGTTCCATGTACTGATGAACTCCAAGATGTTATTGGATTGGGAGGTACCACTTGCGCTTTGGGAAGGATTTATTGTCGGGTTGAATGTCGTTGCATCACTTGTGTTGATTCGTCTTTCTTGGTTGTACCTGACTCCTGTCTTGAGCATGACGTCATTCTTGGTAGTGATTGAAGGAGAGTATTAAGAAAAGAATGTGCTCTACATTCTGAGTTGGTTTTTATAAAAGAGAAATGAGAAATGTGCTTTATCTCTGAATTGTGTTTCAGATGCTTTCTTTCTTTAATAAATCAATTATTTAAATCCTAGTTTGTTTATTGTTTATTCCACTTGAATTGGTCATAGAATTCAAACAGCAATCATTTTATTTCAAATCTTACATTCTGTCTGTGCCAAAACTAAGTAAAATGGAAGAAAATTCAGATATACCTAGAGGAAAAATTGTTTCTTTTTCTACATGGGAACCAATTGTTCCAAAGGACGACATGCTGGTGAGTTTTGCTTTTGCATTGGTAAATTTATGACTAATCATCTATATTTGTAAATGGTGCAATACATGTTGTATATCATATGCTATTTCTTGTTCCTGGGGTAATTTACATGCAGTTAATTGTTGGCCATAGTCACAAAGATGTGCTATCAGCTCTAGAACTTGCGAGGCATTTCAAGGTCAAATTGATGAAAGAGTACTGTAAATTTGCAGGTAAATTTTTGTAGAATTTTAAATACATTTCTCTGTATGAGCAATAATGTCAATCAGGGCTTTTTGCATTGCTGTTCACTTTAGAAAATAATCAAAATATAAAGAGTCCCATATAAAATCCTATGTATGTATAAAGACGTCAGTAATAATCTATTAATGTAAGCAATTACATTAAATGATAGCGAGAAGATAGTTCATCATATTGGTGCGACAAAAAAAATCTGTCAAGATAATAATTATGTTTTGAGATTCAAAAGAAGATACAATAAAAAAATTGTATTTAAACTTACAATTGAGCAAATGAAGGAGATTTTTCTCATTTTGTTATAAATTATTTTTTTTTAAATCTTAATCACTTACAGTATTTGCAAACCTGTAAATAATTATCAGGACTACATGTCACCATTTTCAAGCTAACCTTGCAGTGATCAATGACCAATTACATATCAGTATTGGATGTCGTGTATACACACACTTGCCAGCTAATGCTGAAGACCTTAACAACTTGTCATGTTAAACATGCATGTAGAAACCTGGGTTAATCTGCCATTAATTAAGTTCTTCACATAGGTGGATTCAGGAAGCTGAGATGTGATCTGGAGGTATGGGTTTAATTTAGTTAATTAACACAGGTAAATAAGATATTTTAGTTTCTTCTCATTTTGGAATTGAATTTTCTGTAGTAATGTTCTCAGATAAGATCAAACTTAAATGACATTTTAATTAAATGAGGCTGAATTTATGTTATATGTAGATGACTTGTCAAATATTGACATGGGTAAGGAGCTACTGCCTCCAGAAGTGTGTTCATAGTTTTTTCCTGGTGTAGATCTCTTTCTCAATATTCAAGAAAATTCTAACCAAGATTTTTCCTGGGTGAGCAGTTGGTCTTCAGTAAGTTTGCTGCTTTATTTCAATGACATGAAGGCCTCGTTTTTTGCCAAAATTTATATGAATTATGCAGAGTTAGAAATATGCCAACAGGGCAAACACTGAGAACATTTCATCTGTCAGTAGTCAATATAACTCAGTTCCAAAAAATATTTATAAGTTCTCCAGAAATTTACTTGTCTGATATTAATTAAATTAATTTGTCCCAATATATTCATACTATAGAAATAAATTGGAAAGTAAACCTGTTGAGACCAGTTTTAAACTTTATAAGTTTAATAACTTGTATTTTTAATGTAGGCAAATAATAATCTGAGATTAATTGCTTGCTCTTGCAGCTTGGACAATGTCGTTTTGTTGGAGAATTTGAGAAGCTTAACCGCATTGGTGAAGGAACCTATGGTGTAGTATGTAAGTTAATAAGAATCTAGCTAAACAAAGATATTAATCTAGTTCTTATGGTTTTTCAGCTGTAAATGGACAAATGATACTAAACTCACATTCTCATTGAAAAAAGTATTTTTTGTGCCATTCAATTTCATTTTATTATTTATTGTGAAAATATATTGTATGTTCCTATAACTATGAGCCTGAGGCTGTGAGTCACAGATGTACATATTTCAGGCACTTTTTTCCCATTTGTTGGTATACAGATTATCCACCAAGTTCTTTATTTTCAGACCGGGCACGTGACAAGAGCACCAATGAGATTGTTGCCCTGAAGAAAATTAGAATGATCCAGGAGAAGGATGGGATGCCCATTAGTGGCCTGCGGGAGATCTTACTGCTGCAGCAGTGTGAGCATGAGAATATTGTGGCTCTCAAGCAGGTTGTAGTTGGCCGAAGCCTTTCAAGGTGTGACTATCTAACAACCACTTAACTTTTCCTGACTTTTCTTCCTGATCAATAAGTGCTCAGTTATTCCATGAATAAATAAGGCATGCTCAAATATTTGATCTAATACAAAGTAATTTGTTTGTTATTCAATATCCTACACCAGAATGATCTGGGAAATTATTGTAATTTTCTTCTATAAACATCAAGCTATGTTCACAGAAATCACTACTAATTTTAATCATCAATCACACACATCATCAACCAAAATACCCCAAAATTTTTCACATTACCTACATTTCAAATATTGTACTACCTATATACTTTGGTAGTCACAAATTTGTCTAGCATGTCATTAACCCCATACATTTGATTCATAATTCATACACTTTAGAAATATACTTCGCATCAAGGTTAAAGAGACATCAATGTTTCAAGATTTGGTGATACTGAAGTAATGAACACAAATGGCAACGGATTTAATTTGCATATTATGTATGTGGTCTTTGCAGTGTTTTCTTGGTGATGGAATACTGCGAACAAGACCTGGCCAGTTTACTGGACCACATGTCTGCTCCTTTTATGGAGGCACAGACCAAGTGCATCATGAAACAGGTGAGACATCAGTTATGTTTTGTCATCAAGTTTCTGTACACTTCATTTCTTATTTGTATGGAGTCAGGAGTGATATGTTTGAAATTGTCACGTGTGAAATGCGTGTGCCTTCTTGTCTTTGGTTCAGACTTTGTAAGATATAAATGAAGATAATTCAACGGTAATGTATGCATATTGTTATAAGCTGAAGGAATATGTAAATTTATTCTATATTGATTAAGGGCGAAGATATCATTGTGGTTTTGAACACATCAATACAAAACTTGGGGTCACTGCCCAGAAAAATTCGAGTGGTTAATAGAAGTACAAGTTCCGTATTAAACTTCATGCACAGTTGACGAGTTTACATCATCATAGACTCGTGTGGGATGTGTTTTCACGGGGCTATTCAAACCTGAAACACGACGGCGGAGGGCGTTCAAATTAAATAAGTGATCATACGGCAGACGTGCCACTCTATTCTGGTCCCGTAGGGAAGATTGAACAGTCATTGGAGCCTTTTATTTTTGCAGTGATTGACTTATCCCTTTGGTTAAAAAATTAACTTTGAGGTTTAAAAGAATAAATATCTGGCTTAAAATCTATTCGTATGTGTGTGTCTATTGTACAAGTAAATTTGTTTGGGTTGTGTTGTGTCTTGGGATTTACCATACCTTTGATAAATTTAAATAAAGGCAAGGTTTAATTTCGAATTTATTTACTCTATTGACTTATTGACTATGATGAATTCCTAGATAACCTTATTTAGGAACGCACCTAAATTGTACCTATCACTCTACCGTCCCTACGTAATGAAATGTTTATTAATACGCTAAAAGTGCCGAGGAATAACAAAGTGATGAAGTAGAAATAATGAAATACAAGAAATAACACAATTAATTTTGTATAAAGATAAGAATAAAGATGAAGTGGTTTAGGTGGATTATTTCCTTGAAATGAATCATACCTGCATTTGAAATGTCCCATTGCTAATGTCAACTATTTTTATACAGGTTTTAAAGGGTCTGGCCTATTTACACGGCTGTGAAATTGTCCATCGCGACCTGAAGGTGTCTAACTTGCTGCTCACCAACACAGGCTGTATTAAAATTGGTAAGCAAGACTAATATTGTTCATAATTGTAACTGTCTTCTACATTCCAAACTGGTAATTCCAGGTTTGATGTATAGAAAATATTTCTTATTTTAAAGAAACTGGGCAAAATTAAGTAATTTTTATGTAGGTACAATTTTAATTTTTGTTCTAATTTGGTAACCACAAATTCTTAGCACATCAAGTAAAAAGTTGGGATCACAATGACTTGAATGTAATCTCGTCAAAAAATTAAATTTGCATTTATCATTGTATCAGACATAACTTTGAGTAATGCTTATCATCCTCACACTGCATTTTTAATTGTGCTGTTTCATTCTATAGTGAAAGGAATATTTATGTTTTCTTTCTTATAATGACAGAATTGTAGACCATAAATTTCTATTATTTTGAAACTTTTTTTTTTACTATAAACTCATTCCCTTAATAGCACTCGACTAGTATAGAATGTGTGCAGTAATTAAATCGTGCCCAGTGGTTACAGTTCAGATTACCAAGATTGACGCAGAGAGGCGCGGGTTCGTTCGATCCAGCTCTGTGCGCCAGTTTCTGGTCAGAATCGGCGAGGAGGCCGGGCGGTCAAGTACAGCAGAATTGAAGCAGCGAGTTGCGAGTTCGAGATCGCAACACGCAGTGAATGTTCTGCAATGTTAAGAATTGGCGACAGGCCTACGGCCTAATAAACGCTCAAACCGCTATATTATTTCTATATATTAATCAAATACCCAAGGTGCATTTATGGAAAAATGTCCTAATGTTGCTTCTCCAATGTCCAGCTGACTTCGGTCTGGCCCGTGAGCTAGGTTACCCACTGTCGCCCATGACTCCTCAGGTCGTCACTCTCTGGTACAGAGCCCCTGAGCTGCTGCTGCAGGTAGCGTTCCATTGCTTTGCTTCAATACTTTTGTATGTATTTAAATCGGGTACATTGTATAATTGATTCCTCCACTATGACATCTGCATGATGCAATAAAGAAGTTGATATTATATTTGAAAATGTAAATGGTGAATATTACGCGACAACTGAAAACTATATAATAATAAAACAAATGCTTGTGAAGGCAGGTATCCAGACGTCGGCCGTGGACATGTGGGCTGCAGGATGTATTCTAGGAGAGTTGCTGCTGCACAAACCTTTGCTGCCAGGCAACTCTGAGATCAACCAACTCAACAGGATCATCGACCTTCTTGGTATCTAGACCCCAACGAAATAACATTGTCATTTAATAAATTAATTTGAATGAGATGTGCATGAACAAATTCGTTTAATATGTGAGCAGGTAAGTAGTATATTTAGTGACACACAAATCGGTGCCTCACAAGTTGGACCCTGAATACTATTGCGTATCTAACATTTTTTAGAGCCTCCTACATAAAGAATTTAAACCAATCCCATTGATTCCTCCATCTCTTGTGACTACCGAGTCACGCGATTGCGTCGTATGTCATATGAGCAGCTTTGTGTCGAATGACCTGATTGACTGGATAGGAATAATGATTTTTCTTCATAGATATCTATAATAATCTATTCTTTATCTTTCATCCTTGTATCATGACTCGCCCCAATACCGTTCTATTTTCGTCTTGGTTCATACGTGATGACCGGAAGAAACGGCTCATTATTTTACCTTTCATCGCGCCTAATTTTTGAGGAAAGTAATTTGAATGTTCTTCGTTTGATGATATAAAATTTAAAAACTAATTTGAAGAATGTAAATTTCCAAATTGATTTATCATGATGTCTAAAATCACTATTTTTCGAACGGGTTATATTTCAAGATTTACTAAATTTTAATGGTTATTACACATTAATTTTATGGTGTTGTTTGGTTTGGTCCTTCAGGTACCCCAAACGAATCCATCTGGCCAGGATTCCGCAAAATAAAATCCCTGAAGTCATTTGAGCTGAAGACGCAACCTTATAACAACCTCAAGTCGCAGTTCCCGCACCTCTCAGCGCCTGGTCACCGCCTCCTCAACTTCCTCTTTATGTACGACCCTAGCAGAAGGGCCACCGCTCAACAGGCGCTCGACACTTTATATTTTCTAGAGGAACCTCTCCGTGAGTATATTTCTGGATCGTGGCTACCGAGAAACCTCTTATTTAAGTATATAAAGCAAGAGGAGGTCTTCATTCAGCGTTTCTGTTGACTATGTACCGTGACTATCGTTTCTTAGCCATCTCACGTGATTTCTTTGTGAATTTCAGCCTCATGAATTTAATGTACGCCAGGTATAATATTGATCTCTTTGATCCAGATGCGTGTTGCCAATTGATTTGGAGTATCATTTAATATATTGGTGCCGTCCATAATCTTGAGGGACTATTTAAGTGCCTGCTGCACCGGCGAGCACGTTGCATCAATCTTGAATTAAATTGAGCGATAGTTAATGGTGTTGCTGCAGTCAGTGGTGGTGACGATGGACACGAAAAAGTTGTTGCCTAGTAATTAATCGCACAGCTTACGTCAACTCTAACTGTAGATCCTGAGAAATTTAGTTTATAGAAATGTGTTGTTAATTCGGCGGAGTTACGTGGTCTACATATTTAAGAATTCTAATCTGCAGCATCTCGTCGGCTATCATTGTTTTTGGGAAAATTTTTATACTATTCCAGGGCGTGACAAAAACCTAATCAACATTTTTCAGTGTTTCTTATGCCTAACTTTAGCAGCAGTTTATGATAAAGCTAAGCTTTGAGTATAGGCCAAATTTCAAATAACCAATTTTTGTTCGCTTCAAGATTTTAATATTTGTTTTTTTTTTTGTGCAGCTTGTGACCCGAGCATGATGCCAACATTCCCTCAACATCGCAACAACAGGCGCTCGACCTCCTCAACCGCCCCCAAGCCTGAAGTGTCCGCCGCTCTTGCTCCTGCCGCCCTCGATGTTTCTCTCCTCGCTACCGCCAACCCTCAAAATATGTCCATCCAAGAACTACTAAAATACATGTCTACATCTAATAACACGTGAGAAAGTCGGTGCTTTCAATTTGATTAGGTAAAACAAGCGGCTATGGTTATTGATCGATTTTGCAAGTTATTTGATATGAAACCTGACTTTGTACCAACGAATTTGTTAACATATTTATGCCTAAAGAAAGCGAAACGTATAATTAGGACAGGCAAGAATAAGATTCGGTTGTTTCGGTATGTCATAATAAGAGTAACAGAGAACAGTGTATTACATTTTCACAATCATGTACAGATTCAGAGGCAACATGATGACAAGTGAATAAATGATTACTAAAAAAACGAATCAAATAATAAGTGAATCATTGAAAGAGAACTAACGAGTAAGTACTATTGATTGCCACCACTTGCAGCATTTCAACCTTCCGATCTGGTATTCAAAGTAGAAAATAAATATTTAAAAAAAGATACCGTCATCATTTTCCTACGATGTAGGTAGTCCACTTGTGAATTAGATCGTTATTAGCTTCTTGATGCACACTTGTCATTCGTATGCATGTCCTCCCTTCGTGAAGTGTTTTAGCAAATTAAGTTGCGTGTCGTCTACTGTTAACAATAGTTTCTCTGACGCCAAAACGTAATCATCCAGTGATAAACAAAATAATTAAAACCCGTCACAATTCCAGTTTGCTAGGGAGACGGATAGTTATAAAACCGCCTTCACAAAAAAGGTCGCCGATCTAAACTGAACTAACAAATGAATTTACAAGTCATGTAAACAAATATAAAATGCCAGAAATGAAGTTATTATAATTCGAAGTCCTTTTACAAGTTTTAAGTCACATCAACGGTATGTGAACACATTGTTAGAAACATATTACGAAGTTTATCCTTTTATCACAAAATCATGTTTCGGACCTATGTAAGTTCGACAATCGTCTCCTCACTCCTTTATATTTTGGAGGCGCAAGAACAAAGGAAAGATTTTAACTTCTCCATGATTTAAAAAAACTAATCAAGCACTTAAATAAAGGATTCGTATGTCTATGAACTTCCTCATCTCGTTCTGATTCGATTTCTTACGATGAAATGAAGTGTGAGATGATACGAAAGAGTATCATTTTCGTAAATGAAACGATCATGCACAAGAAAATAACACAGATCTATATTAATGCAACTGAATTAAAGTCAACAGTGGAGACAACGTAATGCATCTTGAAAGAAACAGCATTCCGGTATCTTAGCTCGCAATTATTTTAATCTTAATCCTAATAATCATCCGTTATCAACAATTAAGTTCCGTTTGCATTCAGCAAATTTGAGGACAAGTTCTTGTGAGGTAAACAATCTTTGGAACAATCTTATCAGCCTCTAGTTAGCGCAAGAAGGAAACGTCACGTAACGCAGCTACGCGCGCTATGAAAAACTTCAAACATCGTAGACATCAGCTATGTTAACAAGCATTACTCGGGGATTCATATCGAATAGTTCGAAATAATGCGAGACAGGTACTCTGACGGGGCCACAACCCATGTCCACGGTAGTGGTGAGACCGCTGAGCAACACCTCTTCACGTGGCAATCCATAATGGCTCACGCCCTCGATGGAGTCATCCTTGTGTGGTTCTTCCGATTTCCCTCCATTTTCTGGTGCGCCAAGCTCTTCAGTTCGAGCTGAGGAGGTCGACGACCCACCAGCTTTCCTACTTGCCTTCAAAGCCAAGCTCTTGCCTCGAGCAAAACTTGATTTCCTGGCGGTTGCTTTCATGGCACGGCCTGGCATGGGCCTAATGAGAGACATCGAGCTACTGGAGGTGCTTAGCTGCACAACCTTCTCTGCTGCACTTATTATATCATTCTCATTCGTATTGAATGGTAGGTGCGAGTGCAAGAAGGTATGATGTGATCTAAGCATCTCATAGCCATTAATGAGGTCGTTGCAATAGGCGCAACGATACTCACCGGGACTGCTCGCTTCGCCCGATGTCGAGGCGATAGCGTCTGCAGCCACAGCAACTGTGGCGCTGTCAGCAGCAACATTCGTGGCTGACGCACGAGCTTCGACGGCGAAGCGCGAAAAATTTGTCACCATATTGCTGTGGCTGGCTTTCATATGGCGCTGAATCATTTTACGCGTCTTGCTACTGAATTTACAAACGTCGCACCTGCATATGGAGGAAAATAATGTTTTTTAGACATGATTGAATACACCGGCGCACAGACCGACGAGGTCAAAGGTGTCAGTTGACTATACACTATAAGACAAAATCGTATGAAGTCAAACAATCAATTTAAGTTTCACGGAAAAAAGGACATGGATAATCATTTAAATAAAAACAATTGAAGCGACACCTTAGCCACGTGAATAATTATCTCATTGCAAACAGGTCTTTAAAATAAATCCAAAACCCTGTCTACAACATTTAGATCATCAACAGTTATAGGTGTAGAATTTGTTAGCTTATTATTCACCATACAAGTACTCCATAATTGGTATAAGAATACACGACACCAAGACGTGATGTTGCGTAATTAAACTACAGATCCAGAATAATTCCACGAGCAATGATTTATGTGAACCACACTGATGATAACATTCCCAGTTGTGAAGACGGGAAAATCAAAGCAGCTGAACAACAAAACTCAAGCAAGACCAAAAACTTAATAACTTTACACAGGAAACTACAAAACCAAGCAAAATGATACCGCATTGTGCATGCTTCAAGCATACGCGGGTAATGCCTTGAGGGATAACAAAACGGAAGTTTTATGAAGGTGTTCAGCGTTAAATATGTCTAGTATAAATAGAGACGTCAGACGGAAACTTAAAAAAAGATCCAATAGTGTTTGTTAAAATACCTGAATACCCAGAAGCCGCACCGGTGAACGAATGTAGCCGCAAATACGGCTACATTCGTTCTAGGATTCACAAATAACTGATTGTAAACTGGAAAAAAAATTCGTTTAATCAACAGTTTTGTAGGACAAATTTAGCTGAGAAATAGTATCCCGCGCCGCATTGCTTATCCTTCACTAGCTAGTACAATAAAGTTAAACATTTCGTACAGTTCAATTCATATTTTTAATCACAAATGCTATCCAGGGAAATTGAACACAGCCGCTATCATTGTAAAAGCAACCGAGTTCACTAATCGGGTCGGTATCGAGTAAAGCAGAGTCTGAAGCAATAGTGGAGTTTACTAACTGCCAGTAGACAATGTTATCGACTTTCATTGTAGGTCCCTTCACTGGTAATTGTTAATAAATGGTAAATCAAGGTACGTTAATTTTGTGGCACGTTGTACTAGAATTAAGTAATGGAAAAAATTCGTTTGGTAACTTTGCTTTTACTTAAGACATCAGCAACGAAAACGGACAAGTTGTAGAACAATTATAAAAAAGATCCGCAAAAATTCAAATCGAACGCGAATCGAATTTACAAGTAACGAGTGCATTCTCGTTAATAGAACTTAAAATTAAAATTAAGCACAGTTAAAAAGAAGACATACTAATTAAATGACTAATTGTGTACACTTGTTAACGTTCCTCAGCTTCACAAGAGTATAACACTAGCCCATGACGTCCACCGGCAAGTATAAGCGTGACGGATTTACTGTTGGTGGTCTTCAGTTACTTTTATCTCTAAAATATTTGCGTGTTTTTGACTCAGCCAATCCCTTACAAGTCTTCTAGCTAACCCAGCAACCACAGACGAGAGATTCGTCTTGCCTCACAGAAGCAGAATGGATGTCAAATTCAAAGACGACCATTTAAATCACCAGTGTAAGCGAATATAATTAATTTATCTTGAAGGGAAGAAAATGGCAACTGTCGCAAACCTATGTGCCGGCATAGCACAGTAATCACGAGCGGATGCATTAGAAATTACAAAAAAATTTCAAATCATGCCAAGATTTTGTTGGGATACAAGAATTAAACTTGGCAATTTTGTGTATGGATCATGCGAGTTAACCACTAGTACCTAGCGACAATGAAGGTTTATGGGAGGCGCAGTCTCAGTAGTGCGCAGTGCTCGTGTAGTGGAAGCCGTCTCTTTAACCTTCTTCTCCACGTGCAACACTGATTTGTGCCAAGAACTATTCCATTACCTATAGTTCTTCAGAGTGAACAAGGCCTGAGAATCGAACAACATTTAAGCACACAACTGCCAGGCACAGATCAGCAATCTACAGTACATTGAGAACTCGTATAATGGACACTTTTATGCATTATTTAGCTGCTCTTAGTAGTTAGAAGTTGCACGAGTTTGCAAGGTCGCAGTGCACAGACGCGACTCAATTTCGTTGAGTACGAGATACTAGGTAAAAGTGAATAAATGCTATGCAATTGAATTCTCCTGCTAAAGGAAATAAATTCGATATTAACTAAGGCGGAATAGGAGGTATGACACGTTAGGATCAGCAATACCAATTTGGCAGTTTAAAGAAGCCTCACTAAATTTCGATAACTTATAAGCTTTGGTAAACCCTTCTCGCAACTGCATCGTTATCACAAGACGCATCTGGTGATGGTTCTACTGTCCTCTTATTTCGACTGTATTAGAATGGCGATGAACTGATCTGTGATTGCGACACTTCACAGCTGTAGTACGTGAACTGGACAGCCAAGTCAGTACATGCAAGTACTGAAAAGTAATGGGTTTATTTTCAACGCTGTCGAGATGCGTAGGTAGACAGATCACTGAGAACGTTCTTAAAAGCTAACCTCTGAGATGCAGGCAGTTCATTGCAACACCTTCAGGAGTTGGACAACAATTTGATGCAAAGATGTCATTGAGTGGAGACCATGAAACATTTCCCATGAGTAATAAACAGGGGAGGTTCAGCTTTATAATGTGCAGTTTTAATAATAAAGGTCATGCATTTATCTAAGGATTTAGCGGAAACCATGTACAGATAAGTAAAAACCGCTACTGAAATACAAATTTTAGGAAATAAATTAAAAATCTTATCTGCAGGAAAGAATTTACGAGTAGCAAGATCATTTGACTGCTTGGGTCGCAAATTTACAAGAAATTTAAAAACAAAGATCGACGATACAGCTGGTGTTCGAGAATGCTTTCCCTTACAAAGATAAGATGGATTCGTGTGCCATCTTCATTGTTTTCAAATTCCTTGTAGAATTTACAAGATGTGCAACTAGAATGGTATGAAATATATTACAGTAGTGAAAACGCAAGCACAAGCAAGGAACTACACTATAAAAAAACGTAAAAAAAACCGTGCCATAAAACTGGGAGCAGTGTCTGCCAAACAAACGGGTGTTTCAACCAAAATTACAGTGAGTCAAGCTGATGAATAACTGACTTGAAGACCTCCTTGTCGGTGGGCAGCAGTGCGCTTAGGACTGGCTGGAGTGCGTGTTCCTGTGGGTGTAGACGGAGCCCATGGTCGGTGACCTGGTCCCTGAAGCCGATGTAGCAACACACGCGACACTTGACCAGCCGACGCGACGCGCGGCTGCTCGACGATGCCGGTAACTCTATGATCGTGCACCACCAAGAGCCCCCGTGCTGCAAGCAACATATAACGTTAAAAGAACATCAAGGTGAAATGAATAAAACAAGGATATTAAATGATGTTAATTGAAGGCATAAAGTGGACTATAAAGTAATTAAGGAAAGTGAAATGTGAATTAGGCAACGAATAAGAAACGACATTCACTTAAGTAATGATGATGCACTCACTCGCCTGGTGCTGAGCTATGTGTACGATGTTAAAAAAATACTTTGTCCACTAATCATTACTAAATTATAAAAATACGCTTCTTACTACGGAAATGAGACATTCGTTCACTTTAATGCATATTATCTGCATTGAAATCCTGCTCAATGAACAATTTTCGTGAAAATAATAACTTTCTGTAGCAGAAATAATTATTTTAATTGATTCAAGGAATCGTAGAAACCTCATTTGACATATAAATAAGCGCTCAAGCTAAAGACTATTTTCAGAAACAGAGTACCTACAACCTACGTACATCTCAAGAAAGTTAACGAAGATGTAATCAGTAATAGGAACCATAAAGTGCATTACCTTCTCTAATAGATGAGCTTCAATTTCTGCCTTGAATTTTGAGGTGCGACGACAACTGCTGCACCGGTAGAGTTTTTCTTCAGTTGGCTTATCCTCCTGATTTATTTCAGGCTCTAAGTCGTCCTCAGAGGTGGAGGTGCTAGCAAAAGAATCGTTTAATTCATTCGATTGACGAGCTCGCTTATTGGGCGGTTGCTGGGTGCTGCTTTCTGACGCTGCGGGCAGAGAATCAGCAGACGTGGAGTTGCAGTCCTCTTTCTTCACGGTATCCGGCAGTAATGAGGATACTTTACTGTCGCCTGCAATTACCTGGGAGGAGTGTAAAGTCATATTGAACTGGAAGTCAAGCTTGACGTGACTAACGACCCAGTGATCGAGAGCTGCCATCAGCGAGTCGCTGCTTAGCGAACAATGTATGCAAGAGTACTGGTACGTTTCCAGGATCATAGTTCCATCCGTGAACTTGCGCACCATGAACGGTAGATCTCGATGCCCTGAACGGACATGTTCTCCGATTCCTTCCCAGTTACCTTTATAGCTGCAGTGACAGCAAATGAACTCAACTCCAGGATCAACGTTGAGTGCGTCTTGTAGCCTGAGAGTCGCTGGATCGGGTTTGGGTTCTTCTTTCACGACGTCAGAAGAAGTTGATACAACTGGTGCAGTTTTTGGATCCATCTTAAGAGAGGAGTCAAATGAAAGCTCGAGGTCAGGTAATTCATCAGAATCTTCGTCAAGTTGGAAAATAGGAGGTAGAGGCTTAGGTTTCAACGAGGACTTGGTAGGAGATGGCAAAATAATGGGTTCTTGTGAAGATCCAGCTGACTCAGACGGCGTTGGAGATTCAGACAAAGGAGAGTACGTGATCTTCTGGCTAACATTAGTGTGTACACAACCGTGATGTTGCTTGGCTCTTCTCTCGTCACGAAAACGTTTGTTGCAAATCTCGCACAAGAACGGTCGATTGTGAACGTGCGTTTGGCAATGCCTATAGTATTGTTTGGAACTTGTGGACTCAAAAGAGCAGTCAGGACACTTGTGTAACTTCTTCTTGACATCTCCGCTAAAAATACTCTCCATTTTACGTTCAATATCATCAGCAGAATCGGAATCTTCGGTGAGCGATACGTTAGAATCAGATGCTGATTCTGTAATATCTACTTTGACTACCGATGTTGGTAGCCGGGAATGTCGAACTCGGCAGTGCGCCTCGACACACACTCTCGAGCCTTGGATGTAAGAGCAGTAGCCACACTTGTACCTGCATTACAAGATAACCACATTAACAAATTAATGATAGAGTATACACATATACTCTGAATTAGAATTATAAAAATGGAGGAGGCAATAGCAGTTTAATTCAAATCCGGGAATGAATGCGAAAAGAGTGTGTAGTAACAATATTATTTATAAACGATAGAGAGTGCACTGTAGCTCACACGAGGGGATGTGCTCGGGCGTGGCTGACAAGTCCCGCCGCAGTCTTGCACGTGAAGGCGCACACATCGCAGACTAATTCCTCTTGTGCCTCGGATGACTCGACACCTGCGGCGGAATGGAATAATCTAGTCAACTGTTCTTTTACGATTCATTGACATATCACCGCACTTTTACAGTTTCTAAATTTGAACATTTTTAGCGCATTTTCTCATTTATGGAAAAAATGCACTATTGTGCTCGCCATGTCCGTCTGTCTGTCCGTCCGTCCGTGACCTCAAGTTTTCGTCGACGAGAAAATGCACTCTGTCACTCACTGCAGTGAGTACTGAGTTATATTTTTTAATCCTTTGTTTAAAAAATCAAATTTATGGAAAAAATGCACTATTGTGCTCGCCATGTCCGTCTGTCTGTCCGTCCGTCCGTGACCTCAAGTTTTCGTCGACGAGAAAATGCACTCTGTCACTCACTGCAGTGAGTACCGAGTTATATTTTTTAATCCTTTGTTTAAAAAATCATAAATAAAGTAAAAACATTGAACCTATTCTCTCTGATATGCGAATTATTTACATTTGTTGGGGTCATCAGACGCGCAGAGTGATGAACGTCTCGTGAGTCTGAGACCCGTCGAGGCAGAGCCGCTGGTGTCAGTGACTGCTGCTGAGGGAGGACCGCTCTTTGAAGGTGGCAGCTGAGTCCCCGTCGCGGTCGGTTGCTGGCGCTGCACTTCTTCTTTGTGTAGGCGAATGTGATGCTGGTGATGAGTGATGATACTCTCCACCTAGGCAACAAGAATTGGATAAAACCTGGTGACACTAACACAATTGATACATGACAAAATTATGATACACAAGAAACTAAATGGCAAAGTGTGTCATGTTTATTCAAGAAAGCCCATATTAAGAAGTGAACACTCCTATTGACACCAAACCGTAACCTTAGGACACCAAACCATAGCCTTACGACACCAAACCATAGCCTTACGACACCAAACCATAGCCTTAATTAAGACACCAAACCACTGATCTTAGACTCGTTACCAAGGAGAAAATATAGCAATGATGCATAAGTGAGGTGCATGAGTAAAATGTAATAACGTAAAAACTCACCCAAGCCTCTTTCTCATCATCGATGGGCAGGACGAGATAACAGTCACTATGGAACTGTGCATGATGCACCTTGTTGTAGTGGCGACGAAGACTTGGAAGTAGAGGCGTAGTAATGCCACACTCGACGCATTCATACCTGAAATTACATAGTGAAGGAGGAATTCAATGAACGAAATTGGAAAGAGTTTCTCAGAACACCCAACAAACTTTTTTTAAAGTTTTTCCTTGGAGGAGTGTAATTTACACAATTTACACGTTTTTTTATTAGTGTTAGCACCCCACATCTAAAGTTTATAGTGGAATCAGTGTATGTGTCTGTGATTAGCTCACTATTCGGTTTCGATTATGAGATAACTCCTCTATTTATCCACGAGAATTCCAGTGCAGGAAAATGTTAGGCTATTCGGCAATAAGACGCTACATTAAGCTATTTCACCAGCACCATTAATCGGATTCTACTGGTATTGTTGCACTCCCGCTAAAATACACAACCAATTCAAATAGAGTAAAAAAGAGCGCGATATCGTTAGCGAGTAGATTATTATACGAGAGTTATGACCTGTGATAGTCAGCTTCCTTGCACAGGTGCGAGCGGAAGGTGTTCTCGCACGGCGTACGGAAACTCATGCATTTGGGGCACACGAAGTTGTCACCATCAGGCATTCCTTGCGGCAGGTCGCCTAGAGGCACTTGATGAGCCTAATGAAAACACATTTCGAATTAATACAGCATGAATTTAATGAATATGCGAAAATATTTAAAGTACGTTATCATTGGAAAGGAATTTAAACTTTAATCGCACTACTCAGATGAAGGTGGGCGAAAGGTATTTGATAAAATGCTCATCCTAAGAAGCATCTATATAGAGGAAAATGCCAGAAATATCAAATTCCTTAATGAAGAAATGGAAAGAACGAGTGCCTTACCTGAGAAGTCCGAGCTTTAGTTGGTAGAGCTGACTCGTCCAGTAAAATGCCTCTGATATGACGCGTGCGCTGTGGATCTTTCCGTTTCCACAAAGGTTCATGCTTGCCCTCCTTGCAGTTAGCAACGTAAAGCGGCTCTATGTCATCTGCGTCCAACCGGTAGTAATTGCATAGCACCTGCAATTAAGCACAATTTTATATTCAATGATGAAGAACAGTTCAGTGTGGCCCGAGACATTCCATCTGAAAAACCACTTATTCTGGAAATGATACAGGCATGAAACTTCATGTGTTTGTAATTTTTTACAAACACATATTTAGTTTTAGAATTATTTTATTTGGAATTCAAGGACACGTCTGAATATTATTCCAAACAATAATCACAATAAACCGAAAATTTGAGCTGAGCCAAAAGTGTGTCAAGATACGACAAAAGTCGTATAAACCAGAGAATGTAAGCATACAGAGACAGAGTTTGTGACAAGGGTGCTATGCTTCTTTTTTATAAACAGAACACATTTTTAAAGCAGAAGCGTTGATGACGACCTTCACCCACCTTCAGTGGCTGATTGGAATGCTTGGTAGAGAAATGCGCTTCAAAGTTGGCCATAACGGAGCTTTTGAAGTTGCAGAGACCACATTTGAACTGGCTTTTGATGTCGTGTTTGAGACTCGTGTGGTTCACCATCTCCTGCTGGGTGACCGACTGAACGCGGCACAGTCCGCACTGCCACTGAGGTTCACCCGTCTCGCCACCAAGCGTTGTTGAAGAACCGGCCGACGTTGCTGCGCCGTCCTAAAATTCCGTTGCAACCAATTGATTTTACTAGCCCTTGCTGTGTATGATTACTGCTGTGAATCACCTTTGCTGTGAATCACCTTTGCTGTGAACCTCCTTTGCTATGAACCACCTTTGCTATGAACCACCTTTGCTACCTTTGCTGTGAACCACCTTTGCTGTGAACCACCTTTGCTGTGAACCACCTTAGCTGTGAACCACCTTAGCTGTGGATTACCCTTACTGTGAACTAGTATCGTTACTGTGCATTACCTTTGCTGTTCATTACCTTTGCTGAGCATTACTTTTGTTGAGTATTACCTTTACTGAGCATTACCTTTGCTGAGCATTACCTTAGTGGTGCATTACCTTTGCGGGCCTTACCTGTGCCGTGCATTACCTTTGCTGTGAACTATTTTTGCTGTGTACTATCATTGTCGTGTACTATCACTGTCGTGCGTTATTTATTATGATGTTTTCAACCTTTCCTTTATTAGTGTTCAATTTACGTGCTTTGTTCAATAAATAATTATTTAGTATGCCTTCATTACTCCTTTGTTAAGATCGGTGGCAGTTTAGGGTTAATTGTCGAATCTACTTGGAGTCGTCCTTTACTTGAACCTTTACAGTCATTGAATGGAGTTTTTTTATCACTTAGGCTAATTAATATACATATTATTATTAGTTAGAGCTTCTTTATAACATTATATAAATATCAGCAATAAATAGGATGAAATATCACACCTGAAATAACTTGAATTATCGTTTCCGCAGTGTAGGCTATTGACGTTTCTTGAAACGATTGTAGCCTAACTGCATTCTATAGGAACCTAGGTGTAAATAAAAATTAGTGTAGAAGTTACCTTTTTACTTTCCTCAACGTCCTTTTCTTCATCTGGATCGCGAATAACAAATTCGAAAGGTCGCTTAGTTGGATGTTTCTCTCTCGTGTGGCGCTCCACGACAGGCCGCCGGTTAGATAAATATGGACACCATCCGCACCTGTCAACCAATACACATATAACACCGAAAATGTCAAGAAAAAACCATTATAGATAAGTTTAAAATAACCTTAGAGGCTTTATATCATAGACACGAGGTTTAATATTGCTTCTGCTACAGGTCAATTTCGCAGAGGGCCATGAAATATTTAACAATATGGACAGTCTCTGGCATCACGTATTGCTTTCATCATAAATCGCCAAAAAGGGGCGGAGGGTCTCTATAGGAGAACCGCAGTACTAGAAATGATAATCGAACAGTTAAGCGTTCTCACGACTATTCGTACTACAGAAGGAGAAAGAAGTCCTGGAAAACTTGAATACACAATAACTCATCCAGACAACAGAGACTCTTATTCAGATACCGAGATCTCTGCTACGAGGCATTCAGGAACCATGCTTCTAAAAACTATAAATAACAGAGTCCTTTTGGCAAGCAAAGAGAAAAATATCTCTAAGGTGGGTAAAATAATTTGAATGTATTTACAAACGCAAGAAGCAAGTTTTTGCCAGTTGTATAATCGAAGTTCCATACCTGAATAACTTTTCTCCGTGTAGCTTGAAGTGAGAGCTGATTTTTTCAATTGTGATTAAAGTATTTTTGCAGTGGGGGCAAGGAAACTGACTGACATCCAAGTGCAAACTCTTGATGTGATACTTGAGCATCATCTCGTCCGAAGAAATGTACTCACAGCCCACTACACCACATTTGTTCAAAGATGACTCAGGGACATAACATGGAAAGTTTTGCAACTCTTCAGACGGAATTGGGTTTTTAAGCCTCAAGTCAACCTGTTCAAGCGACTTCTTATCTTCAAAGCTGCTCCCTGCAAGGTTCATCATCTTATCAAACATGAGTTCTTTCCTCTCAAGACGAGGTACGGGATTCACAGGCTGGTGATTCGGAATGGGGTTCTTGTTGTCAGAATTAATTTCTGCTTTGAATGATCTCTCTGGGATGCCATCAGGGAATCGCTTATGCAACTTGAGATGCTTGATCAAATTCGAGCGGATTTTTGAAGAATACGAGCATTTGAAGCAACGTTGAGGCGTGGATAACACATGACTTCGCGGGATATTCTCAACATCAGTTACATCGAACTCGTTCTTGCGCTTCTTGCGCGAGTCCCTGGGATTTTCTTTTGGCGTAACAATGAACTCTTGGAACTCTGGGTCCTTAATAGTTGGATCTTTTAGGTCAGCTTTATAATGTGAAGTGCCGTGTATCTGCTTTGAGTGGTTACGAAAGTAGTGTAGCAACGTGGCACGGTAGCTGCAGCCTGGAGCACCACAGTGATACAGCTTTGGTCCGTGCACCTGATATGCATTTCAATTCATTACTCCACGCATTGATGACTTCCGATTTATTAAAATATAATGTAAGGGACAGTAAAGCACACATGATAGATAACCGTATTTTTGTTTTTAAATGATAGCATCCAGAATAATGTCAATAAGTAAACACTACAAACGATCAGCAGTTGAGATAGTTTCTAACAACAAATCACCAAATTAAGCAGGATTCAATCAGTCTGCTGATGAATTTTTCAATACATTACAATGATTACATGATCACTTACCTTGATATGCTCAACGAGCGCACTAATGTGGCGGAACTGACGACCGCAGTGCTGACAACGCAGCGTCGGACTGTCACGTGCCAGGTCACACACTTGCAGATGCTCACGTAGCCCTACCATCGTGGCGCTGGTGTGAGTGCACGACGGGTTACCGCAGCGATAAAGATTGTGTCCGCACAAGCCAACTTTGTCAGAAGGCCGCCCTGTTTTCTCTGAATCAATCTCAGGCTTGCTGCTAAGACTTCCTGAGAAGATAATTGAATTTAGCAAGTTTTAATACATCAGAGAATGGAATCGTTTAATTGATGGACTGGAATATTGCTGACCTCGTACTGATACTCGTATTAAGTTAGAAAAAATAAAGCATATTTGGGAGAACAGGAAATTCAAGGCGAGTATACATATATATTGAACAGTATATAATTATTCGAAAATAAATGAGCTTTAACTGGATTAATCAAACTAAATCTACGGCTCTATATACCTGAGTTTGAGTACGATCTGGATCGCAGGCTGCGTTGTTCAGAAGTAGGCGAATCTTTTGCGTTGCTCTCAGCAATTGGAGTGCTTATAGGAGCGGAAATCAACGAGTTAAACTCTTGTGTTGGCTGAGGATGCAGAGAAGAAACGCCGATCATAGGAACAACTATTCCATCACTGCTTGCATTCGCTTCTTGCTGAGCATCAATAGACGGACTGGAATTCGGTGACTGAAGCTCAGTTGTAAACTTTTTGGAAGGAGTCAGTAATAATGCATCAATATCCGGACAATCGGAGGATGAGGAGGAATTGAGGTTTGTGCGCGTTTCACTGTATTTGTTTACGAGGTCATCACTGTGTTGTGAATCTGTTGATACGATAGAACCAGGGTCCGTTTGATTTGATGCTTTTGGGTCGGGAGACAACTCTCCTCGTTTCTTTCTGGGAGGTTGGCCATCTTGATTAGAAACATCGGATGACTCAAAGCCATCATCAAATGATGTAGAAGGCGTCGACATCTGACCATTTAAATCAGAATCCTTCGTTAAGTTGCTCAACGTAGCTGATGGAACAGAGCTATTGTTACTAGAGGCACACATGCTTCTGGTAGTTTCCACGCCTGGTGCACTTGGAGCAGAAAATGCATGGGAAATTGTCGTAATGGGTGTACAAACAATCGAAGTGGAAGAACTAATGTTAGCATCAGCTGGAGTAGATACGAAGGTTGTAGTAGTCAGAGCGTCATTAATTGTAGTAAAATTAGGCGATACTTCACTTGCAGCTGTCGTGCTCACGCTCAGGGGCCCGAAATGTGGCATTGCAGCCGGACCAGTTTTGTTCATTATGGCCTCAGCTCCCATCACAATTTGATTCGTTCCCCCACCAGCTCTGGCGACACTTAGTGAAGATAGGCTGGCTGTCGGAGTGGTGTTTACATCAGAACTAGCTGCCGACACGTTGTTTGTCATCATTGGGGAGCTTGCACAAGAAGTTGTTGCTGCAGTTAATGTAGCTGCAACAGCTGATGTGACTGCTACAGCTGAGGTGGCTGCTCCACTAGAGGGAGCAGCACCAGTCCCAGGACAGGTGAGCGCCCCAGGAGTTGTGGCAGCGCTCGAAGCAACTTTCCCAGGGTCAGGAGTGTCATGTTTTCTGAGAAGGACCTTGCCGCTGCGGCCAGGGTGACAGTTGACCAGGTGAGTAAGCAGCTTCTCGCGCTCCCCCTCGCCGTGCAGGCAATACGGACACTGAAACTCGTCCATCATGTGGTCCCGCATGTGCTGCACAAACACAAGCATTCTTTTGTTAAACAAAATTATGTCATTCTTAAAGAAATTAGTAACGAATAACACTGAAATTCGTCCATCATGTGGTCCCGTATGTGCTGTACAAACACAATCATTCTCTTCTTAAACGAAATTATATCATTCTTAAAGAAATTAGTAACGAATAACACTGAAACTCGTCCATCATGTGGTCCCGCATGTGCTGTACAAACACAAGCATTATCTTCTTAAACGAAATTATATCGTTCTTAAAGAAATTAGTAACGAATAACACTGAAATTCGTCCATCATGTGGTCCCGCATGTGCTGCACAAACACAATCATTCTCTTCTTAAAAGAAATTATATCGTTCTTAAAGAAATTAGTAACGAATAACACTGAAATTCGTCCATCATGTGGTCCCGCATGTGCTGTACAAACACAATCATTATCTTCTTAAACGAAATTATGTGATTCTTGAAGAAATTAGAAACGAAGAAAGTTCATCAATTTGAAATGTGATAAATCGTGTTTATCTATTTCATGCATAAAATAAGAAAAATTCAGGAATAATGAAATATTCAGCAAAGTGACGATTTGAATTCGAATTCATGAGAATTTCACATATTTTTTTGCAAGCATACAATAATTGGCGAAATTCTCCCTTTAAAATTCATAAATTTACTGATATTAACTGAATAATGAATACATGTACGACTCAAGTTCTCTCAAAGCAAAGTTAAACATTGGCACAATATTGAGCTAGCTATTGCTTTAATTTTGAAAATAACTGAGCCGAAAAATGCTAATTGCACTTAAGCAAGCATTTTTATCGGGATGATAATTTCTTCTAAGTTTTTAACTTCATGCAAAGTTGTCTATTTCTCTCTTTCTTGTGCATTAAATGCATCATTGTTTTCAAATGTGAGCCCAGACTTGACAGAATTTTTATGAACAATCGTATATAGTAAATTTATTTATATATCAAATATTCCTGGTAAAATATTTACAAAACTCGATAATGAACAATCTTATATAGGTACTAAATTTATTATATATTATATATTCATGATAAATGTTTTACAAAACTCGATAATGAACAATCATATATACTAAATTTATTTATACATTAAATATTCATGGTAAAATGTTTAAAAAAATCTAATGAGCCGCATAACTTACGAGCACCAGAGGAACTACAGTGTCAGAGAAGGGGCACAAGGAGCACTGCAGCACGACGTCGGCACCGTGGCAGCTGCTCACGTGACTACGGAAGATTTCCGCATCTACAGTCCGCTTGGGGCAGCCATCTGTGGGAAAAAAGCCGTATTGCAGAGGTGAAGTAATAGTAATACCTGCTTGGGGCAGCCATCTGTGGGAAAAAAGCCGTATTGCAGAGGTGAAGTAATAGTAATACCTGCTTGGGGCAGCCATCTGTGGGAAAAAAGCTGTATTGCAGAGGTGAAGTAATAGTAATACCTGCTTGCGGCAGTCATCTGTGCGTAAATAAACAGTATTGCAGAGGTGATATAATACATGTGCCTTACATTTCAATATATTATGCTGCAGAGGTGATACAATATACATAACTTTCATTTCCATACTATCTTATGTCATTTCATGATTAACAATGACTTGCACCAGTAGTGATTTTAATGAAATGAAAGGAGATAAGAAACACAGGCAGAAGCTATCACATAAACCGTCTAAAGGAGAACAGAGCACCGAAGTACACTCATAAAAATGCATGGCCATATTGTCGAAATAGCGACATACTTTCTGCATGTAGCACTGGTACGGCTTTCTGTGAGTCAAAATTTACTTAGCTTAGATGACCCACACAAGGGACAGGAAGTACATCATTGTTTGGACAGAGTCTCTAAACGTTTATTTCAAAAGCCTAATTAGCCGAATAGAGAAAAACAATAAGAAAATTGTCAGTAAGCAATACTCGATCTTTGGTCTTCAATGAAACCTGCATTAAAGAACAACTTGTGCCAAACTACACCAAATGTTTCTTCGTGCATGTAAAGCGTTCTCACCGTAGCCAGTCTGGTAGGCGCGGATAAATGTTTTGACTGTCGTTATTTGGACAGAGTCTCTTAATGTTATGCGCATGTAACGCGCTCTCACCGTAGCCACACTGGTAGGTGCAAATAAATGTTTCGATTGTCGTTATTTGGACAGTCTCTAAATGTTATGTGCATGTAAAGCGCACTCACCGTAGCCGCACTGGTAGGTGCGGATAAATGTTTTGACTGTTGTTATTTGTACAGAGTCTCTAAATGTTTTGTGCACGTAAGGCGCTCTCACCGTAGTCACACTGGCAGGTGCAGATAAATGTTTTGACTGTCGTTATTTGGACAGTCTCTAAATGTTTTGTGCATGTAAGGCGCTCTCACCGTAGCCGCACTGGTAGGCGCGGATAAATGTTTCGACAGGAGGGTTGGGTGGCGGCTCAGTCCTTATGGTAGCGACGCGCACGTAGCGAGGCTGGTCCACAGGGTGGAAGTTTTTCTGCAACAAAACATTTTCAAAATATGAAGAAAATATTTACACATAACGGTAATTTAGCGCCAACGGTCATAAGTTGTGTAAATTAAGTACGACCAATTCCGATATGGCAAGGACAGCATGAAGTAAATGTTAATGTTTTTGGCACAAAACATTTGGGTTTGGTGCCGAGATAGCCAAAGGAAAACGATGTACATATTACGTATGACAGTATGTCATTATATTAGTACACAAAGTCACTCGCCATGATAATAGCTAGGTTAGATTCTTCAACTGATTAACGTAACGTTTGAAAAAGTATTTTATAAAGAATGAATAAATTTAAAATACCATGGCATATTTCTTTCAGATGTGACAACTATTAGGATGTCACAGCAGCTGCATTTGGAAAATTTATGATTTCTGTACAAAAGTTAAGCCCATTAGATGATAAGCCGATTTTTATAATCCAGATGGACAGATTTAGGTGGATGACGTCATAGCCATCATCTTAGGGGGGCCTGAGGTAGAGCGGTAGAGGTAGAGCTCTTACCATGTGGGTGCCGAGGTAGAAGGTAGAGGTAGAGCTCTTACCATGTGGGTGCCGAGGTAGAAGATAGAGGTAGAGCTCTTACCATGTGGGTGCCGCGGTAGAAGGTAGAGGTAGAGCTCTTACCATGTGTGTGCCGAGGTAGAGGGTAGAGGTAGAGCGGTAGAGGCAGTGTTTACACATGTAGCCGCAGTGGCTGTGCTCCTCGACGATGTGATGCACGAGCTCCTCCGTGCTACCGAAGGGCATGAGGCAGTAGCAGCACCTAACACAGAATGCATATACATGTTGAGTGGAATAATGCCTACAACAATTTATTGTAACTCGCTAAATATTATAATAAACTGAACATTATGAAAAACCGTTTAATCTTCATTGAAGTAGAAACAAAATTTTGTGATAAGTTCAAGATACAAGCAAACTTTCACTACCAAAAATAATTTTCATCCAATTTCGTCGTATAATTTCCATATGGTTTCTTCATATGTTCTCTTTCATGCAGAACTATGAAAGCAATATAAAAACATATTTAGGGGCTTAAAGGTCATAATTTTAAAGCTCTAAATTACCGAGCCACATATCTACTGAAAATCTTCAAGAAACACGCAAGTTCGTGAACAGTGCGCGCTATGCAGCGCAAGCATCACCTGAAAGGGCAGCAGTATTAAGTGAATTATTCAGTACAAACTCAATAGCATAGATCAAGCCTTGCTGCGCCAATTTTTACAAGCAACTTTACCTACTGTAAATGATTGAATAAGAACCATGTTCACCTGGCAGCGCGATGTGAACTGCTCAGGAGATGTGGTGGCAAAGATAGGTACAGCTTCGCTGCTTCTAATTTTTACAAGCAACTTTATCTACTGTAAATGAATAAGAACCATGTTCACCTGGCAGTGCAGCCGTGAGCCTTGCAGTGCGATGTGAACTGCTCAGGAGATGTGGTGGCAAAGATACAGCCTCGCTGCATACACTTGAACACTTCGCTGGACTTGCGGCCAGTGTACACACGGAAGGCGCTTACTGACTGGTACCTGGGACAATGGATATAGTTACCGAGGCAGTACTCAGTATAGAGGCTTGGCTCGGTTATTGGATTACTAGAACTTATGTCTCAAATCAACTAAAAGATGAACTTCTGGTATGTACATCAAGAAGAATTTGAGAAAAATTGCATGAAAATTCAAGAATTACGAGGTGAGTCTTGAACATTAGAATATCGAGTTATTGGACACATAGCCAGTGTATTCTCAGTTGTGAAATGCCTGTTATATGAGCACTGCTTCAGGATGATGCAGGAGCAAACGATGGAGAAAAAAAAACATTGGCATGGCGACCTGGCGATTAATGCAGTGGTACATTTAGGAGCCTGAATTCCTCACAGAAACAATGTGGTATTTACAACTGGAAAAGTACATCCATTCGATACAATCAAAAATTATTAATTCCAGTCATATCTTTCAGAAATACTAAGAATTAAAGTATTTCATTTTAAACATCGAAAAAATCGAAACGAAATATCTCGAATCATCGCTGGCACAAAGAAGAATCAGCATTTCATTATTATATATAAATTTAAAAGTCACTGCTTCACTTAATTTATCCTAATAACAGGATAAAGTGCACAGATCTACAACAGAATTGCAGTAGAAAAGTTGTAAGACATAATCAAGACAAGAAATACCCACTGAAATATATATTTAAAATATATACTGAAAATATATTCCAGTAGAAATACTCACTGTAATATATACTTAAAATATACTCCACTGGAAATACTCACTGTAATATACACTTAAAATATACTCCACTAGAAATACTCACTGTAATATACACTTAAAATATACTCCACTAGAAATACTCACTGTAATATATACTGAAAATACATTCCACTATAAATACTCACTGTAATATATACTGAAATACATTCCACTATAAATTCTCACTGTAATATATACTGAAATACATTCCACTAGAAATACTCACTGTAATATATACTGAAAATATATTCCACTATAAATACTCACTGTAATATATACTGAAATACATTCCACTATAAATACTCACTGTAATATATACTGAAATACATTCCACTAGAAATACTCACTGTAATATATACTGAAAATATATTCCACTATAAATACTCACTGCTTAAAAAGATATTCAATAGGAACTGTAGGCGGGTGCAGAGGGAGGAGGTGGAAGCCATGGGGAAGTGTTTCTGACTCCTCATCTGGAGGCTCCTGTTTTATGGCGACCACTCCTACAGGCCCCACTAACTGGGTGCTTGGATCCTTTGCACGAACAGGATCATGGGCTTGAGCTGAGCTTGAAGTCACACCTGACGAAGATGACGTCTTGGATGAACCAGAGACAGCAGTCATTAGAGGTCCAGACGATGACGACACGGCGGTGTCAGAGCTTGCCGATGCGACCGTTGTAACTGTTCCAACAGATGTCACGGGTACCGACACAGATGTCACGGGTGTCGCGGCGGATGTCACGGGTCCCGACACAGATGTCACGGGCGTCGCGGCAGATGTAACGGGCGCCGAGGCGGATGACGTGTCGCCGGTTGTGCAATCTGCAGATGACGTTACAGGAGCTACAAGTGCTGGCTGTGAGGGGTCCAGCAATGCGGAATCGGTCGTGGTTCCGGCACCTGATAAAATAATTGCGATGCCTTGAGAAAATACTAATATAATAATAATAATACAATATAATAATAATAATAATAACTTAATAAATAATGACGAAAATCAAGGTTAAAACGACAATATTAATGTTGGTGATTTGCAACTAAATCGATTGAAATAAATTAATTGAATAAATCTTACAGGAGATCAATCACTGGAATTGCCAGTGCGGGGACAAATTACAGATTAAGATTATGTTTTAAGTCTATGTATTCTGATTAAGTCTATGTATTCTTGCTGCTTTATATACAAGCTAAACACGCACTAGAAGACTTCCCTGCACTAAAAGCTTTACATCTATACTCTTCTCTCGCTCGATAGACGAGTGCTCCAAATTTTAGATAAATAGAGTTAAATATAGAGTCACACACAGCAACAGATGAAGAAAGCGGACATCGTGTTCTAATAACAAAAAGTAATCAGAGCTTTAGCTTTAAAAATAACCGCACAAATAAACATATAAAAAAATAATTAAAAATAAATACAAGTTTGAAACAAAAGTTTATCAAATTTCGAGGATTTAAATAATATTTAAGGCGTACAGCAGTAATCGGTCATCGAGAATAACCAAGCTAATAATACACAAATAATTCAAATACACAAATAATTTAAATACACAAATAATTTAAATACACAAATAATTTAAATACACAAATAATTTAAATACACAAATAATAAACTAATAATAATACACAATTAAAACTTGAGGCCTCGTGTTTTTTGCAGGAATCCCGCTATATCGAGATGAAAACTAACACTCGGTAGCAGTGTAAGCTGGTGCAGCAGCGTGAGCCTTCTTGTAGTGGCTGATGAGAGCGTCTACGCACGCCTCGCTGCACCCGCAGTCATACGCACACTTGTACACGCTTACCTGTCAACACAATATAGAGTGATGAAATATATGTGTTATCAACAACGAATGTTAATACAATATAGAGTGATGAAATATGTATATTATCAACACCTGACAACATAATATACACTGATAAAATATGTGTGTTTTCAACAACGTATGTCAACACAATATACACTGGTGAAATATATATATTATCAAAAACACATGTCAACACAATATACACTGATCGCAACATCGTAAATCCGTCAGTTAATCCATCGTTGTGGTTCCGGACTGAGAGCTATATATTTTTTGTTTCTTCTGTGATTCATTTTCATATTCGTTTCATCAAAATGAATAAATTAATCTCAATTCTTTATTCTCAAGATAAAGTCTAACACAATATTGCGATAAGCAATATTAGCTACGATCTAACTAACAATATTTAAGCCTTCAAATATGGGTCAAAGGTCATTCAAATGACATGCGGAAGAACAAATAAAAATGCATGGCATCTAAAAAAATCAAAACACTCTCAAGTATTTTGTACAAATAACATAAAACGGTCATTTGTAAGCTTTTATTTTTTTGCAATAAATTTTGCTTGTGATTGAATTTAAGCTATGAAAGCCAAAACTCCAAGGGTTCTCATTGACTCTAGTAACTTAAATACCTTTCATGTTAAAGAAATTTATGGAAAGATTAATCTGGAGATAATTACGGTGTCACAACATTAATAGGAACATAATTACAAGAATGAATGGAGGACATATGTGTTCATAATCTTGATAAGCGATAAGGACAAATTACAACTAAACTAGTTTACAAAGCAATTATTAGTGACAAAAAAATGCTCATATACCAGCGGATGTGTCTGGTAGTGTACGATGAACTGCTCCTCGGAGAAGGTAGCGTAGGAGCAGAAGTAGAAGGAGCAGCTGTAGAACCCGTGCGTCTGCACGCGATGTGTGGAGAGCTGCTGCTCGCTGCCGCACGTATACACGCAGCCGGGGTGTGAGCACCTTACAACCGTGCCGCTCTCATTTGCTAACTCATTACACTAGAAAAAACATGCATCACAGTAAATTAAAAAAATACTATGCACTGGATTGGAAGCCTTAATTAAAATTGATCGTAAATTGTAATTTATATATATGTAATTTAAATTAAAAATTGATCGTAAATTGTAATTTATATATATGTAATTTAAATTAATCTTGAATTTTAAGCACCGCACGAATGGCAGCGCCGTGCCGAGCGCTCTCCTTTGCTAACTCATTACACTAGAAAAACATGCATCACAGTAAATTAAAAAAAATATGCACTGGATTGAAAGCCTTGATTAAAATTAATCGTAAATTGTAATTATTATATTAGTAATTTAAATTAATCTTGAATTTTAAGCACCTCACGCATGGCAGCGCCGTGCCGCTCTCATTTCCTAACTCATTACACTAGGAAAAACATGCATCACAGTAAATTAAAAAAATACTATGCACTGGATTGAAAGCCTTAATTAAAATTAATCGTAAATTGTAATTATTATATTAGTAATTTAAATTAATCTTGAATAATTATTTTTACCTCTGACAGTCGAGTTGAGAAGCATTTTTAGAACAATTAAACCAAATTTTTAAAATAAAATCCAGTGTATTGAAGTGCGTAACCTTGGAAGTTTTATTTTTGAAATGTACCTACTGTATTATACTTCACACAAACTTAAATTAGTCATAAAAGTCAAGCAGCAGTCTTCGATCCGCTAGATTTTATTGTACTAAGACCCGTCAAAGAGATTTGTCGCCTTTCGAACGTTCTTAAGCATATATTCCAGTTACTAAATGCCTGGCAGGAAAATCATTCGTCTGGGGCCATACTTTCAAAACTCGCTAAGTGAACGTAAGTACTTACGCTCTATTTTCTTGTCTATGATTGGTGAATTTAGTTTGAAAGGCCGTCAATGATTGGCTGATGAACTTACGATCTCTTAACTTTTTTTGAAAGTATAGGCCCAGATCTCAATAAATATTATGAGCTCACCTGAGTCGTGCTACGAGTCTCATCTTGTTCGACCAACTCCTCCGAATTAGCAGACGCCTCATACTCTTCTCCTTCGGTCTGTGATTCATCTTCAGACTTGTATTCTTCATCGTAAGGATCAGTTTCCTCGTAATTGTCCTCGTCACTATCGTACTCTGAATCCTGTTCTTCAGAATCATCGCTGTCTACGTTATTTAAGCTCGTAGCAGATGAAGTTCTAACTTGCAGGGACTGACTGAGTTTAGATATCGTGGATTTGAGATCCAAAACATTTTCTTCCACTGATGCTGTCATTTCATCAGCAACGCCAGTCATGTCCTCGAGTGGCGTGTAAGCCTCAACAACTTCATGTTCATCAGAGTGTAAGACGGGGGGCGTTTCGGTACCAGAGTTAGACGCATTTTGAGTTAGGGTATCTTCAATAGTAGATGTACTCTGAGTGTGTGAATGTACCAACTCTTCCGAAGACTTACTACTTACAACAGGTTCATCTTCATCAATCGATTTCCTCAAGATTTTTTGGCTTAAGGATTCTAATTTGGTGAGCTTAACTTTAGTCCCTTCAACAGTTCGTGTGGTATAGATGTTTTGTGATATTCTCTCAACCAACTTTTTAGCTTCAATTTGATTCATTTCGGCTTCCTCATCCTGTGTTCCGCCACCAATAAAAACATTACGTTCAACGGCTTTTAACTTTTTCGCAGGTTTTTTAGGTTTGGATTTGTCTTTGGATGGAAGATCACGTTTATTGCGTCCAGTGTGTATGGTAATAGAGCGAAACATGTTTGCCTTCACGATTTCAGCCCTTCCAGAATGCCTCTGTGTTGAATGAGCCTCTACCTTGTGGGATTGAATTTGAGTGAAAAGACATAGCTTGCAAATATGGATGTATGGCCAGTTATCGATCATTACGAAATCCCTAGTCGCGATCTGTTGAGGAGCGCCTTCGTGCGTTGTTTTATGGTGTTCTTCTACACGTTGCCTAGAGTAGGAGCCATAACCGCATTTATTGCAGCGATGGCGGTATTCACCAGTGTGGCTTGTAAAGTGATCGTAAGCGACTTCCAGATCATTAGTCATGTGATGACATAGTCGACAATGGAACATTGTTGGTAGTGATTTGGGATAATGTTCAATGTAGTGGTATATCAAATCAAACCTAATGCTGGATACGTAATCACACCCTTCAAAATTGCACACGATGGCTTCATTGAACTGTAATCCAGGAGGTACCCACGACAGGTCAACTTCTTCGGGCTTTTCGCCATTTTCAAGAACGAAAGGTCCAACCTTGTCTCTAAAAACAACGTTTACGTCTTCCTTCTTGAATTCGCACTTAATTTCTCTTTCTGGGTGAAAATTCACAAGATGATTTACATGCTGTCGACCAACATACTCGCATAGCTCACATTGAAAAAGGTCAAGAACACCTCCATCGTCCCAATGTACAGCTTCAAAGCTGTCCGGTTTGTCTATTATAGAGCCACGAGTAACTCTTCTAGCCTCGAGATTAGGAATGGAACTACTTCTAATAGCTCTTTTTTTCCGGCGTAGCTTTCCCATAGAGTCAGGAGTCTTGGAATCACGACCGTCCCCAGATACAACAGAACTGTCAAAACTAGAAACACTTGCTATTCCAACGCTGACGTTATCCTCATCGCTGTCCATGGCTGAAACCGGTTCTCTTGGTTTATCCTTAGTGGAGTCCAACTTGCCAGCTTCGGATGGAAATTTTTCGTGTTCAGAACCAAGATCTTCATGAATATTCGATGCAGATTTTTCCATAACTGTTGGTAGTGCGTCTTGAACATCTCTAGCAGAGGTCGGTTGCACTTCCGGGGTAGTGTTATTCTCCAAAAGTTCAGCCGGTTCAGTTGCCGAAAAAGTATCAGGTTGACGACTTGTCGATTCAGCATGGCCCGAAGCCTGATCACTTACATTATTTGATACGTTTTCAAGAGAGGTTAATTCACTAGGTACCGAGAAGCTATTGCCTTGCTCAATCTCATCTGTGGAAATATCTTTTGCATTATTCAAGTCGTCTGAAACACCTTCGTCAATAGCAAGTCCAGGGACTACAGAACTCGCATTCAACTCTGTGGATAGCTCGCCAGAAGCAAAAGACTTGCTATTGCAAGGTAATGAAGTGCCGAGTTCAAGTAGGGCATCATCAGCAACGCGAGGGTCTGCGAGATCTGGGAGATTGTTACGCAACACGTCGTCATTGATGGTGTCCATGATCTGAGAGAGATCCGGTAGGTCATCTTCCCCTAGAGAGCTACCGCCGAAGATATCAGTTTGCTGAGACAGATTAAGATCATCGTTCCCCGTGTTATTGACGCTGTCTGTTGAAGTGTTAAGAGACGACTGGGTTATTACTTGAGTCACAGGTGACGAACACAAACTCGTCACGGACTCAATTTGTAGACCACTTGCGCTTTGATCCTCAGATCGATCCATTTCTGGGGCAATTTTCTGTTTTTTAGACGGCTGGTCATCAGAGGTAGCACTGTCATTCGTATCAGCAATAGAACGCTTCTCGGTTGGTTGATATGTATTTATTGCTAGTGTAGGCTCTTCATCCGTGTCGCTGTCAAGAATTATGCACTCTTTTGATTCATTGAGAGTAGATGTTTTACTTTTGTTCTGCGTCGATGTTTCAACATTAGATTTTTTGGCATGACAAAAATCTTCTAACCCCTCGTTTGAGCTATTTTTTGCATCAGAGTGACATTGCTGATTCTTATTATCCACCACAATTGGACATAGTCCATCAGATTCACTAGCATGAAGTTGATCATCAAAATCTTTTTCTTCATCATCTAAATCGATGATATCAGTTGCTGCACTACAAACACTGTCATTGACACCAGAAGCAGTATTGGCACTTCGTGACGGAGCACGGAAAGAATCAGGATTAGCGGTATTTTCAGCACAATCGTCCGATTCAATTTCTACAATTTCAGGATCGCTTGACCGACGAGATGAACCGACTACAGATTCCGAGGACTTTCGGCGCTTATTTTCCGACCGTGGTTCAACATGAGGCAAAGTTTGCGGCTCGTCATCTGACAGGGTCGAGTCGGCTATCATAACTACTGAATGAGGTTTAGCTCCGCTGACACTTGCAGCATCTGAATTTTTGGCAGCCAATGCAACACTAGAATTTGTTTCCCGTTTCTTTTTATCGCTCAGTTCGGCTAAGATGGCCCTCAAAGCGTTAGTACACGTCTCCTGATCATCACGTGCAACAATTGGTGGAATAACGGGTTCGGGAAATGCATTATCAATTGAATTCCTCGTTTCCCTAACCATTTCGTCTAAATCGATAACGAGAGAATCACGATCACTGCCATCTGATCTATCCGAAAATGGATGCTCAAACTTGTCCAAGTCTTCGCTGGGAGCGGGCATGGAAACATCGCCAACTGAAGCGGACAGCAGTTTAGTTATGCCCGATCCGTCAGAATTTCCAGCACTAGAGCTAACTTCCAGCGTAGAGGAGTCGTCTGACGAGCCCAATTTTGCAGGCAACTTGGACTTGCGGGTCAGCAGCGGTTTGTCATCAAACAAGCATTCGACATATTTACTGGGAGTAGGCACGGTCACCTTGAACTTACTTTTATCGTCCAGAACTTTCTCGACAACCTCGTGAGTTTTGCGAGTCATTTTGGGGTTGAGATCAGCAGAGGATATTTTGTCCTGTTTTCTTTTCTTATTTACTGGTAGAACAGTTTCGGAATTGGAAACAACCGGTATGGAGGAGGAACAACTAACGTCTTTCGAGGATTTTTCTATGTGGGTATTCTTGTCACGATTCAGTATATTATCTTCTTCAGGTTCATCACTGGAGTCATGCAAACTAGCGGCAAAGTCTGGGCCTTCTTCGAAATCAAGATTATCTTCTTCGCGGTCTGATATGACAATATCGTCTGTAATTACAGCACTAGATTGTACTATATCGGGAAATTCGAAGTCGTTATTCTTTCGACACAGCAGAACCTCACTCTCTTTTTCAGCTGTTGATCCGGGAGCAGTTACATTCACAGGCGATGCAACATCACGTACCCCAACAGAGTTCGCCGACGACGTGTGAATATTTTCATCCTCACTGGAATCCGACACACAAGGACTAATAATTTTCCGGAAGCGACGATTCTTCTTAGATTTCGAATGATTCGATGGAGCAATAAGTTCATCAGAATCATTTTCATCAATCTTTTTTGCAACCTCGTCCGTGGTCTTCTTCGACGCAACACTAACAGGGTCTGATGGCTCGACGTCTGATACTGTGGCCTTCCCATCAGTCAGGGATTTATTCAAATCTTTGATTTTAGTACCGCTAGTGGATTTATGAGGCTCGGACAATGCTGTATCCGCGGCCAGCTTACGCTGCGAACGCTTGGGGTCGTAGAATGGGTTACAGTTGCCAGTGGGGAGCATAGGAATACCAAGGCGACGCTCTCTTTCATTGTTTTTTTCTTTATAATTTTTCTTGGCAGTCTGAAAGAAACCTGAGGTCATAGATCCCAAAGATATTTGAAAGCCATGCATTATATACCCATTTAATTTTTTGAGACATTCTGCAGCAGACTCGGGACTGGGAAACTGTATGTAAGCGTTTCCGGTGCAATTTAGACCGTGATCCAGTTCAATGCACACATCTTTTAAAATGTATTCCTGGAAAAATTTATAGACGTGCATGGAATTTGCAAATTGCGGTAAGCCTTTCATAATAATGAAAGCGCTTGAACTTAGATTTGCAGGGGTTTTTAGTGTCTCTGGAGGTCCAGTGCAAGGAGGAGGTGGAGTAGGGGACTGAGGAGGAGGATATGCCATGGTCATAGGCCCATACATACCCGGGAAGGTTGGGGCAGGTACTGCGTACAGCGGACCCATACCTGTTTTCACCACACCAGCGGGTTGCATCATCCTCCCTGAGGTAACGTGCATATCGTGAGTTCCTTGAGGTCCAGCACCTATCACACTGTGATGATTTCGGTTGAATGTTCTCGGATCTCGAGACGAAATTCTGGGATCATAGGAAGGTGAAGGGATGTTTCCCAATGGACCTTGACTGGGAGCAGGAAAACCGTGAGACTTCATCCCACTGGTCAAGAAGGGTTTCATAAAAGGAGAATGAGTATCTGGAGCAACTGGTAACCGTTGCATAGGTTGTCTACCTTCTCTAGTTCTAGGATCTCTATTGCGTTGAAATTTATGGTCCGGTAGTGGGATTTGGGGGTTGCTGGCGTTGAAAGGAGGCATTGGAGGGGGCAGTAATGGTGTATTTACCATACGCCCGCCGAAGCTAGGAACATCTTCAGTGAAAATTTCTTCCATCACAGGACTGTTGGTACTCTTGTCATTGGAGCTACTAGGTGAAGTTTCTGGAATAAGCTCATCTAATATACAGGAGGGTTTGCTTGGTTTCTTGGCTCGACGTCGCCTGTATTCTTCAATGTTTAGAGCCCCACTCACACTTTTAGAACCAGACTTCATTTTGTTTGGTTCATACTTAGTGCTCTGAGAGGTTAGGCTCAATCTAGCATGGTTCGAGTGATTACTACTGGAATTTGACGCCCTTTCAACAAATGGAGGACCATCTTCCTTGTGTTCAACGGGTATTTTAGTAGTTTCCGGTTGTTTTTTTAAAGGACTGCTGTCGATCACCGCACTTATTAAATTACTTGAGAGAGGGGGAGGTTTGGGAATGCTCGGGGGCACTGGAGGTGCAGCATTTATCGCACGTTTTCTATGGCCGTGAGATACCTTAGTCGCAGGGCCAACAAAATCTTCGTATTTCAATGTATCGTCTCTGGTTTCTCGAGATAGTTCCATCGAGAACCTTTCGACATTGCGAATGGCTCCTTTAGTAGTTGCAACACTGTTCTCTCTTGACTTCCGAAAATTTTCGGCGGATGACACCTTTTCAACAGGGATTGTTTGTACAGGAGAGAAACCAGTAGGACTGAATGAACCAACATCTTCGGGTTCAGGAGAATCCGGTGTATCATCCGGAGTAAATGAAGCTGAAGGACATTTTGCCAATGCCAAACTATCTCTTGCACTTTCGCGAGTTCTGTTAGGATCAGTATTGAAGAGAGTTGTACGAGAATGATCTCTTTGAGAACTAGAAAACGATGAAGCAGAAGTAGGCCGTGCTGACCGTCCAGCAGCATTCGTTTCAAACTTGTTAGAAGGTAATGAGTTGAATAGTTGAGTACGACCATCGTCTGTCACATTCCAAGGTCTATCTCTTTTCTCGGAAAACCGATCGTTGGCACGAGAACCCATGGCGCGCTCATCATTTTCCTCTGCAGAAGTACGTTTGGACGAGTTTCTCTCACGAACATATGGGGAGTCATTGCACGAGAGACGATTGTGTGAAGATTTTTGTTCATCATTAATAAAGATGACATCTTTAGAACTTGAAAGATTAGAATGACCTTGGTAACTTGTTCCTGGAGTAAGTTGAGAAAGTTCCGGAGGAGGCGCTGGTTTAAGGCCAAATAACTTCTGCAGTTTCTCTCTTGACATCTGCAGTTTTGCACTGTTTGAAGGGGAGTTGCTTTGAGACATACAGAAAGCGGCAGGCAATTGCTCCTTACCCACAGCCTTGTATTTGTCGTCTTCAACAGTAGACACTCCTGCAGGATAACGTTGATCCCAGCGACTTACACGGTCTTGTCTGGGAGCAGTGCACGTTTTACTGCTTCCGCTATTAATGTCAGGCGGCATCGGAAGGTCCAATAAGCTTCGTTTATGCGGTTGCTGCTTATGACTATAATGAGGTTTTTGTAGGCTATGTTGTGACTGTGAACTGCCAGAAGAGGAAGATCCAGTCCTTGAGTATGGATTAGAAGATGAATGCGGAGCAGATGAAGGAGTGTGTATCGCTGGAGGAACAGCATCAAACAGCTTACCAGTATTATACAATGGTTTTTTATTATCGCCTTGCGATGATGAGAGATCATAGCGATGTCCTGGTTTTGTGGATGTACTTAGGAAGTCCTTCTGACGCACACTCGGATACTTGCTTGACATCAAAGACGAACGACTAGTAGATTGATTATCCTCTTTCCTCCTCGTACTCTGATGCGTCACTGCGTCAGACGGACGAGAGGGTATGGGTCTCAATTGTTCGAACTGTTCCAAAGCCTCATCCCCGAATAATGCTAACATTTTCTCGCTGACATTTTTCTTGCTTCCGTCATTCTTCAACTGAATTGACCGTAGATCCGTATCAAGAGATTTTTGTGATTTATCATTCCAATTTTGGGCAGTGTTATTTCTTTGGTGGGAAACATTAGTATTATTATGACTGGTATAACCTGTTGTTCCTGATGGTCTGAGAGGATTCCTAGGTGACGAAGAACTGCCTAAATTGTGCTTGCCAAGGCTTCCTAAAACGGAAATAATTTCAGGGTCGTCATTACTGGCTTCCATCAAGGACATCTCGAGAGCAGCGCTGCCTCGTTGCGATTCGATACATTTGTTCTCTAGAAACACATTCATTCCTTGCTGAGCAGGGCCGCTTTCACTCCTTTTGCTGGTCTCAACAACTTTTAATTGCGAATTACCTTCTCGTTTGAGAAATGCTTTCTCATTGCTAGAGCTGCCAGATGCGTTCTGCAGGAGAAAAAAAATAAAACAAATAAAAATAAAATCAAAGAGGAATATACTATTGAATGATTAGTTAATTGTCGTCCATAAGGGTTTGAAAGTAAGTTTTACACCAAATGTTTATGGCACCCAATTCTACATTGTTCTATGAAAAATTAAAAAATTTGCAGTGTTATTATACAAAATAAAATCACCTAATAAATGAACTAATAAATGGTCACCATATAAATGCATAAAAATGCATTAAAACACTCCTACCGATTCTTTAGATGAAGCTTATACAGCCTGCTACAATTATCGTGTCAATCGATATCGTGTCATACACTCCAACCCCTGTGTGTATGTAGCTTAGCTAGAACGTATTTTAATAAGTTAACGAATTCGTATTCTAAGCTGTCTTTAAAACGCAAGTGTTGGGACGCTGGATTGTTCTAAATTACGCTGGGCATGAGCTCAGTTGGAGTTGAATAGTTAAGTGGCCACATGTGCATTTACGCTTCAGCTATATAGCTATCTTGCACCGGAAATCATGATGAACATTACCAATGAGGTGAGTGAATGGTCTCGGTTATCGATATATTCTCAAATCAGTTATCGTTCATCACCAGCAAGAGGCGGAAGATCTTAATTGTCCAGCCCGATGAAGCTGGCTCGAAAGAAACCGCGTTAGCATCTCAAGGAGACGAAGTGACAAAGGGGAACAGGTAAAAAGCAACAGAAACGAAAACACTCGCACAAGAGGTCACTTATACGGGACGTGGGCCGAGGAGAGCGATACAAGGAATCGTGCCTACATGGACAAGTTACCCCACAACTAAGATCGGCGGTCATTCACCGAGAGCTCCGTGGTGGCGCCCCCAGGAACGCAAAATCCCATAAGACTCCGGACGAGCACAGACACATGTCAGTAGTCCCTGCTAAGGAGAGCTCAACGGGAGGAATTTGATTACGGTAGAAATGCTCCACCTGACGCATGTGGACTGTAAATCCTCGCCCACCTCTTAAAGCTTTATATCACCGCTTGGACAAACTACCTAATTATTCCCATTGCAAAACAAGAAAAACCGAAAAATCAAAGTTCAATCCACCTTTTATTTCCCTTCTGTGTTCAACGGCTAAATTCACAAAGCGCCTTTCGCTTGCCCAACTCACAACCGCCCTGGTCATAACTAGGTCATAACACTCCTAAACCGGGCCCATTTTAATTACTTTCCTGCCGCTCTCGCGACAGATAACGATGGGCTTTCATTCTAGCGGCCTCCTACCCGCACTGAGGCAGCCATTACTGACCTAACTAAATAATCGAATCAGCACTGGCCCTAAACCACTTCGCCCCTTGGCTGTGCCTCAATGACACAAACTTGTGCGGGCTCAACGGGGAAGGGAAAAGTTGACTTGCTTTTTCTCCCGTTTATTGACGTAAGCTGAGTGACGTAAGCTGAGTGACGTAAGACGAGGTGGTTTTGGCAGGCGAGAAGAAGAGACGACAAAGTTGACGATAATTACGTTTAAGATTTCCGAGCCTCAACGAGTTAGGCCAGATATACCTAATCTTGACATTTAATTTCTTATGCTTAAATTTGCCAACGCTGAGTTGGGCTTCAATTACAGTTATAGCGTCAACGCTAGGTTGGGATTCGATTCCGATAATAGCGCCAACGCGGGGTTGGGCTTGAAATTGATTACTAAGTATGGCAGTGCCAACGCTGGGTTGGGCTTTCTTTACGATTAGTGCCAACGACTGCGGTTGGGCTTGGCCTACGATTACGGTACCTGAAATGATCAGATTAGAGATAAACTTTAGAGGACAATATCTTAAAATTACCTAAAATGCTTCAAATTAAAGGAGACTGAAAGAAACGCATGTCGGCACTCGCCAGGAAGCAGTAAGGCTCGATGAGGCTGTAAGCGGAGAACGAAGTAGTATCCCTTAAAATTTTTTCTATGAGATTGTGTCGAAGAAAACAGAACGGCGTCTTTGCTACACATTCGAATGATTATAACGGCGATGGTGAGGCAAATGGCCTAGAAAATATCAAATCAGTACATCCAGTTATGCGACAAATAATCCCTTTTTAAAATAATTACTCCTAGACGAATTCATACTAGAAAATACATATCAACTATGACATAGTCAAGAGCCTATGAGCTGGTGTTCGTGATCATGGCCGCCATTACATCGGCGCGGCACGACTCGCAGTGACAACTTCAATATGCACTCAATAACATGAATTTAGAATCACAATTCTGGAATCATACACAGTGAAGGCAATAGAGGAATACATGGATACAATAGGCTTAATAAGCTATAACATCATAAAATAAGGTAACACCGGGAGGGCTCGTGGAGCAACACACTACTCGCTCGAGCTCTAGGCGCCCACTGTTGAGGCAGTGACGCTGCTAGGAACGCGAGAACCGTTTGAGGGGTGGCTGCGTTCACGTGGTGGTAATTTCGTTGATCTTTGCGATATTTTCTACGCACTTGTGGAGTGAACGCCGGGATGAGTGAAGATTTTAAGAAAGAATAGATGAGGATAGGAAAACTTAGTGCGTTGAATCTGACGAGTGACGAACGACGTCACACTCAACCTCGGATCCTATTCGCTCGTAAAAAGCACGTACACGGGAGTCTTCCCCGAGACGCGAAAACGCAGAGCTCCTGTTCGGCATGTAACTAACAGCGAACTGACTAACAGCGCTCTAACTAACACAGCGCTCCTGTTCGGCATGTTCAACTGAACTAACAGCGCTCCTGTTCGGCATGTTCGACTAGTCCGCCGCCAAAATCCCCTTTCACGTTATCTACTCCCGATATCCACTTATTAAGAGCACGCCCCTCAGTCTATCTGAAACAGTTGCATCCCAATCTTAAAACCCTTAAAATTCCGCGGGATATAGCCACTTCACGTTCCTCCTTCCCACGTAGTTTGCGCAATATGAAGGACATAATCAGCCCCCTAATGGGGTTTTCCTTGGAGGGCATCAGATCCACAAACAAGTGGAACAACAGCACAATGTTATTGTTGTTTTGGACAAACACCAAAAGCCATCCAGTCATGAATTGGGCAGATACAATCTGGTATCCCTGGCTTCCCGTTGCGCCGTCGCCAGCCTATAAGTCCCACAGAACTCAGCTCTGAGGTTCGCCTGTGCGGCTTCCAATGACCATCTTCACACTGAGATAGGAGTCCTTTCCTGCCCATCCCTATACCAGGCTCTGGTTTGCAGTGTCTGGTTAGCGCTCTCTAGACCAGTTACTCCCCTTTCCCGCTCACTTTCTTTTCATATGGGTAAACACCGTGAATATTACTCTGCAATTCTCTGTTATAGTTATAGCTTTCTTTCTTCATAGTGAATAGCAGCTTGCTTGCTTTAAGGCCTTGATTGAGAACCGAGAGGCTTCGAACAGGCTCGACTCTTCCCTATGCGTTTCTTCACTAATTAGGATAGACTTTACTCCACTCGCAAATGAGATGGCGATATGGATTTTTCCATAGTCACCCAGCTATTTACTTATAAGCGTCGACCAGTAACAAAAATATGTAAACTTTGCATTAAAAGAGTTTTAATGAGATGAAATTTCAAGAAACTTTGAATATTATTGTTCATCATGTCTGTGACTTTTTTTTTACTTTTTTCGAGATGTAAACGGGCTGTAATTTTTATCCTCCATTGAATGGTATACTCGGCATTCCTTGATCAGCCTCCTTGTTGTAGATATTTTTTTCCGAAAAATAGTTATGATCGAGTCTGTTGATACGCGGAGGGAAAATCCCGCATACTAGCTGCTCAAATGGAGACGTTGTGCAATATTTAAGGGGAAAGAGACGTCGTAAATTACTCAACTGTCAGTTCACGACGGGTGGCATGGTAGAGGCAAAGTCAATGAGGGGGGCGAAGAATAATACGTGGCCAGTGGTCGGCCTAGTCCAATTAGTTATAGCCGACCGTTGGCCATTCCTCGGCCACCTGAAAGCGACCAGTTGCCGCGAAGAAGGGTCTGGCTAGGATATCATATTACAAAGAGTACAAGCTCGAGGGTAGCGACCGGCCGAGCTTTGGGCAGATCAAGGATTTTACACGATGGTCGCGAAAACCTCGCTCTCAGACTTCGCTGCATTTTGACTACAAGCCTTAAGGCTGGTAATTACGACGTAATTATTATTACAATATCAAGGCTGGTAATTATGACGTAATTACCAGCCTTAATTTACGACGTCTCTTTCCCCCTTATGCCTTCCACAACGTCTGCATTTGAGTAGTTGGTATGCGGGATTTTCCCTCCGCGAATCAGCAGGCTCAATCAAAACTATTTTTTGGTAGTAATATCTACAATAAAATACTTAAAAAAACTTTTTAAAAAAACACGTTTTTCTTGTGGACTAAAAAGTAGAAAATAAATTATGGTTCGCCCCAAAAAAACGTGTGTCGGGCAGATTTTTAAATTTTGGAAATTTGATGGTGAACGTACAGCCCGACAAACAAACAAACAAACAAATAAACAAACAAACAAACAAACAAACAAACGCGAAGCTAAGCTAAGAAAAACGTGTTAAAAAGGAGGTTGATCAAGGAATGCCGAGTATACCATTCAATGGAGGATAAAAAATACAACCCGTTTATATCTCGAAAAAAGGGTAAAAATCGCATATTTGATGAACAATAATATTCAAAGTTTCTTGAAATTTCCTTTCATTATAACTCTTTTACTACAAATTTTACATAGTTTTTGGTCCTGTCACTGTTTATAAATAAATAGTTGAGTAAACATGGAAAAATCCATATCGCCATCTCATTTACGAGTGGAGTAATGTCCAGCCTAATTTGTGAAGAAACTCATAGGGAACAGCCGAACCTGTTCAAAGCCTCGCGGTTCTCAATCAGAGCCTTAAAGGGGAGGTGAAGCAGTCACTGCAGCAATATCTTCTACCACCCCTCCCATCGCTTCAGAAAAAAAGCCCTTATTTTCTTGTCTCTACTGCTCCACGCTGGCTCAACTGCGGCCGAGGTTAAGTAGCCAACTTGCATCCTACTTTTCGAGGGTAAGGGGTTCAGGGACGTCGTCTGCACCCAGTAAGGAGACCCAGTATGCCACACTCTGCATGTATCGTCTAGCCCATCTATTCACATGCCCCACCTTGTCTCCTCGCCTCCCCTGCTCAAGAGTCAAGCCTGTCCTATAAGATGGCTTTTCAAATCATGTGCCCGTCTGCCTACTCTCCCGATCGTAGCCTGAGCCGCCCTGCCTTGCTTGAGTGTCGACGGTATGAACATCGTTAACCTCAAAGCCTCAACTGCTGAAAGATCAACAAGTGCTTCACTTTATTAACCAGTAATGAATATTTGATATTTTTAAAAATGAGACCAATAGAAAAACATCCAAAAATGTCACTACGTGGATTAGATAGCCCTGGAGGTGATATTGATTAGTAGGTCTTGAATATGCTTCAAAAAGTTCAACTTGCAATAAAATGAGGGCAGATGGTATCATAACTGTGGTAGGTACAAGCAGGCTGGAGTATACGAGCGCTTTGGAGTATAAAATGAATAAAGATTTGATACATAGTATTTGAAGTAGATACATTTAATATCTTTCTTTTAAAATTAAGGGTTTTGGTAAAGAGGTATGTAAGTTGAAATCACATTTGAGGAGTCCATGTCTAATGTAAAACTAAACTTGCAAAGATTAGGGTGCGTACTAGCCTTCCCCAGTAGTACATTTTTACGCGCAACAAATGTATCTTTCCAATCTTCTTGAATTACAACTGGTATTGTTTCCGTTCAAAAGAAACCCCAGCCAGTCTCCTCATACTGCCTAGATTCTACTAAATCAACATCAATTTTAAAAATAACACAAGTCTTACATTTTTTACCACTTACTATTTTTACAGTTAAATTTATGTTCCATCACTTCAAAACGGGCAAGAACACAAGAAGCACAAGCAAATACTCCCCAAGAAATGCATGAATAAATGCTGCAAAGCAGGAAACCTATTGGCTCATAATGAGAAGAGACAGTTGAATTATAGGTTGAAATTGTTGAACAGTTCCTCATTATTGCTGTGCCATTGCCATGCAAAAAACTAAAAATGCACTCACACCCAAGTCCCCATGCTTCAACAAGAAAACATCAATCCAGCACTGGTACAAATAAATTTTATTTGCAAATTTAGATTTTAGTCACTCACTGTCATATGTTTCCGATAGATGCCTTGAAGGAGTTTGATCATCTTCTCCATTCTTGACTCATTACAGCTGGAAAATACTCAAAATTAAAACTATATTCTTCATTCATAAGAACAACATCATTATAACAGAAATATTCTCTATAATATCAATCAATCTACACTATTTCAGGAGACATTTTATACAAAATGTTCTATTTCTATGGTGCACAAGCAAATTGCAAATATAAAGGATATCATTTAAAACATACAAAACCAGTAATATTAGAAAGCTAAAATGTGATTTATATAGGATATCAATTGCACATAAGACTTCAAATGATTTACAAAATTACAAGGAAGTGAACTGATCAGACATAAATAGAAAATGTATTCAAAATAGGCATGAGATGATTCAAAATGAGTAACTCGTTGAATTAATTTCACCTCTTGATATCCTGTTCAATTATGAATTTCTGCAACATCTTCATTTTCTTAAGCTGTTCAGCAACTCCTGGTCCCCCTTTGCTGCGCAGCTTTGCTATGATGCTTTGAACGAAGGGCAGATAGCCCTGCAATATATGAAGCTTGGATGCAACTGAAGCATCACTGGGACTTTGGAATAATCCTGGCAGAGAAAAAAACAATCATGGAAACAAAATACTTTAAAATCTAACAAATTTGTCTAAATAAAAGAAATTGGTCAATAACTGAACATTAAATCAAACGTGAGAGTATTTAGTTTCAAAATTAGAAACTAAACTCTACATTTAAAATCAATGTAGCACTGACCACAGAACACGCCTGATATTTCAATAAAGCTCTTCTAATCCTCAAGAGTTTCATAGCTATAGAAAACATTCAGTTTCACAAAAATATAATACCATCACTTAATCACATAAATCACACTTAATCACATGTGCACTGACAGTTAGCATTTTTGTTAAAATTCTTGATTATTCATTTTTAAGAGTAAAAAATAAATTGGCATAATTTTTCAATATTTTTATAAAAAATTAAAGGCAAAATTATTCTCACCCCTTCCAGACATTTTTGCAGAAGTTGAGCAGCGTTAGTCACATATCATATAGGCCTAACCTACTGAATAAAAGATATAATTTTCAAATGCATAGCATAACATCATTCTTGACAGAGAACCTGGATAATTAAAAGGTTATGAATAGATTTACACTGAACACAACATGAAATAACCAGAAGTAGTTCAAGGCTGATCTTAGTTTTCAATCAGTCTGACATTCACATAAAAAGACATCCTATATTTTGACAGAAGTCAATAGTAGCCAAGAGCCAATGGATAATAATACCACAGATGCTCTCTAGATGCCATGGCCTATTTCATGGCCATGGGCCTATTTCATGGCCATGGGCCTATTTCATGGCCATGGGCCTATTTCTTCAGTGCCGACACTCCTATTCTATTCTACATACCCAGTACCCCTCTACAGAAATATCCTTTTTTTATATAGTAATTTCAATCTGGCCCAACCATCATGGCATGTAAGTGATGCATGCATTGCATAAATATATACCTTGAGTCAGCACTGTCAGCCCTCATAGTTCAACTATGAGGGCTGACAGGGTGAAATTCTTCAATTACACTCCCAATTAGTAGCATCCAATAACTTGTTATTGCAAAGCTATTATCATGCATAGAGGCACTGAAAGGCTACACTTCAATGTACCCAGTCCTTCCATTGAAAAAAAAAAACAAGTCTTATTTTAGTGCGTAAAATATACATATTTAATAGTTAATTTATTCAGCACACAGATATCTTCCCTTACTACCTAAGTATTCAGTATGGCTGAGCCATTGCAATGCAAAAGGCTGTCATTATACTAGACCATATGTTTCAACTTGTATATATCAGCAGATGTACTTATAACATTTTTTATAGCTGTTGAAGACATATTTGGGCTGTTGTAGACACAAGAGATTTCTGTGTAAGCTAAAAGATGTAAGCTATAGTTTTATGCATACATCTCTCATTCAAGAGATGTAAGCTATAGTTTTATTTAAGCATTCAATGCAATAGATGCAGGATGGGCAATAATGTAATAAATATCAAGCCAGGCCTCCAGCTCTATCCAAGTAATTCAAGTGAGTTTAATTTGGTTACTGGTCACTGGTCACTTGTTTTTCAGACTACACATTAAGGCAAAAACTAGGTTATAAATTATTCTGGATAAAAAATCTGTATATACATAATGTAAATCAATATTCCAGAATAATTTTGAATAAAAATCTTTACAGATTAAAGTAGTATCAAAATTTACTCATAAATATATATAGCATATAGCACTAAACAGAGCCACAATTAATGTAGTAATCATTGTATCATGTATGTCTTTATTGTTAGTGTTAGACATCATATAAAGATATATTAACTTGCTGAGTACAAATATTTTGTGACACAGGCAGAAACTAAAAGGTCCTAATGCTTAGCTACCCTGCTTTAAAAATATGGAACATCTACTAGAAAAATCAAGTACAATCATTATTCATTGGGGTTATTTTAGTTAAAATTTTGCATCTATGAAAATGGTTAAAAAATAAAAATACTGGGCATGATAATCTATTTCAACAAGTTGATAAAAATAATCTTGAAGGCAGAAGATGGGCTAATTTATTAAAACAAAATAACCTTATAAACGAAACTGATGTACGTTCTGTTAGTTAGGAAACTCAGATGGCACTAAAAATCGATCACACTTCACAAGTTCACACTACACTGTCTACACACATGCCGATAGCTTGCCTGTCCTGCACAAAAACTGCCATTCTTGCCAGTTAGTTTCGCAATTCTCATCAAGAGTCAAGACCCGAAATTTCCTGTGCTAATTACTAAATGTAACGTGCGAAACCTGGCAAAACAATGATCAAGAGTAAAATTTTCCTGTAAAAAGTATGATTCCTATAAAAAAAACCTTTACAATACAGAAGTATCTTTCGGAAGTTACTCTCCAATCGTCAAAAAATAGCTTCAAATAGCGTTAACGCAATTGTACTCTAATTTAAGACAACAAATGTCAGTTGAGCTTTGAAAGTATCAATAATGTAATTATTTATATAACATATAACAATATATCGATGGAAAAATATTTAAAGAAGAATGGCATACCACGGCACATATGCGTAAAGCAGCCACTAGCTTCGAACGTGACCTACGGTAGGCTAGTATGGAGACAATATACTTGATGTACGTTCACTCTCAAATATAATAACGTTATTACACGATAAAGGTTTTCAAACAAAGTATTTTTCACACTTAGGTGACGCTCAAAATCTAAAATAGCCGAGTTTAAAAATAAAACATTAAAAGTTAAATGAATATCACTCCGCGTACCACAACCACACAAGTCGATGTCCTGATGAACTAATGGTTCTCGCTTTGCTCACCAGAGGTTCGACAGATCTGGTACAATGCACTTATTTCACGGTTGTGCATGACTAGAAATCAAAGAATAAATCCTAAAAATAGCCACCCAATGCATTCAGGCATGTTCAATGCACTTTAAATTAAAAAGTGTTCAATTAATTATCAATATAACAGATCCAATTCGATTTGGGTTGTGCGCTTGGTATAAACCTTCACGGCATCACCGGATCAGGCCCATTTGAGCGCCAACCGTGAGTGTGGAAGGTTGAACGCGGCTGCAGTCCTGCTTTGCGTGGGACACTAAATATTTAGTACTTTGATATTATAAAATATCACTAAAGTCATGCTCAAAATCTATAATTACCGAATTAAAATTTGAAACGGCAAACAAGAATTGCCATTTAAATTTGATAATCAGATATGGGCGAAAATTGTCGAAATTCTACTTGGGTCTTGGAACATTTTAGTAATACGGAATTAGTTTTATTTTAGATTATGATAAAAAAACACGCTCGAAAAAGGCTCTAGCTCCGAGTGATTTATTGAAAATTGATTTGAGTGTGTAACAATTGTAGTGTAGTTGCATCAATACTAGCGAATCTATTATAATCGACCACGATAACTTGTTTGACCCGCGCACTTTCCTCGAGCTGGTGTCTGCCCACTAAAATACTGGAAGGAATTGGTGAAAATTTTTCAGGTTCATGATAACTTTAAAAGAAATACAGAGACTTGCATGTAGTTCTTACTGGCTGCAAATTTTAATTGTAAATTCAGCAACTACCTTAAGAAGCGTACCTGCGTATACATTGCCACTACCATTTTCAGGATTTAGGAAAATTTACACGATAAAATAGACACGGGGTTTTGAATTATCCGAACTAGAGGTCATCTGGAGTATATGATTGAGGAATACCATGTGAATGGTCTCCTAAAAGGTTATCTCATGAACAGTGGCATATGCGAAAAGATTGGCGACGTTAAAAACTGCAATACATTTGCCGTTAAAATGAACGAGTTATACACGAAATTCTCGTAAAAATTGTCATTGACCATGCAAGTAGCCAGTACAACCCTACGGTTCGAATAAATTCAAGGCAGTTACACAGAAAGTCCTCCGACGCTAACTTAATTTCAAGAAAATACCAAGCTGCATATTTTTAAAAGAGACAAGATTTCACAAGAAGTTTTACTGCTCGATATGCGTCAAATTTGCATCGTTTCCTCATGGCAGACTCGCTTATTTATCCCATCAGCTCGAATTTTAAAGATGTATTTACAATTTTGGTAAGTAAAAGACGTTCTCGGATAGATTTATTAACGAAATAACTATACTAGAGCATATTTTTCCAATATTGTAGCAAGCATCAGCTGCAAAATGTAATTTAAATGGAATTGAGCGGAGAAGAATAGAATCGTTGAGCAGGACCTGCCTTCATCTATAATACACAACAACTGTACACGTAGAGCAGCTCCCTTGCCACGATTCACGAATATCTTCTCATATGTACAGGACATATACAGCTCATTACAACGAGAGTGTAATGACCTATATATGAATACAATTACAATTTATGAAGGAGGCTTTCATTGCAACTGGAAAAAATTCATCATATCTTTGACATTCATAATTCCGATTATACGCATATTAAAATTCCAACATCACAACGAACACTTTTAATTATCTGAATTGATGTTGAATAAGTTATGATTTTAAATAAACAAAATTAATCTTGGATCGAAAATACGAAAGTGCTATAAATGATACACAGACGTGTATTGTTAAAATATAATAGATCTAGATTATCAAACTCTGCTGCTATCAGTGTTAGACAATTACAATGGTACTAAGTAATTGGAGTAATGAATTTCGGAGTCCGTTTCGTCCCGCCGGTACAATACTTAGTTTTTACAACGCTGTAAAACAGTTTATCATAAATGACATGCATAGTAATACATTTCCTGAGTAGAGTTGATGTATTCAGACAGTGTAATGTTACTCAAATTGGTTCTCGCGTGGTTTCATTGCTGATAGACAGCAAGAAACGCTTACAAGATAATGACAAAATATAATTTTTTTGATGCCCGGTTCATTATTTTCAGAGGGGTTACATGATCAATGAACGAGTCAGTTCACAGTATATTTATGAAGTCATGAACCCAATGAGAGTCCATTAGAATTTTAACTCAGATATTCTCACGTTTGGGCTTCAAAATCATAATTAAGAAGGAAATTCAATAATCAATAGGTAATATTTATCGGCAATATTTAGGCTAAAAAATCTAATAGGATCGAATTGCAGGAGGAACAGTTGCACACTCCTGCTGATCCAGCGTTTGGTCGATCACTGGGCGATACGATAGAGTCACCTGCGGAGATTTTTTCACGATTACTCCAAGAAGTCTCATGAGCCATTAAAAAATATACATCACATTTTCATAGGCTTTAAGAAGCATGTAAATGTTTCAGGAACATTATTTGATTAATCCATCATTTCTTACTTAATTAAACATGAGAAAAATGAATGGGAATACCTGGCCAGATGTTGGGTCCACGTGAGAAAGTGTGTGCTTCCTCCAATGCTGTTCAATAGGCAGAGGCTTTTGTTCACCCAACGGCTTACTGAAGTCGTACTCGTCAATGCGGAGCTATGAAATGCAAAAAATCTTCAAGTTATATATATTTATTATTTACTATTCAAAATTTATTCGATCTATATTATTTACAAGCGTACAAGACACTATGCCAATTAGGGATACCTAGTTCTAAAAACTTACCAAGCCAGTTTAGAATCGAATCCTATGAAGCCATGCTGTTTACTTCGAATAAAATAGACCATAATCGACAAATAAAGTTTAAAATATTATTAAAAAACTGTGTGTTATGGTAATTTCCTTCGGATATTTTATACCCTGGTCGATTAACAAGGCTTTGAATACTCAACTTGTGAGGCATTTAATAACAGTGCTTTCCGAGTTTCTTGCTAAGTCATTTCAATATACACAATGCAAGTTATCATCTCATTATCATACATACCAACACCAACAATTATTAATGAGCTTGTAGGCTCCCTAACACTCTCCTTATTATGTTACGAATTTTGTGGTGCCAAACTGAGTGCTGAAATTTCACTATGATAGCATATGGATGCAACCCATTTGATGTCTACTAATGCTTAACTGTTTCAACAAAACAGCCGATGTCCAAAATTATTTTCCAATTGAATATAAAACATAATATTTCATTCCCTCATTATTACTTGATACAAATATGACCTAATTTTGACTATTTCGTGTATTCTTGAGGTAAAATAAAAGTAAGATGCGAGTTTAACTACAAACAGCCCAACATTTTTTAAGGATATAATTATGTACCTACTATGAATAAATAAAGTATATAGCATATGATCAGTTGAATATTTCAAATTTGTGTGAATTAAATATGCAGTAGCATGAGTTTTCAAGGGACGCGAAGTTTAAAAACGCAGTGGTCAATCTTTAAACTATCGACATATATGCCCACCATTGGAGAATGCGGAACATATTTCTTATTTTCCATATTATCGTTGGACTGCATTATGTCCATCCTTTTACTTCCATCCAGTGTAAAATTGTTGCAGTAGCTAGTAATATATATAACTTCAGTCTCATACAAAGTTGTTACAGAATTGTCTCGCAGCCCAATAATCGTGTACATCAATTATTATGTTTTGGGAACCGCCATTAAAAGGGCTCTCAAATCTTGTCTCAATCAAGTCGTAATAAGCACAAGTTGCCAAAATCATTACCAAAGTCGCAAAACAATTTTTGCATAACTTCGCCTTGCACAAACGCGGTTTAATCTAAATTTTAGTGCCTAAGAGGTCTTTTAACTGATCGGAAAGACAAAGCTAATTCAACAAATCATTAAAACATAAAAAAATAATCACATTAATCAAAAATATCGGACATCAAGGATAACACGTCAAATTTAAATGTTTGGCTAAGTGCAGCAAAGCCAACCGATTTGTTTGGACATTTTAACTCACCTTGTAGTCCTCCCTGGCATGAGCTCCGCGGCTCTCTTTCCTGGCCTCCGCGGACACGATCGTCTGGCTGGCATTCAGCAGGAGGTTCTGCAGCTCCAAGGTCTCCACCAGATCAGAATTCCAGATCATACCGCGATCAGAAAGCTTCAGTAAAAATTAAATGGTTATAATAGAAATAAAATTTAGATTGAAATGTTATCACAACATTGAAGACTAGAAATTTAAAACCTATGCCTTCAAATAAAGACCAGAGGCAATTGTACGAGAAAATTATTTAAAAATACAATGAATAGAACACTACATAAAACAATCATGTACCTTGATATCTTCCATTTGCTTATAGAGTTTTGCTATTTTTTCACATCCCTCTTTGAGAACATCTCCGGTTCTGAAGACGGCAGCATGCGACTGCATCGTCTTCTGCATCGCCATGCGCAGTTCAGCGGTGCTGGTACCGCCGTCGCTGAAGCGAAGCTTATCGATGTTAGCTACTGATGACTCGCCGGCATTCTGCTCTCAAATTTTAACGACATAAAAACTAAAGTTTTTGTGGTGAGTGGGAAGTCAAATTTGGTCATTAACTACCATAATTAACCGGAGAAAAATCAACACAACGAATAAAGTAACTAGTACCCTAACAAAATTTAGAGTCGCCCCGGCTTCTGGTAATCCAAAACAGAAGCTGCCGCGACTGTAAATTTTCACTGGGTAACTAACTAAGGCACCTGAGGAAGGTCCGGGATGGTATCGCCTGGGCTGCTCTGGCGGGCGATGGTGTGGGCACAAGCACGCCCAAACACCACGAGGTCGAGGAGAGAGTTGGCGCCCAGTCTGTTGGCCCCGTGAACTGAGGCGCATGCAGACTCCCCAGCGGCGAACAACCCACCAATGAGACGGTCGCTCTTGCCATCGTGGGTGAGAACCTGGAAAATTGTCCTTATTCATTTTATTTTAATTATTGTTGCTTCAAACCCATTTGAAGTCGCCAGTTCTGTTGGTGTTTCATTTAATTAATAAATCTTTCTATGGTCGTGTGTGAGAACCTGGAAAATTATCCTTGTTTCTTTTATTTTTAATTATTGTTGCTTCCAACCTATCTGAAATCGCCAGTTCTGTTGGTGTTTCATTTAATTAATAAATCTTTCTATCGAAGAAAATAACATTAATGCAGACGTCTTAATTTAGTCGTTCTCAACAACTAGGAAAGATGTGATATTCAAAATACTTTTATTTTATTCAGTTTGACGGAGATCATATCAACATAATTTCATAAGGATAGTAATTAGAATGTTAAAGACTAGGATGTTAAAGTAAGATTAAAGTTAAAGTAAGATAAATTAGAATATTAAAGACAGCACTCAAGACGCATGTAATAAATCTAGGTGGCTAGTTTTGGTGATGTAAGATCAATTGATCGCTAGTGAGCTATACACTGTACAACATAATCTTAGCCTCAACACTTTACTGGCCCTAAATTGCTAACAATGGAGACAGGAAACGATTCACCCATGAGCAGTGGGATATTAAAAAAAAAAAAAAACATGAATTTCAAAGAACTTACATTGGTCATATAAAAACTGGACCATTCAGAGCTGTAGTGCCACTCACTTCAGAGCGGCAATGTCACTCACTTCAGAGCTGTGATGTCACTCACTTCAGAGCTGCAATGTCACTCACTTCAGAGCAACGGGGATGTTGTAGTGCCGCCATTACCTGTCCCTCAAAGTTGGTGGGGATGCCGCCCATGTTGTAGTGCACGGTGGGCAGTACGGGGATGGGCTCACGGGTCACGTCCACACCCGCGAAGATCATGGCCGTCTCTGAAATGCCGGGGAGGCGCGCGGCAAGTTGCTCAGGAGGAAGATGATGCAGCTGCTCAGCAAAGGTTAAAAAAATATAAAAAATGTTTAGCTGAATGCTGCAGAATCAGAGCCACAAAAGCGAATCAACGCATGCAAAGTAATTATTGTCCGAGGCAGTGACTTAAAACTAAAACCAGAGACGCTTTTAATTATTAGATCACACGGTCTAAAATTGCATTACATAACAAGTAGTTGCCTATTTCATACAATGTTGAGTTAATGTGACAATCCTAAGTTCATTGGCTAAGCCATGCAACAGAAGTTGAGAGCAGTTACCTGTAAAAAGACATGATCTTTCTCGGGACCACAGCCTCGGCCCTCTCTTATTTCGATGGTCATTGAGCGCGAGACGACGTCACGAGAGGCGAGATCCTTGGCAGTGGGTGCGTAGCGCTCCATGAAGCGCTCGCCTTCGCTGTTCACCAAGAAGCCTCCCTCGCCGCGGCAACCTTCCGTTATCAGGCACCCAGCGCCGTAGATACCTACCATGGATACATTATTGCTTGATTATTAAAAAAACTAAGTATAAGAAACACTGGGAATCAAAACATAGTTCATTTCAGCAAAGTGGTTCTTGGTAATGCGGTAAAGTGGTTCTCAACAATGCTATGAAGGGGTTCATAGCAATGCAGCAAACATGATCTTAGCAATCCAGCAAAGTGGTTCCTAGCAATGTGGCAAAGTGGTTACCAGCAATGAGGCAAACAGGATCAAAGTGGTTCTTGAATGTGATTGCAAACCTGTGGGGTGGAACTGAACGAACTCGAGGTCCTGGTTTGGGAGACCTGCACGGGAGATCATGGCGGTGCCGTCACCCGTGCACGTGTGAGCAGACGTGCAGGAGAAGTAGGCACGCCCATACCCGCCTGTGGCCAGCACTGTATTCTTGCAACGGAACCTTTAAAGTGAAACAAAATTAAAACAACTTACAGCTGGTTTTCGGGTTTACAAATGCAACCACATAAAAAACAAGAACAAGATAACGATTTGTTCCCAAAATAAAAAGAAATAGACTGTTTGTCTATGACTGAGAAAAAAAAAGCATTATCTACACGTGATTTCTTGGCATTGCAAGATTTTCATCTTCAGTTTTGAATTTGTAATAATCAAATTCATTTTTAGCGCATTTTCTCATTTATGGAAAAAAATGCACTATTGTGCTCGCCATTTCCGTCTATCTGTCCGTCCGTGACCTCAAGTTTTCGTCGACAAGAAAATGCGCTCTCTGTCAATCACTGCAGTGAGTACTGAGTTACATTTTTTACCTGTTGGTACAGAAACCATTGTCAAAATCTGTAATTACTGCATACATTGAACGATTGAGTCCCATAATAATCACATTACAAATATAGTGTAAATAGAGCTATTGAGATAAGCCGTACCTGTGAATGGATCCATCCTCAAGGCAGAGAGCCACAACACCCACGCACTGGTCACCTTGCATGATCAGGTCTAGAGCAAAGTATTCAATGAAGTAATTGCAATCATACTTCAAGCTCTGGCCGTAGAGTGTGTGTAACAGAGAGTGGCCAGTGCGGTCAGCCACGCAGCAGCATCTTCAATTTAAACAAAGAACATTACATACTAAACAAATATTGCCCAGTCAAAAAATTAGGTATAGAAATGACAGCCATGAAAGATAGATAACAAAAAAATATGCCAACTACGTAGCAGCATCTGGCAATGATTGAGAGAATATTCCGTGCTTAGCAAATATCATCAATGAAAGTTGATGCGAAAAAATATGAAAATTTGAAATAAAGTGTAACATTGATAGTAATGAATTATGTATAGGTATATAAATTAAAAGTGTACTAATTGCACAAGAAAAGCTATAAGTGTTACTAGGTAACGACTCACATCACTAAACTAAAAGCAATTACAAATAAACAATTGTGCAACTGTACAATTGTACTTCATTCAAAAACCTGAATCACCTCATGAGGTTCAAACAGTACAAGGAAGTACCGTCTAATTGGTCAAATACAAGTAATAGGAACAAAACAAGATGGTTAAAACAGAGAATGATCTTAAAACAACTTTTTTGAACTATATATTTATCTACATGTTTTATGCTCAAATATTTTTTATAGAAGAAAATATTCTTACATGATAACATCATGAAAAACATGAATTTTCAAAATAACCAGCTGTCAATTGCAATACAGTACATATATTCTTAACTGTTTCTATTACAATATATATGCCTCTAAGAAACATAGAATAGAAATACTGTCAATATAAGGATCAAATGCACACAAGAATTCCTCACTAGAAACCCTTGACAGCAATAACAAGTTCTATGGACAGACAAATATCAATGAATTGAAAATAAATTAGCAGTGATTGCAAACATTCCTGACATTAGAGAGATTGGATGTTTTTAAATATAAAATAAAACAAAACCTGAATGTTAGGAATTCAACACAAACCTGTGGGCCTGGCCACCTTTACCGTAGTCGTAGCTCTGACCACCAAATGCACGTTGATAAATTTTGCCTTCAGGAGTGCGGCTGAAAGGCATGCCTACAGGATATAAAATGCTGTATCAAAAAATATTTTCCAAACTACTGAGAATTTCATCATATATTATCAAAACAAAATTGAAATTTAAAAAATATCATGGCTCAAATGTAATGAAATGGTTTAAAGTTACAAAAATTCACCATAATTTTCCAGCTCAATAACAGCCTTGGGTGCTTCCTTGGTCATGTAGTGGATGGCATCCTGATCGCCCAGCCAATCAGAGCCTTTGACTGTGTCATACATGTGCCACTTCCAGTTGTCAGGCTAAGCAAAATAGAATATAACTACACTCAGAGATGAGGAAGTTCAATGCATTTTAAAGAACAAGTGATGGGATCAACATCTTTAATGAAAAAAGATAATACAAATATATAGTTAATAAAAATCATGCTCTGGTCTTCAATCAAACTTGCACAAGTGATAAGAATACATACAAGGCTCTCTAAATTTAACATTTGTGAATTATTTTAACAGAGAATTTTATTAAAATATAAATAGGTAAAATGTATTGTGATTTGTGTTAGTGATATAATATGAAATAAACTTCTTACTTGGAAGAATGATCATTAGCATTATCAATTTATTTCACAAGTAAGCCATATACAGTAAGTCCATGAATCACCTCCATGTTACCAAGAGCAGCATTAATGCCACCTTGTGCTGCAACAGTGTGTGAGCGTGTAGGGAAGAGCTTGCTGATGACAGCCGTACGGAAGCCTTCCTGCACCAAACCAAAGGCAGCGCGCAGACCAGCACCCCCAGCACCTACCACCACAGCATCATAAACGTGGTCCACCACTGGGTAGTCCCGGGAAATCTGTAATTGCATTTTTAAACAAAATCATGATAAAATGCATTCAATTTGGCTACTGAGAGGGAAGCATGAATGCCTTGCTAGTAGGTACCAGACATGAAAATAACACTAGCCAATAGTAGCCATCATTGTAAAGATTTAGACTGCCAGTTCATACTGCAACATCAACATCCTTCAAGAGAAAAATAGTCAAAGTTAAGAATCAGTCTTGCTCAAAAGTTATCTAGCCCAATACTGATGCAGGCAACACATACTGTCTTAAACAAACAATCTCTTGTGTCAATAGGTATTTTGCACAATTTTTTCTCCTTCAGGGTCAAGTTCTTTACAATTTATTAGGTTAATACTGATTTGATTCACTAGAGTGCACATAAATAATTTTTTTAACAATTCAGCTGATTCTCTAGCCACAGAACTCAGGACTGGAAGATGTTTTCCATAATTTCATGAATTGTTAAAAGAGCTGCCGGTGATGATATGCCAGTTTTATCACCAATTGAAATGGATGAAATCATACATACAAGGACTATGTGTATCATAGACATACCTAACATGTGGCTTCAGACATTCAGTTATAATCTATTCAATTCTAGGATTAGAGTACAATTCAAATAAATATACTAAATTCTGATGCTGATGGACTACAAAATTTGGCTGGCCCAAATGAATATGACTGAATTTTTTTTAGCTTTTCAAAATTTGAAAAAGATTTTCAGAAGACCACTTTATAATAGTTTAGATTTCTTTTTTTTCTTTGAGTAGAGAACTAACATTGCTTGAGCTTGTTTTGTCAGTTTGTCGCCCTTTCATGGTGAAATGGAAGTGGCTGGAGGCTGGAAAAGATGCCACTCCAGCCAGATGGCTCTTTGGTTTCAACAAGGAAGATACCTGTGAAAAAAGTAACATACATACTGTTAATTTTATTAAGAATATACCTGCAAAATTATCAAATTTTATTAGCCTATGAATAAATTTGATACTATCTTTGTAACTGATTTGATTTTGACATCAAGCATACTAAATGATACCATTCACTACACAACTAGAATCAAAACATGAATGACAAAGACCGTTAAGAAATCAGAAATTCAAAAATATGTCTAGTCTAGAAAAGCTATTATTGACCAAATTTATGGGAAATTTTCTTCCATAACCCAAATTATGCTTATAATTTTATGCATATTAGGAATAATGTTAACAAATTTACTAAGAAAATAAAATTTAAAAGTGAGGGTTTACTTTTTATTTTTGCAAGATTTCGTTAACATGACTGATTGATTCTGATAGATACTACAGTGATTAGGATTTAGGTAGGCTACAGTCTGTTAGCTACCTACTCAGATGATCAGATCTATTGTAGGACTAAAATTATATTATAACCTCCACAGAAGTGACAACTTGACAAGACTGACCAGATTTCCCTTTCCAGTTAATTTAACTACATTAAAATTATAAGGAATTACCAAAGACATTCCACTAAGCCGGAGCGAAGCCATAATGAATTTATTGCCAAAAGGCAAAACTACATAAATAGAAGTGGTTATGCTGTATCCACTTATCACTTCGCAAGTCGCAACAACAGTCGGCAAGTTATGTAACTGAAATGATACCTCTATACGTAAATAATATCCCTAGAACCGAAGTTTAATTCCCTATGAGTGTCCTTATGGTATTCTATAATAGAATTCTTCCATCAAAAATCTACTCAAAATTAATAAACAGTCAATTTAATATTTTTAGAAGGCTTGAAATTAGTTTCTTGTAGTGAATCGATTTACTCAAGCGTGATTGCCTTTGTAAATCCCCGTTTGACGCTTTAGAGCGAGGCATGATGGTGATTGATAGATAATTTGATTAATCAAATTTATGTATGTGTTGATGCAGCAATTTTTAGGGAGAAGAAGTCCAAATATTTAGTCGAATCTGTTGTTCACCGCCAAATTGACACAAGGACCCAAAAAATAAAACCACTAGCGAAGGAACAACGAACAACATGTGTGAACTGACGTCATTTCTAATAAAACTAATGATAATAAGAGCAGTTTCAGCGTTTTGTAGGCCGTAGGCCTGTTGCCGATTCTTAACGTCGCAGAACATTCACAGCATTTTTGCGGTTTCGAACTCGCAACTCACTGCTACAATTCTGCTGTGCTTAACCGTCCGGCCTCATTGCCGATTTTGACCAGAAACTGGCGCACGGATCCGTAGAATTATCGATTGAGTGCGCACGGAGCGGGGATCGAACCCGCGCCTCTCTGCTCCAATCTTGGTACTCTGAACTTTGACCACTGGGCCACCCTGCCTCTAATGAGTTAGAGGATTTGATCAAAATACTTTAGGCTTAATTGAGCTTGATCGAAGCGCGTGTCAATCGCTCGGCTCGAGCTTTTGATCAAGCTGCATGCTCGTGCAGGGGCTCTATTCCCAAATCAGTCATTTCTCCTTCGATCGTAATTGTTTAAAAGAGGCACGCGACAGCTTCCACCATCCGAGACTCGCGTGGCTCAGATCATGGGTCTCGCGATCTGGGGTCAGATCATGGATCTCTGTGTGCACCCTACCGGTGTAGCCTTGAAGACCTGGACTCAAGGAGGAGATAATTTATAGAGAAAGCTACTGGGGCGCCTCCAGCAATGGATTCGACAGTTTACACTTTAAAATTTTCTCCGCAAATGCTTATTCACTACAAAATTTTTGATACAGGGGATAGTGACGATCTCATAAATACCGCTAGGAAGACAGTAGATGTTAAATAATTTAGAAATTGTCAAAGAATCATTATCATCTGTGGCATCAGAAACGTCATTTGGCCTAATTTAGAGGCCCAAAAATATAGATGAAGCCCTCTGTTTCTTGAAAAATATTCTTGAAATTTATTGATTCAAAGTATTCTTATTTTACCATGACACTGTGCGTATATTATTTTCTTTTCTTTTCGTGGGTAATTATAAAAGCATACAGTACGCTCTACTGACGCCCTTGCTGGCTGTGTAGCGGTTATAGCTTAGCGAACCGATCCTGCTGGAGTCCATTACGTCTTTACCATTTAATCTAAACAATGCTAAGATTTAATATGAAATTAGCAAGCAAATAATTACAAAGTGGCAGTCATAATAACAGCAATGTACTTAACAGTGTGTAAAAACAAAATTACAAGTTGATACACACTTGAATCATTTTGAACTTGCCAAAAAGCACGATTTCTAATTGAATTGGGTAGAGAACGCGATAATTTTCCTCAAACAGAAAACAGAATAATCAAATATTTTCAGAGGAGAACATATAAGCCTATTTGAACACATATTGAAAGTCGAAATTTTACTCGCAGTGCCAACAAACTTCTAGTGGTTCGTAAACGTCCAAAATATCCGTATTTTATTGACAAACAAATGGGATTTGGAATTATCAGATTGCTCCAGCAACACAGGCCGGAAAATTGTCCGATAGGTCGTAATTTTTGATCAGGTCACGTTTACAAAGTGTTCTGCTTTTTTATTACATAGCGCTGAACATAGTGTTCTGCTTGCTATTTGCAGCATTTAAAAAAAATATTGCAATCAATAGAAGGTTAATGCCTTAATTATGTTATGTTTATTTGAATGATACACGATATAATAATGTCTCGTTGACAAGTAATATTGTAATGAAGTCGAATTAATTTAAGATCTTAATGAACATTGATAAATTCCTCCAATTTTTATTGAAAATGTAATTGTTTCTTCGCTGCTTATCCTTACTCTAACCGAATTTTATTACGAGAAATATGTTTCTTTGTTGTCTTAAGTCGAAGCCCGAGTCGTACTCAGAGTTTCGTAAATGTACAGCACGGGTTCGAACATAAACGCGGCTTGTATACTGACGTTTTTTGTTGTGTTCATGATAGGTAGTCTAAATATAGATTGCTTGATACTTACTATTCTATAAACCTTTTTGCAATGACTCCCGAGAAAAGGCTTGCGGACGATGATGCAGGCGAACAGGAGCCTAAAAGACTGAAAGAAGACTCCGATGATGTTTCTGAAGGAGCTTCAAATAAAACTGAGACAGAGGAAAAGCCCGAGGCTGTCAGTTCCGATGCACCAACAGAAGAAGTTGAAAATTCAAAGGATGAAAAAGTGAGAGTCTACAAACATTTTAGCTGTATTAATTACATTAAACATATAAAGTGGAATATATTTTCTACTGTAATTTTTATTGACTCATTCTTGACAGACTGTTGTCAACTTGTCAGTCTTGTCACAAATGAGTCATGACTCATGAGTGTATTGAGTGACAGACTGACAGTGCATTGCCTCTTGCCAGTTCCATTGTGGCACTGCCATTCTTTTCTTTTACATCAGTCATGAAATGCCCTCAAAGCCTCAACTCACCTCTTCACTTATGTCAGTACCACTTGATGACTCATGTTTTAGCCAATTGAGGAAAACAAGCTAGCCTACCTATTTAGTAAACTGTAAACAAAGATGAACCACAACTTCATTGTTTGATTTGTTTCTACTAAGATTAAAACAAGCTTTGTTGACTGCAATTATTAGGTATGTGGTAATTGAACCATCATTAGGCTTATAATCTAAAGTGAAAAATTGGGCAGATCGCAGATGCCTATCATGCTCTCTGTAATTCACAGTAACATTGCCAAACCAGAGATAATTTAGAATCAGTTCATTTTTAAAAACCTTATCTAGCTAGGGTAAACGCACCAACCATATTCCAACATCTTGGGTAATTCCGACACTTCTCAACTTATCCCTTTATATTAAGCTTTGTCTTACTTCCTTGCATGCGTAGATGGTTGAAATAGTGACGTCATACTATAATAGTAACTATTGTGTGCCAGATTCAGTAATACTTCAGAAGTTCAGATGTGCATCTAAAAAAAGGGTGCATTTATTAATTATATGTTTTTTGGGGTGTAGATAAAGAATCTGAAATCCGTTTTTGGCGGTTGGCATCGGAAAACCAATTTTTTCCCCAAGGCTCTAATTTGTCAAAAATAATCTGGCAAAAATTGGAAAAATAGGCCAAAAAACCTAACCTAACCTAACCATGGTTATTGGTTGCAATGTCGTGGTTGCCTGCAATGTTGTGGTTGCAAGAGTATATGGGTCACCGAGGCTAAGCTAAAAACGCTATAAATCCACGGATATTGGGGCCAAGATTTAACTAGCATTTTATGTTAGAAAATGTATAAAAATTGGTATATATAAAAATCGGTTTTCCGATGCCAACCGCCAAAAACGGATTTCAGATTCTTTATCTACACCCCAAAAAACATATAATTAAACAAAAAACACCCTTTTTGGGATGCACTTAATCTAAAGTAATACCCCAGGGCCCACATTCCCGCTAAATCTCGCAAAACACAAGATCTGGCGGGAAAATGTTGAGATCCTCAGAGCGAAAGTCCAAGCCAACTGGTGGACATCAAAACATGTCAAAGTTGATAGTTGACCTTGCTCTACCAAATATTGATAACCTGTTTGTGTAGAGAGAATATTATGGTTTGAGACTTTTAGATAAGTCTGTGAATATATTAGGAATCCTTGTATACTTGTATTTGCTGATATTAAGTGGTAAATAAATTAATAGATGATTAAGTTAAAAGACAGTTTTAGACACATAAAAACTAATTCCAACACAGCTTTGAAATGGACACACACAGCTCGTTCTGAGCTGTGTTCAAAAATTAAAATTTTCTTAATTAAAAGCCTAATTAAAAAATTAAATTTTTTAATTAATCTCGTTTCGAGCTGTGTCGTATTCTAATAAGCTCACACAAGCGTTGGAATTCCAACACAGTGCGCCAGAATTACGAATTAGTAAGAGTTTGGAGCGCTGTCGGAATTAGTCTCACAATATGCCGAATTTAGTCACACAGCGTCGCAATTCAGGGGTCTTTGTAGACTTGAATTCTAAAGGCTTTTCAATAAATATGGCAACAGTTTGTGACGTTTCATCATTGCTGGTGCGTGTGTGGTATTTTGAGAGTGATGTAAAGCAATCAGAACTCAAGTTGCGCATACGGTGATCTTTCTATAGCCATTCATTTCTTGGTACGTCCTTAATGTGTCAGAATATGGTGTGTTTACCCTACCTACTCAATATTTGAATAAATTTCTGGTGTATGATGCTGATTGCTGCCCAGTGCCCAAGGTGTTGATGATGATAATCATATAATCCTTTTGATTACATAATTCCTTTGCCATTACCAAATGCCAAGAATACATTTTCCATATACATATACAGTGTCATCTCTGCTATCATAAGTATTATTGAACATAAGTTTCAAAGAAGTATTAGGTATTCTAAATTTCTAAGAAAGACCCTCTGTAATTACTTGTTAAAATTTGTGTAGCACATCATTGCATATCATAGTATGATAATAGGTTATGTTAGTGTCTCATGTCAGTACAGACATTAGTGTAGCAAATTAGCAGACATTATCAAAGCACTCCAGCAAAACACATTAGCAGAGCTCATCAGCGCATGTTAGCAGAACACACTAGCACATGTTAGCTGAGATTATTAACAGTCATTACCAGGAAATATTAGCACACATTTGAAGCCAGCAACTAGAAAACTCTAGAATATTTAATATACTATTGAAAGATGTCCTTGAACATTATCAAGAGTTTGTATATTGTCAGTACTCAGTATCATGTGTAACTCTCAATGCCAAATTAACCTGTTGCACCAGGTCAAACTGCCAAAGGAGACTAAGCATCAAAGGTTAGCCTGTTAGTCTTATTCATTGGTTTTATTCACATACCAGGCATTTTGAATAAACCTTCTTCAGCTAGACACTATACTGCCAGCTAGGCTGCACTTGAAATGAACACATTTTTTAGTGTTCACACAGACAAATTTTATTAGTAGGGGAAAAAATAAAGCAAAAATTGACTCTTAAAAACATTTATTGCAGCTGTCAATGATTAGAATTTGAAAATACTGCCTTGTTTTATTGTAGCCAATATTTGGAAGCATGGTATATATAATTTCCACCCGTAATTGAATTGTGACCTAAATCTCACCAAGTGAACAGCCCTTATTGACAAACTAAGTCCTTATACCTATATTTACCAATTACCATCCAAAGGAGAACTTGTAATAGTCAAATGAACGAGAGCTCATTTAACTGTAGTTGAGTCACTTGAGTGTTGTTGCTGCTGCAGTGTTCTGTATGCTGACATCCTGTGAGATCTATGTTGTTTTCCCAGACACACACTTACTATAACCTAGGTGTATTTTCTATGTCCAGTTGTCCACTTATATGCACTTGATGTTAAAAAATTTATGCCAAAATGTATATGCCTAATTCTCATTCACATTTTCTTATGTTGATCCTGAATAAAATAGGCCTGCTTGTTTGCCACCCTACTCTATAAAGAAGGAATTTGACTGATGCTAATTGATTCATATGATTTATATAGATGATTATGCCTTAATTGGCATCTAGGAGAAATTTTTTTTGCCCTTCCTCAAGTTAATTTTTTAGTCCGATCAGTAAAATAGTATCTTGGAATGCTTGGATACCAGCATTATCATAAACTAGTAGTTGATTAAAATACTGAGGAGACAAGGAAATTAAAAATGAAATATGGTACTTGTTCAACTATTTGACTCTAATTTGACTTTCAATCCACTATTTGAATCTGAAATATCATGAAGAATTTAAAAAAAAAATTGGTAGAACCTAGGCATTGTTTCGTGGGTAATTTGAAAAAAATGCATGCAAAAATATGCCTGTTTTTTTTAATATGCCAAAAATATGACTACAAGCATGAAGCATGGGTATTTCCTCTTACCAATGGCTATGGGTGTCTAATGCCCAATTTTTTAAAATTGCAATTCAATTTGAGCAGCTCTGAAAAATTCATATTTTATACTAAAATCTTGCAGCACCAGAGTAATATCTTCACAATAAATTCTGAAACTTGTGGTTTGAATGTGCAATTATTTTACGAACTAGAGTTTATTAGTGATGAGGTTATTAATTAAGTTCTGTGGCCCCAAGAAATTGGATGGCATGAAATGATGTAGGCTCAAGTTGCAGCGCCCAAAGTACATATTTTCCATGCTTGGATTTGAGGCTGCCTCATTGACAACTGAGAGAAAATAGAAAAGAAGAAAATCCTCAATCAAACAGCCCTTCACAATCAATGCTTATGCACATTTGTTTTTGTCAGATGATCATTGAACATGCTCATTATTTTCTATAATTGTTGTCTTTTCATGTGTATAGGTACAATGGTACATAATAAATAAGCTGTTAATGATCCACATTGATTGAGTCCATTTTGTAGGTAGTATTGACAACTCTTTGACAGATAATTTTTTTCTTATATATTATGTTTGAGCTTGGCACCTTTTTTACTGACTGAAATGTAACGAATCTTTTTTTTACAGTTTGTGGTATCAGAAGAATGTGGCACTCTGCTCCTGTCGGGCTGTGTCCAGTGGAACCTCATTGGTCGACGTAACTTGAAAGCTACGCCAGCACTGCAGCATTTCACTCCCCGCCGTGCTAAAACCTTTGCCAACATCAAAGTGTCATTTGTGGCATCACACTGTTCTGCAGCTCATCATATAATCATCACTCAAGATGGCACTGTTTACACTATGGGTTTGTTTATTTCGTTCTTAATTTTTTTTCAAAACTCAACAAAACTTTAGCTTTTCTTCTATTTCGTAAACACAATAAAAATCGGGTTACAGTGGCCTTGAGTTATTGTTATGTCAAGGTTATTTATGCACTTTTCTTGATTGGTAATCATTTAAAATCCTTGCAGAAATGGAGTACAAATATTTTCACCTGATTTTTTATCATGATCAATTAAACTTAATCACTAGCTTTTAAATATTAATAAATCTTTTAATTTGGGCTTTATATTGAAAAATATTGTGCATTGACTGATTTTCTTGCTTTAAAACAGGTCGCAATGAGAAAGGCCAGCTAGGCTGTGGGGACTGTGAGGAACATGCTGGTCCTGTTAAGGTGAACGCACTTGATGGACTTCATGTTATTGCTGGTGCTGTTGGCAGGAACCATTCCCTCTTCCTGACTGATGATGGCACAGTATATGCTTGTGGTGATAACAAGAGTGGTCAGTGTGGTGTGGGCAACAACACTGCCGTCATCACAACTCCAACTAAAATTGATTTCAAGGAAGGCAGAATTAGCAAGGTTTGTTTCACAAATAAGCCCTCAAGAAGCTGTCATTGAAATTCATTTTGAAGATAATGTTTTGCATTGTCTGTGGTGTTCTCAGAATACTAATTTTATATTTATTTATGCAAATTTCCATTATTTATGCAATCTTGCTGCAAAATGTAACGAAGATTTTAGACAACCTAGTTTCTTTCTAACAGGTTCTGAATTTTGTTTTTATGCACGTAGACAATCAACTAAGGCTAAAAATATTCAAGATTTAAGACACTGCATATTTATTATCATGATGTTTCCTAAAAAGTAGGAAACATTTATATATTTATCTGTTATACAGGTCAGTTTTTGATACCTTCAAAAGAATCTTTGTTTAATTATAACATTTTTATATAGCTTACTAATTTACAATATTTGATTATCTATTGTAGAATGTATCTGTACATTATATGCTCTTCATTCACCAGGTTGCGTGTGGAGCTGAGTTCAGCATGATCATAGACAAGCGTGGGTACCTTTACTCCTTCGGCTGCCCTGAATATGGACAGCTTGGTCACAACACCGACGGCAAATATTTTATTACAAGCAATAAACTTTCATTTGAATTTGTAACTTCACCGCGACGCATTCCTGTTTTTGTTGAATGTGCTAAAGGCGGGCCCATCAAACCCATCCCTGATGTGCACGTCACTGATGTGGCTTGTGGAAATAATCACACCGTGAGTCTTGGTTTTAATTTACATTGTGCAGAATTGTATCAATACTCAATGATATTCATCAGGTTTACTAAAAAGTTTAAACCAACAGAAAAAACTGATGCAGGAGGTGTAATTTCAATCAATTACTTGATTTAATCTCTGTGCTCAGATATCATGTCTGCTTCTCCAAATGAGGATTTACGTGGATCTCTTACTAGGATGTTTCTGTGTTAATATATTTGTTAATTTACTTACATGTCAGAATAAGTGGATCTTAACACAATTTGTTAATAAACTACTAACAAGAACTTGGTCTCAGGTGGTTCGAGATTCACAAAAGAGGGCGTTTGCCTGGGGCTTTGGAGGCTATGGCCGTCTGGGCCATGCTGAGCCCAAAGATGAGATGATCCCGCGGCTCATCAAGTTCTTTGATGGCCACAATCGCGGCGTGCTCCAGGTGCGTCATGATGTCTTTACTCGGGATACTTGCCAGCAGATTGCATTATAATCGTCATTGCTGCTATAGGTTGCTCTCTATTCTACATCGTCACCACCAGGTTACTCGGCGCGTCTGTTTTCTCACTGGTAAAGATTTGTTGGAGATAATGGCACTATTCAGGTTAAACCATAAATACATCATGTACAAAAAGATGTATTGAGCATGGTTGTGATGACTGCAGGTGTTCTGCGGGTCAACCTTCACGGTGGCCAACACGGAGCTCGGCGTCTACTTGTGGGGGCAGACAAAGCGCACAGGCGAGGCCAACATGTACCCTAAACCCATCCAGGTGTGTAGCTATTATTCTTTCATTATGAGCTTATTATTAATTTGTGGTAATTAAATATTATTTTTCTATTAATATTATTCTTTCATTATGAGTTTATTATTTGTGGTGGCCGCTCATATCATCAGACACGGATCTGAGTGAAAAATAATTTGGAATTGTAGCAATTTTTAGAACTCATTTTATTTTGCTAAGCTAGTATCGTAAGTATGGAAGTTTGATGAGATGTTACTGGATATAATATAATTTCAAGTTTATTTTAATTGGAAACAGTATAGGTAACTTACACACTTAATGTATATAGCTGATTTCCTGTTGTAATTTAACATGGCCACATTCATTATTTATCTCTTATCTAAATAATTACTAAATGTGAATAGGACCTGTATGGCTGGAACGTGCGATCTATTGGGTGTTCAGCCACCAGCATCGTGGTGGCGGCCGACGACAACGTCATTGCTTGGGGGCCATCGCCTACCTACGGTGAACTGGTCAGCTCTCGTCTTTATCTAGGAACTTGACCAATATAATCAATATTTTTTAATTCAATCATGAATTTATCAGAGTGGTTCTGAACTTGGATTATCCTTTATTCAACTCGTGTTTCTATGAAAGACCTTCCCAAATGTGTTGCTGTTTTAATGTATACAACAAAGTGTTTCCTTCAGGTTACAAATTATTGTGCTAATCAATTTATGGTCTAAGTAATGGAAAATTTCAAGTACAAATGCATAATATTACTTAGTACTAATCATGCTTTACTTCTTTCCTCGATTTTTGTTTTCATTTCTTGTTGAGTTGGCTGGTGAATACATTATGCAAATGCTGCCTTTGAAGGCTGGTTGTATTTACAGATTCCTTCTTTGACAAATACGGTTATATGCCAGTGAAATCCCTTCATAAAATATTCGTAGTGTTTTACTGTTTAATTGTTTTTGAGCAAAGTCTCCTTGTTTATGTTGCATTGTTTCGAGTTCGTTCTACTACCTTACATTATTAAGTTTTATTTCTTAATACTGAATGAAAAATACTCAAAATGTGATGATTTATTATTTCATTCTCGTGTTTACAGAGCTTGCTATTCTTTGATTATTAATTATTTGTTATTCTGACTAAGCTACAATGTCCTTGCAGGGCCTTGGCGACAACATTAAGTCCAGCACCACTCCTAAGGAGTGTAAGCATCTGGACGGCGTGCACGTGTACCAAGTGGCGTGCAGTGCGGGACTCACGCTCTACATAGCGAGAGACTCCACTGATCAAGACAAAGGCCTTCTTGCTAAACTCAAAGAGGTCCCCGTCTAGATCTGAGGTGAGTGTTGCTGTTAACGTAGCAAGAGACTACACTGATCAAGACAAAGGCCTTCTTGCTAAACTCAAAGAGGTCCCCGTTTAGGTCTGAGGTGAGTGTTGCTGTTAACATAGCAAGAGACTACACTGATCAAGACGAAGGCTGTCTCTTATACACATCTAGATGTGTATAAGAGACAGGATCAAGACGAAGGCCTTCATGCTGAATTCAGAGGTCCCGTTTAGGTCTGAGGTGAGTGTTGCTGTTAACATAGCAAGAGACTACACTGATCAAGACGAAGGCCTTCTTGCTAAACTCAAAGAGGTCCCCGTCTAGGTCTGAGGTGAGTGTTGCTGTTAACATATCGAGAGACTCCACTCATTAGCGCAAAGCTCTTCTTGAAGAACTCTTAAGATCGTTTGGGTCCAATGTCGTATTTTTTACTTATGCGTATAGAGAAATTTAGGTTTATCTTTCTTTTGTTGAATTTAAACTAATTGTTGCTATATTTTCTAAGTATGATCTTATTTCTAGGCGATATTTTTGTTTACATTGCTTCAGAGTGCGTATAATTTGCAGGGCTGCTCTCCATTGAACTGTTCATTCAACTTCCTACCTGAAGCCGAGGTACAAACCCTTGAACATCTGGGACACACACGGCTGTCGTTCTCATCAGCTGTCTTAAATGTCGATCGGTGTGCTCCTGCATCCTACGGGCAGTGTTGTAGCCTGATCATTATCTGTATTTATTCATAAAACTTTAATCAAAATACCTGTAAACACTTGCAGTTTCTGGAATGCCAGTCAATCCTTCGTATGAATTGATATACCTTTAAGGACTATACGACTTATACTACTTTGGTATCCAGGTCATTCGTAACGTTTGAAATATTAATGCAGTGAAAATTATCTCGATACACGTTGTGGTCGTTTTTATTTACTTAATTTCAAATTACATTTTTCAGGTTGTGACGATAAAGCATATTATATATGGCTCCGCGGGTATTCAGGGCTTTGAATTTTTTGGTAAATAAAAAATTGCTGTATTTACAAATACGATTATTTACATTGATACCTGCTCAAACAAATCTTTAGTATTTGGGATGATCCTTGCTGTAACACTGCCTCGAGGTTGAAGGCTTTCATGTACCCTTGTCGCGTGCGGGTGTGCACGTTTTCTCAAAATTCTATTAGCTTTATTTATTACACTTAGTATTATCAATATGTGTGGCCCTCGGTATGAGATCATTGTTGCTGTGACTTGCACAAGACAGCCCCGCTGTCATCGAATGATAGCAATAATTGCTTAGCTTTAATACGCGTCGTCGGTGCGACGTGACTCGGATAAGAGTGGACGACCCACCAAGTGATGACTTAGCGTATGTGATGTGGAATCAGCTTTTTATTCTAAGACTTGAATGTACCTGATGTCATGATTCCAAACTCAACTCAGTTGTGATCTTATGTTTTGGTTGCTTTTCGGGTGTTTCTTCCAAATCATTAGGGTTTCACACCAACCATATATTTATCCTGCCTCATCTGCAAATGAATTTGAGGATTTTCAAAATTTTTTGGCTGACATTGATGTTAATTAGTTTCAATAATTAAACGATATTTTCTGCAGGTGACAGTCAAACATATATTTTTTTATTTGCGCTATGGTATTCTAACTCGAATTTCAAAGTTCCTGTACTCAGCTCCTTGCATTATGTGTTGCGACTAAATACAGAGTTGGTGCTATCTCGATCATTAAAACTGAGATCTAACTGAATACCCTATGGTCATGATCGAAATTTCCCGAGATGTTGTATTGCAGATCAACCCTGAGGATCCTAAAGTAATTCTAATGACTTAGCTCTGCCTCACCATTCCTTACGAACGATAATTGAATGTTTTCTTTGGAAAATTATTGAATCATCTCGTTTTTAAATGAATGTTCTCTCCTTGTCCTACAAAAAGGTCACAGTGAATGCATAATATGATGTGAATGCATTAATTTGTTCGTTGTCTCGCTAATCAAAATAACCATCCGGCCATATGTGTAGAGATCACTCGGGGCAATGCCTGGTCACAAGGTTCGTGCTCAGTAACGCTAGTTATATTTCCCCTGTAGTATTTGTGTTTTTCATTTTCATCATCCTGCTGATGGTACAAGAATGTTCCATCCTCCAGATAATTACGTCATCTCCAGGGCAGTCCATAATTCCCTCTTGGCTGTGTAGGGTTAGAAATTGAAATTTATGGTAATACTAAAGTTTTATATTTCTGTAAGAATATTATTGCTCATAACTTATATTCCTATCGAAATATGTCCTGGTAGAGGACCGAGTTCGGAGTTCTCAACCGTAGACCAGAAAAGAATTTGCTATTATCATTCTTTCAGATTTTGACCAATGAACTATTATTGTTGCCTTTGGAAATAAGCTTAGATATGTCGCTGATATTTGTCGTATGTTCGTCTTGATCTTTAGGCGCGTAAGTGAATTTGTCATCCAAAGATCTCTGGTGTCTCTACGAGGCCTTTTCTACATTTTGTTCTCTAGCTCTAGTGGGAGTAGCGGGATTATTATAGCTTTCATCTGGTACTAAACTGATCTAACCATTAGCTCTTTTTTTAACCTAGCCTCACCGCAAGTGAGTTGGAAGTGCGTCGTGTATGAAGTTACTCCTCAAATAGTCTTGTTGTTGGTGTTTCTCGGGAGGTCTTACAATTGCCTGTTCTCCGAAAAAATTCTTGTAAGTTGTAAAATCTCGCCAGAAATACGGTCATGGGTCGTTATACTACAGGCGTTAGGAGGAGTGCCGGATTGAACATTCTGCTCTCGTGGATTGTTGGGTTTCTTCGGATTGAGCAGACAGTAGCAGCCGTTGACCTAATACTGCAGCTCAAAATGCCGGTCGGAAACCGGAAATAGCGTGGAAAATTGGGATTAGAAGCCGGGTAGAAACCAGCAAAAAAAAGGCATCACCAACGATTCAACATCACTAAATCACTAACAATTGCGTCACATAATTTAGGACCATTGTATGAATAATGAAAAACAAAGTTAAAATTGCGTTACTGTTGTATCAACAAACGTCTCCCCTCCTAGCTTCTGACATGAAGTCAACTTTAAATAAACTTTAAATGCTAAACTAACTGAGATCACTGAAACTTCAAATAAGATTTCACTCTGTGAAGTTTCCATTCCCTAGCAATACATGTCCACAATTGCGATTTGGCTATTTGCCCATGAGTTGCAACAGCTGCTGCATCTGAGTACAAGAGTCTCTTATTCAGGAGCGAAAACCGATAACAAAAATGAATGGAATATGGGAAGCTAACCATGTTTATTCTTATTGGCTAAATCAACTTGAGGATATAATCAACCTGACAAACCTGTCAGAACGCTTTAAGGCCTAATAGTAATGACACTGATTCAGACGACAACGACAGCAATTACCGTTGTCATCAGAGTCCCAGCGTTACGTTACGTACATTGACTATATTGTCAATGTAAGGCCAGCAAGTATTTGTCCTTCAGTTCTACACCAGATTCCACCGAATACTGTTCCCCAAATCTCTAGTCTCGTCTCTGCCACGAGTCCACGACCAGCTCACGTAACAACAAACACCTGGATGCCAGTCTTTGACCTCTTCTGGCACGCATTTCCATAGCAGGTTTTCCCAACATAAGTTGGTCAAATCCAAACCGATTAGGACAAAACTAAAAATGGACATATTTATTGACATTACGCTCATGCTAGCTTCGACAGAATATTCTTTTTCTGCTTCGCTATTATTTATTAATTAGCGCGTTTTCAAGTAGAGCCCACGAACGCTAAATTTTAGTCCCCTTTCCACGCGTACCAAAGCGTGTAGCGCACTGCGTGAAAACGAAGCGTTGTTAATTTGTTCAAGATAAACCTGCCGAAACTTATCGTTTAGCGCGCTAACTAAAATCAAAGCAGACAAAAAATATCCTGTAAATCCAACATTTATAATCTGGTCCTGATCGGTTTCGATTAGATCAACTTATGTGTGAAAAATCTGTTATGGAAATTCGTCCCAAAAGTGCCTATGTGGTCCACAACACGATTCGGGTACGACTGATACCGTAGTTATGTTGATTAAATGCATTCATCGCGAGAGCGCAAAGTGGGTGTTTTTTCCGGTCATAGTGAATTATTAGTTCTCTGCCTGTTATTGCTGTCACACGAATTATTTAAATATTCGTTTAAATTGTCATATATAGTAAATATTCCACCGCAGGGCTATTCTTTGATTTTATGATGGAGAACATGTCTAATGTCCTTTTGGATAAACCTAATTAAAAAAAACTAAACATCATTTCTTAGTGTCTCATGAATTATGATCGAGACTAAAATCATTAAAACTGTTATATAGTATTTTCTCAATCTTTCAAATAATTTAGTCTACTCTAACGTTTTCTATTGCACTATTTGTGACGTCATCAAATCGATGTGCTTGTGAACGCCATTTTGGTATAGTGTGGCCTATGTTAAGCAACAAAAACTGCAATAATTGCGATAAACTGTGTCTAATCAATCATTATCATACAAAATAAGTAATTTTTTCTTCTCATCGTTTGGAACGAGCCCAGGTTTGTTTTATTTTTTGCTCCTAATAGTCGTAAAAAATGCTTACTTGCTGCGTAACAACCGCTGCTGGTCAAGGTGCATGTGTTTTATGAAGGAAATAGTAGGTAAAAATCCTGGTTCTGTATTTGTTTATTGGTTTATAGAAGTTAGCTACGAGCCTACGATTATGATCCTGATTTTAATTTATTTCTTTCAAGCTTGAAGGTTACTTGCTTGGCTAAGATTCTAAGCCTAAACTTTTGTTGTTTCGACAATCAAGTTTCTCACGGCGTTTGACAGATCAAGCCTGTTTTTAAAAAATTATTAAAGGATATTGTGCAGTATGTGGTGATAAATGATAATTTATTTATTTAATTTTAAAAATTGTGGTTCATATTTCCATATCTATCCATCTGAATCTCATTATTTCTTGATGCTTGGGAATGGTGGAAATAGGTGTGGAATGCAGATTGCAATTTGTATTTTGTAGCCTTGTAGAATAGGTACCTAAATCAGTAAATGTAGCCAGTTGTCCTACCTATGTGCACACAGGTTTGGACAAATCCAAATTTTCTGAAATACGGTATTGCGGCTCTCGCTCTAACATCCTATAATTTCAGTAGTTAGGGTAAACCGTAAATGCGGTATATTCTGACACATTATGGACGTAGCAAAAAATGAATGGCTATGAAAAAATCACCGTATGCTCACTATGCGCAACTTGAGTTCTGTTTGCTTTACGTCACTCTCAATTCTCAAAACACAAAACAATGAAATGTCACAACTCCCAAAATGTTGTCATATTTATTTAAAAGCCTTTAGAATGCAAACCTACCAACAAAGTGGCAAAGCAGAGAGTTTTTTAGACTCTCCTTCAAGACAGTCTTGAAGGAGAGTCTAAAAAACTGTGGAATTCCAGAGAGGTAATATATTAACTGGTAAACATAGCAAACCGGAAAGCAGGACCCAAAAATCTGGAACGTCCAGCACACTTCCACTTTCAGTCCATCATCATCACTGATGAGTCTCTGCAAGATGCCACAGCTGTTTCATTGAAAAAACAGCGCTTTTGCATCATCACAGTAACAAGAATCCAATCAACGCTTGAACGCGTCCAACGTAACAGTCACAAGAATCCAATCAACGCTTGAACGCGTCCAACGTACTGTCACAGGGATCCAATCATCGCTAGAACGTGTGCAACGTCACAGTCACTGGATTCCAATCAGCGATAGAAAGCTAGAAGGGACTGCCTCAAATGCACACAATGTTAACGCACTGATGCTAACTTAATGCGTAATGCTACAATTCTTATTTCAAGAGCGTAATACAATAGTGTAGTTATGTCATTATTGATGGAAATCGCAAAGAATAACATTTTTGCTATGTACACTCACTCACAAATACATAAAAAACTGCCTATGATTCAACCAACAAATACAAAAGTGACCACTGATGCAATAAGCTAAGACATGGAAACTCCTACCGTTACGATCAGGATTACCAACTTAACGAAAAACATAAACAAAGAAGGTAGCAGGCCGCAGGGACACCAACCATCAATATACTCATTTGAAAAAAATGATAGTTACGAATTCTTCTATATTACAAATTTATCAGTAACTGGCATTCAACAGAATGGTTTAAAAACCTTTGTAAATTGTAAATTTTATACATGCAGAATCAATTGTGTGCAACAGCCAAAGTGGTGGGAACGATGGTTAGTGTTTACTGTTTACTTAGTTCTCGTGAAGCAATCGGTGTGTGAGGTAACTGAATTAACTGACGATAAAGCTCCTGAACTTGGAGACGAAAATTGAAAGAAAACTTTACGTGATATATTGTGCGCCTTCTATAGTTTTAATAATGAAGAAATCACAAGGTTCACAGAATCTAAAGATTTTAATGCTAAATTTTTGACTTTCGAGAACTCTATTGACTATTGAGTCTACTCTATTCTAGTCAGTCAACTGTGAAGTGTCATGTTGTTTGTTGTGCATTGCCTTTTCTTCGAGAAGTTTCTCCAACTGCCGATGAGTTTCTCCTTAATTTGAAAGCTGAGGTAACGAATAGGGGCCATAAATGTTTTTTTATATTTAATTTGAAACTATTATGTTGGGAGTAAATAGTATTTCCTTCTGTAGATCCATCCCTCTTGCTCATCTGTGAGTGACGTGCACAATTAACAATCTTGCATGGGACCTTCTCTGTGTTGCCTGACTTGACGATCGTACGATCATAGCTACCATAAACAAAGCTGATTTCTGATGGCCTGCAAACCTGTTTCTAGTTGCCTGGAACATTTTTTTTAAGGCGGAACGCTTTTTTTATGTGAACCACGAATTTTAGAATTCCAGCCTGCTTCAAGTTCATTTTTGAGTCCTATAAGTAGACCAGTAAAGTATCCTGGATACCAGCATTATCATACATAAGAAATTGGCTTAAATCTTGAGTAAATGAGGAAATTAAAATTGAACTGCTTCTAAAAAAGCTCTGGTTTGCCACTATGCCTACCAATCCATATATTCTGACGCAGTGACGCTGTGTGTGTCTAAATTTGGCATTTTGTGAGACTAATTCTGGCCACGCTTCAAACTCTACAAATTTGTAATTCTGACCCTCCTGTGTTCAAATTCCAATCGCTGTGTGAGCTGTATTGGAATATGACACAGCTTGGAATTAGAACACTATTGAACATTGAACACTACTTAATTAGGCTATTAATTAAGAGATATTAAGCTTTTAATTAAGAAAATTTTAATTTTTGCACGCAGCTTGGATTCTTGGAATGAGCTGTGTGTGTCTAATTCCAAGCTGTGTCAGAATTAGTTTTTATATGTCTAAAACCGTCTCTTAACTTGATAATCTATTAATTTATTTACCACATGAAATCAGCAAATACAAGTATACTTAAAGGATTCCTAATATATTCACAGACTTATTTAAAAGTCTTAAACCATAATATTCTTTCTACACAAACAGTTTATCACTATTTGGTAGAGCAAGGTCTACTATCAACTTTGACACATTTTTTGATGTTCTCACTGAGTGATGTGCACTTTCTCTCTTTGGATCTCAACATTTTCCCACCAGATGGCCAAGACTTAGTGTTTTGGCAATAGTATGGCGCGCAATAGTATGATATCACTATTTCAACCATCAACAAATGCGTGGAACCAAGACAGAGCATAAGGGGACCGCTACACCTAAATTTTCAATTTTGGCATTTTCCGGTTTTTGTGCTCATCTCAAGGGGACCGACCTGGCTAAAATTTTCAATTTTGGCGTTTTCCACTTTTTGGGCTCATCTTAAAGCTTACTTTTTGACGCATCCAACGGTGCCAGAATCATCCCTCTACGTCGAAAAATGATTTCGTGAAGTGATGTTAGAGTCGATAGATATGGTCTTTACAAATCGAATGATACGTGTCTCGATGTTGTAGGATGATATTTGTGGGAGGAGATAGATTTTCTAAAGTACCCCTTTATAGCCGTTTTCTATGAATTTCACGTTTTCTATCAATTTTTTGCGAAAAATTCATACGAGCAAAATGTTTTTCTTTTTTCATTTTAAGTATGTATGTGAAGTTTCATGATGATCGGATAATAACTGTAGAAGTTATTTGGTCCCCAGGTCGGTCCCCTTAAAGCTTACTTTCTGACGCATTGAACGGTACTAGAATAATCTCTCTACGTCAAAAAATGATTTCATGACAGCTCCCTAAAGGGGGGCGGTTTTGAGGGCTCTTCAGTAAAGTCTGTGGGATTAATTCAAAGGCTGGACACACTAAAAAGGAACGTCTGATCGTAACGCGGCCAATTATGGCATTATCCGCCAAAAATATCCGGTGCTTATACTCATCTTAAAGCTTACTTTCTGATGCGTCAAATGGTACCAAAACCATCTTTCTACCTGCATTTTGACGTACACAACGCGCTGTGGAATGGGGTGCGGTATTGGGCGGCCTTCACTAATTCCTATGGGCATAATTCAAGAGCAGGACTATAAATATAGCCTGCTGCCGCCAAAGCAGTCAGTGCCCATCATGACAGCGAGGTGAGAGGTATGCAGCCAGTTGCTCTATGCCTTGCTGACTTGGTTTGTGGCTTAATTATGGTATCTAGGCTACGTTACGACTCTTTTACCTCCCTTTATGTGCCGCGTGGCAGTTTTTTGGGTGTGGTGTTAACCTCCTATTGCTCTCACGGCAAACCTATCTCCTACAGTTTTCAAGCTACAGCAATGAGACATATACCATTTGATTCATAAAGACCATGCCTATCGACTCTAAGATAATTTTTTGGAATTTGTGTATGATTGGTCTTATATACGGGGGAGAAGGGGAGGGAGGGAGGGGGAAAAAATGAGAAAAATGGGAAAAATGCGCATAAAAAAAAACTATGGGGAAAATGAGAAAAGTGATCTTAGAGTCGATAGGTATGGTCTTTACAAATCAAATGATATGCGTCTCGATGTTGTAGGATGATATTTGTAGGAGGAGATAGATTTTCTTAAGTACCCGTTTCTAGCCGTTTTCTATGAATTTCACGTTTTCTATCAATTTTTTTCAAAAAATTCATAGGAGCAAAAGTTTATTTTTTTACATTTTATGTGTGTATGTGAAGTTTTACGATGATTGGATAATGACTGTAGAAGTTTTTACGGAGGGTTGACGGTCCCCTTAATAAAAAGGAAAAAAGTCAAGAATTGCCCACAATGTTGGAATATACCGCATTTACCCTATGAAATCTCGTGGCTCTAATGTCATGTATTTTTCTTTGATTGAAAAAATTGCGGTTTGTATTTTATACAAACTTGTCATTTCATAAAATTTTTAACTTCTGCAATCCGCTTTACTTTGACGATCCTGCCCAAATATCCTGCAGAACATAATTATTGTAATGACAAGTTATTGACAAGTTAACCTAAACGTTTTGTTGAAGATCGCGTATAGTTGCAGTCATGTCAGAGCAGTTGCCGGTCAGACTGCATTAACATGTGCCCAGCTTACATTGAAATTTGAAGACAAATGTTATTGTTGCCATTTGACTGTTTAGTAAGATTAGAGATTAGGAGTAAGAGATTAGATTGGGGTAAAATTAGAGATTTGGGGTAACACATGCAGGGACTTTGTAAATATGTTTGTGGCTACTGTTTGTGGAGTTTGCTAAATAAATTATAAAGAGATGACATAGATGGTAAAGAAAATTACAGGAAAAAGAATGAATAATGATTGCTAAATAAATGATGATTGAATGGTGAATGAATGATGCAGGTGCATTCATTGATGCATTCATTATATGATTAGTAAATGATGAGAAAATAATGAGAGAATAATGGGGAAATGTTATGTAAATGATAACAATAAATAATGATGATAAATTTTAACTAATTAACGATAATAATAACAAGTTAATAATACTTATACTTTTAGTACTGCATCACCAAACGCTATTGGTGATGGAGCATGGCGGCTGCCATCCCTACCCTAGCCTAGCTCTAGGGCCAGTCTTATAAGCACTTGACAAATTTCACTAGCAAGTAGATCAAGGGCTAGGTGCTAGTAAACAATTCCATTTAATTGTCTTTCAGTTTTACAGTAAAATCATGCTGTAAAATCTGGACAGTCGAGTATTTGCAATAAACTCCTAAACTTTTAAATACAAACCATAACACTAGCAGCGTATCACACAAATGAACGTGAACTGCAGTACTGCCATGAATTTCTGATATTCCAGAAATCACTGTCAGAATAGCTGCAGAGCTCTGAAATTTTGAGAGCATGCTCTAAGAACTGTAATCGTGCTATTCTATTATCTTTCATTACTGGCCCAATACAGTACCAAAGTTTATTTCTAGCACTAAGTGGTAACTTTTTTGAAATTCGGCCCAGCAAGCAGATGATATAAATTTCTAGAAAAACAAGATGGTGTCATCATAATTAAATTTTTTTCTTTGTTTCCAAACCCCTACCAATAAAATTAAGCTACCACTTGGGCAGGACTTTCAAAATTAAATTACTCCTGCGCTCCTAAGCATGAAATGGCTGTTTGCTGTTTTGCTAGCATTGTTGTTCATGCGTGATTTGTGCTCATGCCTACAAATTGCAGGCAGGACAAAAGTGAAATTGAGAAGGCCTGGAGACTAGAATGGAATTTTCCTACTTATCACTGAAATCTTGTGGCTCAAAACTAACTAATTTTTATTAAATTTGGAACCTTGCAGGTTGTAGCCCATGCATGCATTTTCATTAGTAATTAGAAAGTAAATAGTCTAATTATCTAGCAGGAATCTTGCAGTTACAAAAATTAAAGGAAAGCTCTAGTTGTCAAGGTGAAATTCTAGAAATAATGGTTAATTAATTATTATTTTTTGATGAAATGAAATCGTTAATTTTTTATGTTAAATATAATTGATGGTTAAATTTTTATTTTTCAATCTACTGTGGCCAGTTCATTTAAATTATAATAATAAACATTGCCCAAACAGGGAGTGTGACCTCACCAGTTGTTCACAGTGATTAATGATGTGCCATAAGCCATAAAATAATTTTAGATTATCAAATCATTTAGTGTGGTGCCAAAAACTGTTGGTATAATGGAAATTTTGAGAATTTTCTTCAATATTTGGCTTATTTCTTATTCTCAAACATGATTATGTTTAATTGTTGAGTTGGGGTGTGCACATATTGATCCATCTGATATTAATTCCCAATTGATATTTCTTAAGCAGTTCATATTTCTTAAGCAGTTTGCTTATAACTATTTACTCGACAAATGTTAATTAATGTATTTTTGTACAGATTGGGTGCCTCGTTCCTACCGTGCGTGAACATCTAAATGTTTGTGTGGTGGCAGCATGTCAGCTGTGCCAGGCTCTCAGGCCAAGGGGGAGAAAGCTACAAAGAAGTATCAGTCCCTGAACGTCAACGCTTTATTTAAGGTTAGAGTAACATCACAAAATTGCTAGAATGTGGACAATCTCTTATCTGTAACTGTATACAAAATTTGAGTAATAACTAATGATAATTTTTTTTGTGGTAAGTAAGGCATATTGAGTTTAGTATTTTGAACGTGTAAAATTGATTATTAGTTCCACTTTCTCTAGAGGAGAATATCTTGCAGCAATTCTTGATTCCTTTATGGATCATGATTTGAAAACATTTGCAGGTTGCATGAAGATATAAATTGTTTGATATATCATATAACACTACACTACCTGGTAATCAGCTTTGATGCCTTTGAAAAGTTCATACGGGGCTCCAAATTGGAATGGTCTCAGTTAATTTGTTGTGAAATTAGATTTGTTATTTTCAGTAAATAATTAAATATTATGTCACCACTCACCAGTCAATAATTGAAATAATAATATTCATTATTTCTAATAATAATTTATGAGACCTTCTTTAGCATGCTTTTATTATATATTAATGTATCCACTTTTTTACAGGGTAAATCTATTGAAATTAGTCAGAAGACTGTTATCCAGAAGCATGGCTTACAAAGTTTGGGCAAAGTCGCGTCGGTGCGACGCATTCCTCCTCCTGCTTTGCTGCCCAGCCTGAAAGCAGAGAATTGCGGCAACGATCCTACTGTCAACCTCGTACCTTCAGGCGGACAAGGATGGGGCACCACAACCGACAACCCTCCAGTTTCACAACAATCAACACTCACTCCCCAACTGCAGCAAGAACAACAACAATCAAACTCACAGCCAGCGCAGCAGCAGGCACAACAACATGCCTCCACAGGCTCCAATGCTACTGTCACACCTACTGTTTCTGCTCCTCCTCCAACCACTGCTGCATCAGTCCCTCTAGGACCACCTGTAAAGGTATATCGCGTTTCCATTATCCAAGCAAGCAATGAACAGATGTCTTGATGACAGATATAATATAGAAAGATGAAATGTGCACTGTGATCCTTTAATTTTCTTTAGGAAGACATTCTTCCAGAAAACTTGAAATAAATGTATTTCCATATGATAGGTTAGATACAATTTTTTTTAATTGAATTCAGTCTTTTTATTAAACTCTTTAGTGTAAATATGTCGAATTGACTACTGGCTCTAACTAATTACTACCCTTCTTCAAGTGGCTACCAATATTTTGACTCGGTAGTTGGTACTATCTTATTTGACCGCTTTGAGTCTTCTTGATTAACACCTTGACAGTGGTTGATTCATGAAAGATGAAACTACTGAAAAAAAAATCACCAACGAAATTTTCTACCTTATTTGAACCATTATAAGTCCTCATTTTCTGTTGATAACTTTTGGTGTGCAGATTATTTTATCTCAATCATAAATTGCCTTTGTTTCTTTCTTATAATAGACGAAGCTGATCTGAAGCGATAGAAACCTCCCTACTACTACTACTACTACTACTTTTTTCCTAAAACAGTTTCTATAGGAATGTGCGTGTATGTGTATGAAATTTAATAACATGAATTCAACTCGTGCAGGTTTTCGACCCCAGCATCATCCACCAGCCATCACCCTTCTTGCCTCAGGCGTCATCTGCTACAAATGCTACAGGTTTGAATGCCAAATTTTTTCCAAGCTGATAATCGCCAATTGCATTGAAATCAGAGTGCGATTTAAAAAATGACACTTCTAAGTTGAATCATTTTGTTAATTTTTCTGTATCTGTTAGAATGACAATGCTCTTAAAAGGGTACAACTAAGATATGTGGATCTTGCTCCAGTGATCTCATAAACAACGTATCATTAGTGTGGTCACCTAATCCAACTAAATTGTATTCCAATTTTTCCTTGCCTGAAAGCTTTCCTTCCATGCCCCAGGGTTTTCTCTTGTGCAAATCAATCCTTTCAAATGAAGATAATTGGAAATTAATTAATCCTTAATCCTGATAATTAATCCTGAAGCTAATTAATTGCCGAAACTCGCCAATTATTTCCACAACTTAGTGTCCTGCTCCTGGCTAGCTCCAAAATTAGGTGCCAATGTATCATGGTTCATTTCATCGGTGGGTCATTTTCTTTCACCCAGATTGGTCATTTTCAGCAACCCAGATCGACACTTCATGGCTTAGCTTTCTTATTTTGGTAATAAAGTTGGAAGGTAAAAGCTTCCAATATTGTAGGCGATGTATTGTAATTAGGCCGAAATATAATGCTAAAAATATTTTCAATAGATGGAAGTGGAAGCAGCAGAGCTATTGCAAATGGAGTGCTGAAAGGAAACTACATCGCCTCCTCAGCCGCAATAATGGTGAACAATCAACTGAAGCTTCAGAACAGCAGTGTACAGAACGCAGACAACAACAGCAAGATAGTGAGTGGCAGCATCCCGCTCCCTCTCTTGGGTCCTCCATCAAATTCTCAAGGACCCACGACTCAAGGGAGCAGCAAGCGAGCCACGACCGCCTCATCTGGGACCTTCCTTTCCCGTCCCTTGTTGGGAGACTCCGACGGAGGGTCTGCTGCAGCAGGTGCAGCAAGCAAGAAGACAGTTCCTGTTGTTGCAAGTTTGTCAAACAAAAAACCTGTGCGTGGAAGTGGAGGAGGAAACGCTGGAAGTGTCCCACCTACTGGAGGTGTTGCGGGAGGAGGGGCAGGAGGAGTAGGCACAGGTGGTGGAAACGGTGGCGGCATCCAGGCACCTGCAGGTGGTCCAGCCATTGTTCCCGGTGGAAGAGGATGGAGCAACGCAAGTGGCTCGAGTCGTCAAGCTGCGGCATCTCCACTGCTCACAGGGCCTCCTACCCTTGCCTCCGTGACGGCTGGTCATCAGCCAGCTTCGACCTTCTCATCAAAGGAATTTCCAAAACTTGGCAGTGGTGGCAGTGGCGGTGGTGGAAGTGGAGCACAACAAAATCAACCTCCGGACAACTCTCACCGTTATGGACCTGGGCCCAGTCTCAGACCTCAAAGTAAGAGCTCGTTCTGGGTAATTTCATCAATATTATTTTGTTTTTTCAAGTTTTTGGTTTCGACATATTTGTATGTAAAACTTGATTGAATAATATCGTACATATTTTTGATTGTTTTTTTTTTTTTGTTATGTCATCCCATGTTGGCACTTTTCCTGCAGGTGCATTAATTACTTTTCCAGTCCAACATTTTTGTTGTCATATTCCATAAGGCGAACTGCTTGGAAGCCGGGGTGCCAGTGGTGGTGGCGGCTCGCAACTGTCGGCCGCGCAGGTGACGGCTGCTAGCCCCTCAGTTGCTCCCCCTGGTCTTGCTCCTGGCTCCGTGCCACCTGCTCTCTCAAGCCCCCCTGAAAAGGACTCGGCGAGTTCTGTGCTTCAACCTCCCAAACCGAGCACTACTAATTTCTTCAAATCCATGGTGCCCATGATGCCTTCTTTTGTGAGTTTTTATATTATAGTTGGTGATTGTTAAAGTATGATGAATCAATATTCTCTCGCTCTTATTTCAAAAAATGTTCTCTCGGTTGAAAATATTAGCTTGTTAGTATAATTTTTCTTGGGCCATGAGCATGTTTAGCAAGTACGTCTTTATTTGCACAGATGGGAGGAGAGGTCCCTAACTTTACTCCTAACTACCCAAGCTACGCCCGTGGTGGCTTTCGAGACCGTGAATCTGTTGCTGACTCCAGCTCGGACTTGGCACCTCGTGATTTCAGAGATTCTGGCCGTGATGCCTTCCGAGATTCTGGTCGTGATGGCTTCCGAGATTCTAACAGAGACGATATTCGTGATTCCTGCCGGGAGTCTGGTCGTGACGGCGGTAATCGTGACGTCATTCGTAATGGTATCCGTGAACGCGAGGGCGTTCAGGCTAGTCGTGATGTCAACCGTGAAGGCAGTAACCGTGATGTACACAGTAATCGTGAAGTTGGCGGCCGCGGTGCTTTTGGTGGCTATCAACGACATGCAGGACCATATCGAAAAGATCCCATGCAGCATAGAGGAGACTCTGACGCTGAGCTGTCCAAGAGAGAAAAGGTTTCTGCACACGAAAATCTGGATTTCAATGATGGATGGGCTGCAACGCCTTCCGAAATTGATTTCAAGTAAGGCTAATATGTGTGTTTGCTAATACTTTTAAATTGGATTTAGTTGTAATGCCGATAGATGAAGCCATAATCCATAGTCGTCAAGTTTGAAAAATAGATTGGTATTGCGATCACTTTCATTGTTTGGGCTAGCAAAAGAAAAAAAACTTCTTCAGCTTTTGCACATCAATATTTTTTTCTATAATGAGTTCAGGAAAGACATCAATTGTTGGAAGCCAGATATTCTTAGATTGATATATAGAATCCAGTTTGAATGAAATCATCGGAAAGTTATAAATATTTCAAAACCATCAGTTAAATGCTTTCGCATCAAAGGAAGTCCATCAGAGTGACCGCAAAATTTGCCTATTTTTGTTAACAAACTCATGCGATGCCTTTGCTCACGTAATCTTTTTCTCACTAACAGCAAGAAGCTGAACTTCAGTGAAGACGAAGGCAGTGTTGACGACGAGCAGTCTGACGTGCCAAGTAGCCGTAAGAGCGAACCTCGCCTCAATAATGGCATGGGGAAGGAGGCAGCAGCTGCTAAGAGCCTTGCTTCTCAGAAGCGACCTGAACCTTCGAGCACTCCTGTGGAGACAACAGAAGACTCCACTCGTCCCACATTGCTTCAGAATGCTGAGGCTGGATCTTACCATAATAGGTAGCTTCTTGTTGCTTGCCAAATATCTTTTTTGATGTAAATGTTTCGAAGTGAATTTTTATATTGTCTATGTAGTTATTTTTTAAATAGGTACTTTTTTGTCAAGCTTATTGTTGTAATCTGTTTAGGGAGAGGATCTATGTACCGCCACATTTAAATGAACAATGATTTACAGAGCTTGGACTGAGCCCAAGACCAAGGCTCCACTTCTTGCGCAACGACCGCGGGAGGAGCGCTTTGATCGACCTCGTTACCCCGAAGACCGCAACTGGCAGGGTGGCCCTGGCAATGCTGGGGTAAAGGGCCCTCCCCATCCTTTGCTTGGTCAGCAGCCCCATCCTCCTCCTCTTTTACCGTACCCAACAAACCCCAGCAACCGTAGGTTCCATCCGTCAGGTCCTGCACAGTGTGATGTACCAAGCCAAGAGCTCGTGGTGCAGCAAGCGCTCAATAAGGCACAGCAGCGGGAGAAGGAGGAACTCAGGCGCTATGAAGAGAAGCTCGGAGAGAAGAAAGTTTTCCGTGTAGATGACGTCGATAGCAACAGTTTGGGTGGCCGTGGCAGTGCATCGCGATGTAGCAGCGAGAGTTTTGACGAGCTTCCTGCTGCCCCAGACACCAAGGAAGCCTTGCGTCCTGGTAATATTATTTTTCTGAAGTTATTAATTTTTTTGATTGGTATCTCGTTATTTAGGACTATTTTTGTTGATTTAGTGAATTAATTTTTATTGAATTACATTAATGTTGAATTACTTAAACTGATGTGCTTAAAATTTTTCTAGATCGAAATAAGACTCTATGGCTTCCTGGAAATTGGGAAAATCTGAGGCTCTAAAATATTCAAAATGATTCATTCATCAATGAAATTATTAACTTCGCTAATATCCTGACTTTAACAATAAATGACTACCTGTTAAGGTCCACCCGGTATGGCGGAGCACAGGAGCGACTACCATCGCATGCCGCCCCAACGAGACGCTCCTAAATACGGACGAGATCAGCACCCGTACGGCCGTGGGGGCGGTGGAGGCTATGACCGTCGGGACGGCCGTCATCACGACTATGCCTTTGGTGGAGGACCTCCTTTTAAAAGCAACCTGCCACCACGTCTGCAAAAGCAGCAGCAACAACAGATGCAGTACCATAGCGGTCCTGGCTTCAGGTCTCAACCTGTAGCAACTTTTGAGCCTCAATTTGGCTCCAATGCTGGAATTAGACACCAACGCGATACTGGTGGGTTTATAGTGCCAAAATCGCGGAATTGCCGATTCTGTGGAATCGGCAACCGGTTTGCCCTATCTGTATAATCAGCATTTTATACTAGAAGAATCTAGGGTTAGGCCAGTCAACGAAGTTCTTTTTTTTTTAATATTTAAATATAAAGGAACTTGACCCAACATTTTCTAACTCTAACTGCCGATTTATGTTCTAACTCTAACGTCCGGTTTTCTGAAGCAGCAACGAAATACTGTTATTATGTACCGATATGTTGTTGGGCGAAAGATTACGCATTTGATCCGCTTTTTCTGAGAAAGTTTTTCAGTTATTGAAGTTCCGTTCATCGTTGTATGGAATCTTGTTCCATTTCAACATTAAAATTTCTCTTCTTCGACCATCAGGTGATCGGGATTTGAATGGTTCAGAGCAACATTCCGAAGGGGCACGATATTCAACACCACCCAATGATTCCTTTGAAAAACGTCCATCGCCTGAAGCGGGTGCCGACTCTGCTTGCCACGCTCAGCGATCTCGCCCCCTGCTGGCTGACCCGATCCTGCCAGGTTCTGAGAAAAACAGTGACCAAACCGGAGACCGCAACCGTCAGACTCCCGACACGACTTCGTCTGGAGGATCTGTGGATCGTTCCTCTCGTATGACGGACTGGGCGTCAGAAGCTTGGAATGATAAAAATGCGTCACCCAAAAATGACACTTTTAAACCGGAAGACGCGGTTGGCGGTTTTCTTCAAGATGATGAGTATGTGGCTGCTTGTAACACATTTCTGAATGTGTCCAAGGCTTTAGATTTAATATTAATTTTAATTAATATTTGCAGATGATATGTCTATTCTATTTAGCAGTTTAAACAAATTGCAACAATTCTTACGGTTTCTGTATTTTTATCATTTGATTGAGTGAAAACTCGTACGTTATGGTACAAGTTTTTGTTTTATTCGTTCTGTGCATCGTGTCTTGTCTTAGATTTAAAACTGGCTTTGAACGTTAGTCTTGGTATTTTATCTGCTCATATCATGGCTTTGGATTCAATTCAGTCTAGATTAATTATTCTCTCAAGCGAAGTTTCAACTCATTCCAGATTTGAGAGCGGCCGCGGCCAGCAAGGTGCGAACAAGTCGTGGTCGCGCGACTCCTGGCATCGTCAGACATCCGAGGATCGGTGAGTTCCAGTCATGACGAAATTGTTATTCCTATATTTCAAACCCTGACAACTATTTCTATTCATCTGTTCTCTTTGGAAGCAATGTGCTTTATTGAACCCGGTTTTCTTTGTCCCAGGTCATACCCTCGAGATGGTGATAATTATCAAAACCTAGGAAGTAAAACCTTCCCTCGTAACAATCGAAACCAAGAATTCAATCAACCGCGACCTCAACGTCCAATGAATCGTAAACCCTCTGATGATCGTCACTCAATCGATTCCCGTCGACCTTTTGATGAAATGCGACCTCAGGACGATGTTCCTCGTCCTGTGGAGGAGGGGCGCAGGGCTTTTGATGGGACTCGACGGAACTTTAGTGATATCGTTCCGCCTAAAGGTCAAAACCTTGATCGCCAGTGGGGACAATTTTCTGAAGATGGCATTCCGGATTACGGCAGTGAGCGCGAGGATGCCGGGCCAAACTACTCCAAACATTATGGTGGTTCCTACCAACCACGCCCGTACAGCGGCCAGCGAGCTCCTTCTGATCATCAATCTAATTTCGATGAAGGACCACGCGCGCCACTATTGGACTATCGCCATCAACCTTTCTCGAACAATATCCGTGAAGGGCGTCCTGGCCACGCATCTCCTAACAGTGACTTTCTTCGGAACAACGATGATGAGAGAAGTTTTGACCGTCAAAGGTCCATCGAGCAGAAGGGTCCTGATGGGGCTTATAGAGACGATCAACGTTCATCATCTGAACGTTGGAAACTCGGTGATAAACAACAGAACTACAGTGGTCGTCGATTTGGCGCTACTGATCGGGAAATTCCTTTTGATGAACAGTGTCAACGTCTTGATGACCAAGGTCAGCGCTTTGCTTTTGATCGCCGTTTCGAAGAAGACCGTCGAACGTCGAAAGAAGATGCTGGTGAACGTGACTCTCAGAGAATAGCTGCCGACGCATCTATTAATACTCGTCCATGGCCTGCTAAAGAATTGACTGAGAAGCTGCGTGACGACGTATCTGTTAAGTCTGACCGCAGTGATCGCAACAGCTCAGATCGCGATAAGAGGAGTCCTAGTAATGATTGGTCTGCTAAAGAAGCAATCAAATCATCAACGAACGAGGCTGTCGATTCAAGAGATTGGGAGAAAGAAGCTCCAACGTCGAACCGTTCCTCAGAAGATCGCAAAGATCGAGCTCGTCGAGAAGCACCTTCGTCCTCATGGGCAGATGCTAATGACAACGAATTTTTCAATAGAATCGGCGCTAGACCTGCTACTACTGTGACGGATTTCTCGCCCGAAACTGATGGGTTCCCTTCTAGAAATGAACTCGATGAAAGTGTACATAATAATTCACCACCCACCCCTGACATTCCCAAAGAAGAACTTGACAAGGAACTGGAAATTCGCAAGAGTATGGAGTTGCGAAAAACTATGACCACTCTAAAGAAAGGCGCTCCCATAGAGCCTGCTGGCAATTTCAGTCAAAAAGAAGCTACATGTAACAAACAACCGACACCTCAGCAACAGCAGCAACAGGCACCACAACAAAAACAGCAGCAACTGCAGCCTCAAAAACAGCTGCAGCAGCAACCCGGTTCACGTGAGAAGAATAACGCTTGGAATTCCAACAACCGATCGTCAAAAAACGGCGAGCGTTCCCGCCCCGATCCAATGCAGCCCAGGAACACCACCGGACAGGGCGGGGAGAGGACTCCAAGCACGAAGAGCTGGGCAGAAAAAACGGCAGGCCAAGCCAGCGTCACGACGTCTGTGACGACAGGCCAACAGAAGCCAACCAACACCAAAACTACCACCAAAACCAACCTCAGTGCGCCCTCCTCCAAACCCCAGAGCACAATAGTGACCCCAGCTATCGCCATTACCAGCAACGAAGGTACCAACAAGACCAGCACGAACAACCACTTGCCTCCATCCCAAAACAGCAACCGCAACAGGAACAGCCCACTTCTCGAGACACCAACAATGACTTCTGTCAACACGAAGAACAGCAGCAGCAGCAACAACAACAATATGTTGAAGAACACCGATCAATTGAAATCTCAACAGGACTCCGAGAGCAGCAACACCTGCAACAACAACGATGTCGAACCAGAGTCTTCCGCAACAGCGCTCGAAGAGGAGTCCGCAGAACGAACTGATGGGGGCCAATTCGATAATTCCGGCCGAGGAGGAGGAGCGGGATATGGCCGCGGTGCTCGTGGTCGAGGCGGTATCAGAGGATATAACACCCGTGGCAACAGTGGGGGCTCAGGTCGAGGTAGCATGTTATCAGGAAGCAACTTCAACACTTCACGGGGCAGGAGCAGTGGCAAGTACACGGAGTACACGAGCCGCAACCGTGTCGGCATGGGACGCAGCAAGAAGACTCTTCACCAAGGCTACGATGACTACTGCTACGATGTATATGGCGGGGCATACTACCAGCAACAAAACTATCGGCCTAATAAAGATAGAAAGGTGCAGTGGCTGATGGCGTCGTTTATCTGTGACTTTTTAAAAATATAAACCAGTTTATTGGGCCTTATTATTTTCGGTTGACATTGACAAATTTGAATTATTTATAATCTTATCTTTGCTTTATTTCTTAAAATACTATACATTTGAATTTGGTTATTGAACATTATTGATAATCTTGCAGGATAATTGGAGTGAAGATAAATCTCAGGAGGTTGGAGCAGACGATGATGTGTACAGCGGTCGGGGCCGTGGAGGTTCTCGTGGCCGAGGTGCCCCAATGAAGCCCCTTGGAGCACCAGTTCCCCTGAGCTCTGTTGTGGTATCTGCTCCTGATCATCTCGAGCTGTTTGGTAGCCGTGGAGGCCGTGGCTTGGACAAGCACGCGGGCCCAGGCAGGTACGAGCAGCAGCAGCAGTTGCCGCCTCGTTTTCAGAAGAGGATGGAGGAGCGAGGTCCCAATGACAGGGGAGGCGGTGGTGTACCAAAGCGCGCCGTCCAGAGGGCAGGCAAAGAAACCTCACCTGATAACCCTGATAAAGAATGGGAAACTGATTCTGAAAACAGCAATCCTGATAACGCATCGGCTGTGAAAGATGCTGCGCCTAAAGACCAGAAAAGTGGTAAGTGTGATTCAATTTTGTTTGATTCTAAGTTCATGAGGGTTGCGGATACCCCTGTAAGCTGGAGGGTTTCTGTTGAAAAGTTTGAAGCTTCGTTTGTTAAAACAATATTAGGGACATTCGTTAAATGACCAGCTTACTGAAGAATGACTGATATAACTGATTTGCCATGTCATTAGGTGACATGCTGCGATATTTGCAAGTGACTTTAATTTCAACACTATTCTTCTTGTCATTGAGGAAGGAAGAAACTATGCATGTAATATATTATATCGACATTATCCCAATTTACAGACGAGTCTGGCCGTCCTGATAACATTGAGGTTCACATGGACGAGTTCCAAGAAGTGGTTCGTCGTAAGTCACCAAAAGAAAAACCCAAGGATGATCAAGCTAGTAAATCCAGTAGTGGTATCGCATCCGATTCAGATTCTTCACGTCGAGGCAAAGAGAACATTGCCAACAGTAACTTCACCGGGGTTAAGAAGCCCCTCCTCAAACATCCCGTGAATGCAAATGAAAGACCAAGACAGAACAAACTACCTCCTCGCTTGGCCAAACAACGGGACAGTAAGTACAACGGACCAAATGTCAACGACGGAACCTCGTCCAATATTGCAACGATGTCCAGTGGTTCGAGTCACGTCGCTCCCTCAAGCGCTGCTCTCGCACCTACCGTTACATCTGTGGTCAGCTCGGCTCCCAGCAAAAATGCCTGGGATAAGCCACTCACTGCTTCCTTGCGCTCTAACTCTCCCATTTCTCCAAGTCTTACCCCACAAGACGCTCCAGTTGTCAGCGTGGCTAAAGTTCCAGGTGAACCGTTGTTGGAAACTCCTAAGGATTTGGGAGCGCAAATCCCTGCTGGTAGTCAGAGGTCTAGTCCTCATTGTGCTGCACAAGTGATGACTAAAGACGATAAGAAGAATCTTGACGGTTCATCTGTTCCTTCTAAGACAATCATATTTGAGAACACTAATTTCAAGGCAGCTTCCACTGCACTGTCGGGTTCTGGTATCCAGTTCATGTCGGGTGGTATGTATGAGAGTGGCAAATCTCAGCGGCCGAGAGAGGTGCGTGACCGCCGAGGCCAACAGAACAAACAAGAACAAACAGCGTCCCAACAACCTTACCGAGATACACAGCAAAATACCCAGCAACCACCGCAACAACAACAAAAACGGCAACAGACACAACAACAACCATCACAGCAGCAGCAGCAGCAACAACAACATCAGCAGCAGCAACATCAACTTCAACAACAGCAACAGCATCAACAACAGCAACAACATCAACAGCAGCAACAACATCAACAGCAGCCACAACATCAACAGCAGCAACAACATCAACAGCAGCAACAACACCAACAGCAGCAACAACACCAACAGCAGCAACAACACCAACAGCAGCAACAACACCAACAGCAGCAACAACACCAACAGCAGCAACAATATCAACATCAGCAGCAGCAGCACCACCAACAACAGCTGCAACAACAACAACAGCTGCAACAAAAGCACCAGCAACAACAACAGCAGCAGCAGCAGCAACAACAACAACAACAACAACAGCAGCAGCAGCTACAGCAACAACAGCTACAGCAACAACAACAACAGCAGCTACAGCAGCAGCATCAACTGCATCAACAAAAGCATTTACAGCAACAGCATCACCTTCATCAGCAGCAGCAGCAGCAGCATTATCAACAACAACAGCAACAACCGCACCATACGCAGCAACATCACAAACAACAGCCGCAGCACCAAGAAGAACCGCGTCAGCAACATATTCACCAGCAAGAGCAGCCTCATCATCACCAGCAACATCAGCTTCAGAATTCAGGGCCAGGCATGACTGCTCATTCTGTTTCCCCTCACTTGGTTGCGACAGGCTCCTGCCCTCAGAAAGCTGAGGATGGTTTCCACTCCGATGTCAAATCTGACGTTTCCGAGATGCCTTTGGCATACACATCGAATGAAGAAAATGGATCAAAACTACAATTTTCTACATATAAACCGGAACTGGGGGAACTATCGGCCGACAAGGTTGATCCTGGCAAAACTCTCAATCTTGTACGTCCTCTAGCCATGGCTGCCAATGTCCACGCTCCTAATTCTCCCTCCACTGAGGACTTGAACATGAAAATAGCTTCGGTGAAGAAAGTTTGGGATTTGCCTTCAGTTTCAGAGAATGTGGAAGAGGTGGTCAGTCACTCCACCTCCTTCGCGACTTCAAAGTATTCTACCGTTTCAAGTCATGAATCAGCGACTCGTCTAGAGCAGCATTCTGCCCCAATTGAATCTTACGGTTCCAAGGACAATTCAAACATGGCGGAAGTAGAAGAAGCTAGAGATCTGTACAACTGTGCTGGATCCCCCATACAGCAACCAGGTACTCCCAGCGATTGTCCGTGTCCAAATGGAGTGGTTAATAGCATGGATTACACGTCCGTGGCTGCAGCTGCTGCCGCTGCCGCTGCAGCTTATTCCAAGAATGACGTGAGCCGTTCTGGTAATGTGTGTAAAGTGAAGCCCCAGCAGCAGTCAGCCTGCAGCTCTGTATCAAGCAATGGCTTGAACAATTGCGTGTCACCTGGGGCTGTAGGGGCCAGCAACGTTGTGACAGGTGTAATTGCCTCGATGGGCATGGCTAGTGGCACGGGAGGCTCCATGTCTCCACCTCTAGCGTCAGCGTCGGTTGGACACTCTTCTAACAACGTATACCAAGCTTTAGGGGGAACAGCAACCTTTGGCGGTTTGAGTGGTGCAATTCCTTCACCACCAATTATTTTCAACTCCTCCCAGCAGGTGCAGAATGGGTTGTACCAATCTTTCTTGGAACAGAGAAGTGCTTCACAGTTTTCCCAATACAACCCATATGGACTTGGACAAGGCCTTGGCAATAATGCATTCGGTCAGCAGTCCATGTTTCTACAGACCCCTCCTCTTACTGCTCCGACTGATATGTACGCAAGCAACCTGTCGCAGTATCGAATGCAACCATCAGCTGTCGCAGGTTTTGGCCAAACTCAACCTCAAAATCAAAACACTGTTCTTATTTCATCTGCAAATTCTTCTCTCATGTCCAGCGCAGTAAAACCCTCGTCGCAATCGTTTGGTGGGACTTCTCAACAGAACTTTGGTACTATTGGCTCGAAACCAGGAGCTCCCTTTCAACAAGGAGCAATTGGCAACACTCTTCAAGGAACACCGCAGACGCCGCTCTACATTTATGACGCAGTTCAGCCAATGAGTTTGCTTGGCCCGCAGTTATTGCCTCGGCCACCAGTTCAGGGATCGATGCTCCAAACTATCCAAACCCAGAATAGCTTTTATTCAAACAATAGCAGCGCTAATGCTGCAGCTGCAGCTCCCTCGGCTGCTCAAAATCAACCAGCGGCCGGTGCTTTCTATGCACCGGGTTCTACTCTTCAGGCAGCCGTAGCAGCTGTCCAGCAGCAGGCTCAACAGCCTTCGTTACAGACTTCTCCTGCATACGGCATCCAGGGCTTCGCCAATCAAACTCAACCTGTAGCAGCCGCTGCTGCAGCGGTCGGACTTCAAAGCTTTGGCTCAGGCATGAATATCACTCCTCAGCAGCTGAATGCTGCTGTTGCTGCCACTTATCGCAACAACTCGGGAGCCACGGGACTTCAAGCTAACTTTCTAAAGTCATTACCCGGCAATTTGGGAGTCAACGCGTCGTCAAGTCTACAGGACCCTACACGGCAACAAATGAAGTCGCCGAACCCTGCGCCCAGCTCCTTCAATTCAACGTTCTTCTCTGGACAGTCAAGTAGGTTCATATAGGGATTTGTAATTTTTCTACGGTATAGTGCAATAAACCTTCTCTTAGAGTTAAAAACGATTATTGCTGCTATCTCTATCATGATTGCGTTTCCGAAACCATTTACCAACTAGTAATGAGCCACCAGGCTCGTCGATTTTGTTGATTGGGTGCCGTGCAAAATAGATGGTTCGAGCCTCTCTTGCTGCATACCTCTGGCGTGTTACGTTCTGTGTTAACACGACTAGATTAATTTGTTAGTTTTCAATAAAAAATGATAGCTCCGATTTCGGCTACGTACGAATATGTAACAATGTCGGATTTTGTCGTTAACAGCTGTTAAACTGTGTATATATACAAGTTATGTATGGCCTTGAATCAGACATTTGCTCTTATGTTGTCGGCTGAATTAAACAGAATTATCGTTCAAATATTGACATTTAAACCTTATTCCTCGGCTAGAACGGAAAGATCAAATAATTTTTTGTCTCTTCATTGGTGTGATCAAAGTTTGTCTCTATCGACTGTTGATATTTGAAAACTACGAGTTACCACAACTATTTCTGATTAACCACTTGATTTCGTAGTGTTTACAGACGCTCAACAGCAGCCAACACAAGGCAAGGCTTGCAACCAGCCAGCAATGACAGGCCAGCAGCCACAAGCAGGCATGCGTAACTACGCTGGTGTGGGAGCCCCTCAGCATCAGCAGTTGCATCTCCCGCCCGCGTCCATCACTGGCCACCAAGTGTGTAATTTTTTGCTCGCTACCATATCTCCCGACGATCAATTCGTTTATGATTATTCGTTTGCTCAGACTGATATTTGTAAATATATATTTGTTATGTTGCGTTTTTAAGATATTGAATATAATTTGGCTTATTTCTGTATCATATTTTTTTGTACCTTACTTTAATTGGAAAACACCAGTAAATATGTATTATGGCAATTTCTTAATTCATATTATAAAATTTTCCCTTCTTTGGACCTTGCGGTGGATAAACAGTCGTGTGATTATTCATCACGATATTGGTATGATTTTGATGAAACTCTATGCAAGTATCGCACGTTAAGAAAACGGGTGTTTTCAGGTCGCAAGTCACCCCCAGTCTCAGCAGTACCCGTGCGGCCTTCGTGGAGGAAATGGCAATTCCGTGACATCCTTCTCCCCAACTGCCAACTCCATGATGATGACCAACAACAGTGGCTCCAGCAACATTGTCAACATGAGCAATAGCACGAGCAGCATGATGAATAACGCAAACAACATGATGAACAACGCAAGCAACATCATGTCGCGAAACTCTCCGATGGCCGCCTCCATGTCGAGCATGAGTTCATCCAGTGCCGCAGCTCAGAGCGCCGTAAGCAGCAGCAGTTCCCCTGTTGCTACTGGCACGGGGCAAGTAAGGTACACGGGGCCTGGACCTATCCAACGCCCTCCCACTTCTGCTGCTGCGGCGCAACAAAGGCTCAATACAGCTGCTGCAGGTGTGACTCCGAGCACAAGCAGCAGCAATGTAGTTCGCTCGAGCGCGCCCGTGTCCCAACAGGCGGCTCCTTCCAGCCTCTCAGCATCAGGGCCTCGTATCTCTTCTAATCCCAGCTCTGCTCAGCAGGCCAAGTTACGCGCGGAAGCTCTCAGTAGCACTCAGGCGTTCTTCAACAGAGATGGTGAGTTAATATACTTCAAGTTAATTAGCATTGCATTACTTTTCTTGGCTGCTCTCACTTATTACTTTTGACCACTTCACACTCTTAGAAGTTATTTAGCCTCTTTCACTCATGTTACGACTTGCATCTGTTTACCGTTTCTATTTTTTAATTTCTGTTGCATTAAGTCTACTGTTATAATATAATACTAATATATTTACTTTTTTTAATTAGACATTAACTGCAATGAAACTTATCTACCTCAAGTTAGAAGGTTTAAAATTGTGCTAAACTAATCTTTTACAATTATGCATTGATTTCTTTTATGAAAACATGTCAAGAATAATATTTATCGATTGCAGCGAACAAGACAGAAGCAAAGGATTCGGAGAAGAAGGAACACATTCAGGACTGCGACAGTGGCATCCAATCGACAGAGACATGAGCGAAGTGCAATGTCTCTGAAGATGCACCAACTGTCACATCGCTAACGACTGCTGTTTTGAAAAATTCCTTGAAGATGAAAACTTTGAGCTTCCATCGAGACAAGCTTGCCGGTTCCTGCTTGACGGATGAAACTGGTTTCGAGTGGTAGCTATTTCGAACGTGCTGCACGAATGACATTTTCTCAACTGTCGCAGCAAGTATACTGGGACACGATTGTGCCCATTTTCGATGTTTATTCAACTATGTCCTGCTACAAGAAACTCTTCATTATAACATGTGTGAGAAGTGGTGATCGTAAGCATGAAACGAACTATAATTGCCTAGTTATATTTTATGGAAATCCGACAATGATTCGATGAGTTGTGTTCAGTTTTTCTCACTCAGTGTGGGAATAAGTGTGATGTACGAACTCTTTTCATTCCTTCAGCAAGATTGAAGTGTGGCTGATTAGCAATATCTTCTCCTTGCGTCTAAAGAAGGAAGTGGTTAAGTATAAATTCCTTGAAATGGTTCACAGTGGTATTAATGGAATATTATTAAAGTGTTTCTCCTATAATCGTCTTGATGGTGAACAGGAGTGTGAACATTACTCGATGGTACCCTTTCTTGTTTCCATCTCAACTGTACGTGAGCCGCCGTACTGGCAATTTACTGTTGGTATTTCTTCTTGACTTTTAGTTGAGAGATTAATAACGTAAAGTCTGCTATTTCTTGATTCCGTTTTGTTCGTTGCAAACTTTTCTTTCAGCGTTTTGTAGTCGGTCTTTTGTTGACATTTCTTCAAAGATACCCCAATATAATGCATAGTGAAGAATATGTCACTGTACAGGGTTACTATACCACGAGCACCGTTAGTTATTAGCTTCCCCTTCGGATATTTACATCATTTTGGCCCTGGTGGACCAAAGGCATTGGCACGTGTCAGTCCGGTTTGGAAACGCTGCCGGATGTCGAATGCGATCAGTATAAAATTTTTTTGGTACATTATGAAAAACTTGTGTATCGTGATGGAACTCTTACTTTGCTTTAGTTATCGTGGACTCCGAGCTGAATCTCCGGATTTGGTGTTTCTCTCTGAATATGGAGATGATGTGAACTTTAGAATGATGGTAGTTTTCAATGCTATTGAGACTAAGGATTCACGCGAAACAAATGATTCGCTGTGCTTCTGGGACACCACTGTTGTATGATAAGAACTGCCACTGATAATCTTGGGAACTTGGGGGTAATTTTCTGTCGCTAGTGTTTAATGAGATGAGGAAGAGAGAATCAAGCTTTAGCAGTTCTGAAACTAACAACCGTATTTTATGAACTCGGTCACCATGCCGTGGATCTTCCCTCGTCGGCGACATTCCGAGATTGAAGTAAACGTTTGCTGGCTTTTTCGTTTCTTTTTTTTGGCGTATTATTTGATCAGAAAACGGTCTCCCAAGTACGCAATATTGATTTACTTTCATTAATGGCTTACAACGTTTCCTTTCTTATCCTAGCTCTTAATTAATTATGATACAACTGATAGAACTAGTTGTTGCCCACTGATTTGTTTGAGCGCCCGTAGTAAAGTAGTTGGCTCTTTTCTTCTCTTGGTAGGGTTTTAGCGAACAATCCTGCTTTTGTACTCGAGCATGATTGCTCAATGATGGTATTCACTTAGTAACGGCAAGCTCAACGCATCTACACTGTGTAGCCTAACGGAATAAAATTGTGTTGTATCTCGACTGACATTTTATTTTGTCTTCGAAGCCACTTACGCAAATGACATTCAATGAGCCAATTTTGGTGGTTCACTTGCCTAACTAACCTCATAGAAATTGGGAAATTATTTCCCGGCTTCTGAAATTGAGGAATTTTTCTGTACTCTAAATGATATGATAAAAAACTTTTCCCTCGCTCCACCTATATGGTGAGTACATCATCAGCGATGATTCGTTTAATTTGATTTGCCACATTTCGGAGAGTTGTATTCATGCTGTATTAAATTTTTTTCATACCTATTCAAACCTAGAAAGGACCAGTGTATTGAAGAAGAAGATATATCTGGATATTCTTTAGAACTGAAATAAGAACTAATGTTACGGCAACGGCAATACGTTCACGTATTAAGACGGTTTCACTGTCTACTGGAGAGTGATACATGGAGAGCATCTTTGGGGTGATAGCTGTCTAAATATCACTAAATTTCCAGGAAATAGCTCGCCGATCGATTAGCTCTGGAGAAGACGCGCCCCGAAGTTATTTTCTCCTCTTGCTGGTTTCATAGTACACTTCTAACCAGGCTCTCCTATGTCACTCTTAAGTAAGGGTCCTTATTGAATTAAAACACTGCGTCTATAAATGTGGACCGTTATTTGGGAAGAAAACGATACAGAACCTGAATCCTTCCCGCGGCGCTGGCTGCTCTGAAGACGCCGCGTCATCAGTCCTCGGTTCTGATACACTTCCGAGTGATAATTAGTAGTGTCCCTGCTTTTTTTGTGGTTTTAAAGTTCCTAAAATCTTCCGAATATAGTCATCCTGTCGTGATCCCGTCGTCAGCAAGTACTTGCTGTTTTAAGGAATTCGATAGCCATGCCTTTCGGTAATCGTTTAGTTACCAGTGGCAAACCACCTCTGTCAATAGCGAGTTTTTAGGGTACGTCATAGTTGGCTAAATACGATCACCATTAGCGGACTATATTGCAAAAATAGCTTGTGTATTCAGCCGTACACTAGGATTTTAAAATCGAAATATCGGAACGGTAATCTAGTTTAGCGTGAAAAAATTGTCGAAGTGAATCGGGCATTATTCTTTCCGATGCTGGAAACGACTTTGTGCCATCGAGCTCACTAAAAATCCATGGTTTAACGATAATCTGTTTAACTTCGAATGAGGAAATGTTTCAGTCATTCAAGCCATCAATCACAACGCCCTGAAGATGCAAATTTGCTCCCGAGTCATTTGAAACAATATTCTGTGTGGACACGAATTTCTGATCCAAAAATATATTTGGCACTACTGTCCAGTAAGTGTGAACTCGCCATCAATTATCGTGAAGCTAACAAGAACTCGCTATTAATTATCTACTGGATTAAAATTTTCAAGTATGAATTGAAAGCCGATTTTGGGTAAGCTGCAATGTACAGGAACTCTGTAATGCATTTCAATAGAAATGACTGAAATTTTTTTATTTCAGAGTTATTTGTTTGTTTAGACGCATTTATAAACTCAATTTAGTGGCAAGCTTAGGCGCCCATTCACTGTCGCTTTAGAATTATTCCACTGATGACGCTGGATGCCAGAAAAGTTACACGAATGTAGTAGAATATATGATTTTTAGAGTATATACCTGCATCAAGTTACAGTTTTGTTATGAGAAGGGATCTCTCGATGAGTGGTGGGTTTTGGGGTTCATTCCTGAGTGGAGTGATTTCCTGGAAGCGGAGGGAGCTTCCAAGTGTAAGGTGTTGACAGAATGTCAAAGCGTCGGCATCGGACCTCACCCTCTGGTGTTGCTGCTCTTCCTGGAAGTGTCTGAACTTTGGACATTTTTGCAGGGTGTAGAGCATCAAAGTTCTTAGCTGACGAAAACCTTGACTTGGAGGTAAAGCTAGTTTTGGTTTCTCAGAAGTAGAGCGCGGTCTCGGATTAACTTCAGAAGGACTGGTCGTCTTTGTTTTCAGTAGTAAATGAAAATGAATTTAATTCAGTATCTGAGTATATCTGCACCGTTACCAATGAATACTTTGCGTCTTTGGCGCAAAATGATGGCGAGATCACTTAAAGCTTGTGCTGGAAAATTTACTGTCAAAGTTAAAACAACGAGTCTGATCCTTGATTTGCTCCCACGCGAAAGGATTTGCACAAAAAATGTCGGCTTCCGAGCCTCACAGTAGCAGTCCCTTTGGTGGACATGGCAAACTTTCTAAGTGGCTGAGACAAACGACTTAACTTGACCGGACTTTTAACATCCACGCCACCCCCCAAACCTACACCTCCACATCGTCTATCTATTATGTATGGATTTTCTTCATAATGAATGATCGAGCACAATTTAACATGCTCAAGTCAAAATTTCCCAGTTTTTGTTATTGATTGCTTCTAGTAATTTTTTTTCTATAAAACCAGGAGCTGCTAACATGCAGAAATCGATGTTTTGTTGAAGAGAATATTTAACTTTTGCATATTTCGAATCAAAGTGGAAACATGACCGTTGAAGACAACGATACTCTTTTACGGTTGCAAATCCATTAAACTCAACTGTGTGAGTATAAAAAAATATATATTAAAAGTAAGATAACTACGAAATTTGCGTTACAGTTCTTTACTCGCGTACACGCAGGGTAGTTGCAGTATTTATAGCCGGCAATAAAGCCGTCGACCATTGTTTACTTTACAGCAAGGGATCGCTGTCATGCCGACGGGAGCAAACAGGCCCAGGAGCAAGAAGTATAATGCAAGGGACTGGAAGAAACAGCAACAGCGTTACAACACTACATGGTCAGCAACGTAGAAAAATTCCATAGCTAATAATGAGATCATTGGTTCGTAAAATAAGAGTAATTGAAAATTGAGATCATGAGTCGGCGTTAAACAGATTATCAAGCTTCTAACACACTAAGCGCACAGATTCAGCAGACATAGTAAAAAGACGAGATGATTACGTCGTAACTAGCAACTATAGGTTTATACAAGTTATTTATTTTACAAATAACACGCACTAACCGCGAGGGCTGAGATTGAATCTGCTAACGTCATGTTTCAGACATGCATTGATCGTTGCATAATGTGTGAATATCAGATTGATAGCATTCTCCAAATCTCGACATAGTGCTGCTATCATTGTCAACGTCTAGTAGGAGTACGCAAGCACCCATGTCGAGAGTCGTGTGGAAAAACCCGTTCATCAATGATTGAGAATGCATATGGTGCCCAGTGAGTATCATTACAGGCTCAACGACCGTTTCCCGGTGACTTTTGGCATCAAAATCCCAGCTCAATAGTTTAGCATCCATTGGTAATCGTTTCAATTTGTTATGCGAAAACTCAAACTACTACCAGGCGAATAAAAACGATATTGGAAAGCGTATAACACTTGTTACTCCTTGGAATCCAACAAAATTGGCCCTATTGTCTTCACCTCAGCTATGCTCTGCTGTACGTCTGGTTGCACTACTTCATTGTTTCCATAAGGCCGCAATCTTTTATATTGCCCATGATGAATGATTATTAAGATCGGCAATCGAGTGAAAAATTCCTTTTCTTCGTCGCACCTTAGGCTTGCCCATTAGTTTGGGTACCACTGTACTCCGTCGACACAAATTTTAATTATAAAGAAAGTTTATTAATGAAAGTAAATTGTGATGAGACTAAGTCATAGATTGAGACACAATTTACCGAGACTAGTAGAAACTAAAAATTTAACCCATCGCTCATCAGAGGTAAAATTTGTTTAATGCCTAGCAAATTACGGAGCAGGCAATAAGTCCAGCAGCTATCTCAATCAATCGTCAGTTATGGAAAGATCGGGTTCCAAAGGCCGGATCCCTTGTGAATCAAGTCACGAAAAGTTCAAGAATCGGCAACAGGCCATGGGCCTATTTCTTCAACGCCGACACTTCTATTCTATTCTATTCTTCTATTCTGAAAATTAGTGAATCGGTCTCATTAGATTAGATACATAGAATTAGTAAATCAGTCTCATGTATCTCTCATAAGTTAAGATAGTATAAATTATAAATATGAAGACACAAAATGAGTAGAAGTCGGAATAATTGAGCACAATGCCATTTCAAAACGTTCTAAACCCCCGCCTGGATAATTTCGCACCTGAACAGAGTCGCGGGTGTTGCTCCCGATTTAGACGAAGCCTGTCCGCACTTGACGTCCGCCTCAGCCATTAGTCAGCTCCGGCATCATCAGTTCACGACATCGCTGTCGGTGTTGCCACTCTAATTGCTCGAGTCTCTTTAAAAACCTCAGGTGTGTGGGTGTAGCGACAACGCAGTACTATAGACGCTAACAGGCTGAAATCGAACGCCATTTGAGATTGATTTTTCAATCTTTACATGGAAACGTTTTCATTAGAAAGACTATCATAGATACAGGTTTAAAGACCATGTGTCTGGTGTGGTTGATAATTGTTGTTGGTGTTCTGATGTTCAATCAACATTGGCAGATTATAGATCGTCTATTAGTTAACTCAGAAATACCCAACAATGAACCCCCTTGTACTACTCCGCAATGTCTTTCGGTGACATGATTATATTGAAATTTATGTCTTGTTACTGGGACTATAAAAAACAACAAGAGAAAAATTTTAATAATTTTCCATCCAATACTGGGAGATAAAATTCGTGATTAAAATTCTAAAAATTTCTCTTTATTCATTATTTCGCCCCAGTCAGTAAAAAAACGAAAAAAGAGAAAAAGAAAAACAATATTACAGAAAAAGTTTTATACTTACAAACTTTAGCTTAGGGAGCTCATTTGTTGAGATCAATATTTAACGATTCTGCGGCAATTTGTGACAAACACCAGCCCTCCAAACACTGATTTTGCAAGTAAGAGCCCTCACGTTCTTAACCTACTATCAATATAATTTTAGCCAATGAGGTGAATTTTTGAACTGCTAAAATTCAAAGTTTGTTTTTAGCCGACTCGTAACCTGACAAATCTCTACTTAATATTCATGACTGTAATTAACCGACTTCCCGATAATTTTGTGTTGAGCAATGAAAA